CCGGCAAGCTTGTGTAACTAGTTTCGGTGACTGGAGGCTGGCTGCTGATAATTGTCGTGTAATATGTTGATGCTTGTTGAGTGCTGACCAGAGTCGGACCAGTCTGTGTCTGAGTGATGAAAAGTGTCGTGACATAGCTTGAGACGAACGTGGTGGTATATGGGGCAAGACTCGTGGTTCCTGTGACCGTTATATCTTGCGGTTGAAGCGTGGTGACAATCGTCGACACCACTGTCGTCGGTTGTAGATCGGTCTCTGTTTGTACTACAGTCGAGTATATCGTGGAAACGATTGGGCTTGCCGTGGTCACGTAGGTGCTAGGCTGTGGATAGATTGTGGACACTATCGTCGTGTACACGAAACTGGTGTAAGGCTGCAGGCTGGTCGTCTGCGTCTGAACAGACGTAGCTGTAGCCGTAGCCGTCTGAACAGCGGTACTGACTTGTGTGTAGGTTTGATTTTGCGTGATGGTGGCTGATGAAAACCTTGTTAGCTATATTCTATGACGTGCTTCTCCGGGTAAAGATCAACTCACTCGTGCTGGTCACAACAGCAGAAACTGTGAAGGTCTGGTATGATGTCGCAGTCGCATACGCGGTGGACACTACAGTGGTTGGCTGCTGCGTGGTATAGGTATTATCGCTTTCGTATGTTGAGACGACATAGGAAATCTGGGTCGTGGTGTAGTAAATGGCTGTCGACACAACAGCGGAAGTCGTTCGCGTACGCACGATCGTCCTCGTCACGGTCCTCACGCTTCCACCAGGGAGCGTGGTCATAGGCATGAACCCATCGCTCCCTGCCGCAGAAGCAGCGCCGTTGCTTGATACAGAAGGAGTACTACCATCTGCAGGCTGTGTGGGAGTCGAGTTGTCTGGTGGAGGGATGTCAACGATTGAAACACTGTCCAGACCTACATAAGCATTGCCAACACATGTGATACTGAATGTCGCAGGAGCCGAGTCATCATCATACGTCGCCAGATAGAGATAATAGTATTGTTGCCAGGTTCCAGTCTGGAGCAGAGCTGGTGCACTACACGAGTTGTAGACGCAAATGGTTATAGAGCAGTCAGGAGAGTTTGCTCCATTCTGAGCTTGTTGCGCATACGCGGATACGTTGTAGGTGTCGCCGTTGATGGTTGCAAAGGTTTGACTGGCGTTGTAGACAAGTGGCTGATTTGCTGACTGGCGGCGGAAGAGCTGCTGCCTCGAAGGGGAGCCAGTGTCGTTGAAGGTCAAGAATCTGTTGTTGTTGTTGATCAGCGAAGTAGACGATATGGAAGCAACATGGATCTCACAGATAGTTGTTGCCACTCTGCGCCGTCAGCGGGGCGCTGGTGTCATTACTTTGCACAATCTGAGCAGTTACTGCTGGACTTGAAGTTGAGCTGTTCAGGGGATTACCAGTTCCGTTCTCGAAGTTGTTATCCGCAACCACAACAGGCGTCGGCGCGGGTGCCACAACGGTCGAATTTGATCCGGTCGCGGTGGGTGCAGCAGAGGAAGTCTCATTCTGCTGAGCATCTGGTATGCCATCATCGTTGAAGTCCACATAACACGCATCAGGGCAGGTATCGCAATATGCATCAGAATCCATGGTGGTGAAAGATTGACCGGGCATTGTGACCGTCACATCCGGACCATAGATCGTCGTGTATCTGGTAGCACTTATTAACAAGTTCATACTCATTGAACTGTTCATCCAAGCGTTCGTCGAGGATGAGGCATTGATTGAACTGCAAGCAGGATCCTGCGTGAACACAGTTGATACAGAATTCTGGCTGAGAGTGATGGTGCTCGCATTTGTCGGTGCGGTGCAGCTTGCTGAGTCTGCGAAGACTGTCGTCAGGCCTCCCGTAGGACATGTAGGGCAGCTCGAGCTGGAAAAGGAAGAGCTGCCCACTGAACCAGTTTCGAAGACCGTGGAGAACACTGTCAATTCCCCAGAACATGATGTCGAGGGACACTCGGGACAGCTCGAGTTGAACGCTGTGAAACTGCCCGCTGAACCGTTCTGGAAGATGGTAGAGAACACAGTGGAACCTGTACAATTCGAGTTTGGCAGATGGATGGAGGTTGTAACGGGTGAAATCGTGCTAACAATCTGAGTAGAGCCGCTCTCGAAGATCGTGGAAAACACAGTCAACTCTGTGCAGTTTGAGTTCGACAGATATACTGAGGTCGTAACGGGCGGAAGTGTGCTAAGAGTCTGGCAGCTAGCGTTCAGGTAAGTCGTAGATGTACCGATGGGCGAGGTTGACCCAGCGGTCAGAGCGGAAGCCGCAAAGCCAGTCCTGGGCGAGGACTGGAAGATGATTGGACAATTTCCAGATCCGTAAATAATTAAGCTCACGAGCGAGCCTGATATGGTGGTTGTGACAGCAGCGGAGATGTTGGCGACGGTCGAACAGCTGATTGAGAGCGACTCATTCGAAAGCAGCCATGAATATAGATCGGCACCAGACTGTGTGGGGCACGTTGGGCATGGTTGGTTGTCTGAGAGGAGTGATGTGATGGTGACGGGAGTCACAGAAACAGATGGGCATGACGTGTGTTGGAAGACAGTGGCTAAACTTGTTTGGTTGATGCCGCTGGATGGAAGCGCTGCAGGCATCGTGACTGTCGCGGGTGGAGGACACTCGAGCGACCCATTGACGCTGCTGCTCGATCCGCAGGCAATAGTCGAGAGGTTGGAGACGTAATATGTCGAGGCCCTATACACAGTGGAAACATCGTTAGTCTGCCAAACAGTTGAGACTTCAAGTACCGTGGAAGTGGCCTTGGCTGGACAGGACGCGGCTGCCTGCCCTGTTCGAGGCGCATCTTGAATGAGATATGTCGACGAGTCTGATGTGTATATTGCGTATAATCCAGTCGTCGGGGTACAAACGCTTGAGATTAGATCTGTGTTCTCATCTGAAGATGACTGCGCTATGCTCGCTCTGGAAAAAAAGGAAACACCCAAGAGGGACAAAAACAAGCGTACCATGTTCTGGCCGCGCCAATACAAACTCGCTACCAGACGTCGAAGGCGATGAGAAAGAAAGAGAAAAGAATCTGTTATTGGAATACGGTAAGTTCATGCTCCCAAAGTGCGGCTCTGCATTCCATCACGCGGAAGGCGATGCCTACATAACCAGTTAACCGGGTCAGACTTTGCCATTGTTTGGCCTGCGAGTCGTGCAAAAACCGACTGCGTTGTGACTGTCAATCGGCTATGCGGCAAGAGGGAATCTGCAGGAATGTCAGCTGTGACTTCCATTACGCACACTTACGGCTTGGCTCCAGAATTTGACCCTCGTGTCCATACCAGCGTTCTGGGCAGTCCAGAGACCCTTTGCTCGAAAGGCCATTTCATATGTGTCGTTGTCTTCTCTTGATTGGTGACTCTTTCCAGAGGTCAATTGGGCAGACTGTCGCATGCATGTCCAAGCTGTCTCCCTTGCTTACAGATTAGGAGTCTTGGTCGAACCCCTGGAAAGGAAGGTCCATTTGGCACACTGGCGATGAAACGATTCCCGACATACCAAGTAGCGACTTATCTCGATGCATTCCTCACAGACTGTCTATCGTCTGAGTAACGGCCCAATAAGAGTGTTGATTCCAAGTTGTATGTCGCAAGGCATCGATGTATCCTTCTCATGTAGTCAGACGACCATGGCCCTCTTTGCCCGATCGTAAGTGCCCACTCTGCTGTGGACTGAGACGGTTCTTTCACAGAGGTCGGATTGGTGCCTTGGTAAGGGGTCTGCTATCGCGAGCCGTCGTTGCAGTCGGATTCGTTGCTGCGTCCTATCAACAGCTGGCACCTCCTCTGCTTTGAAGCAAGGCTCGACACAATCGAAACCTGGGCCAAAAAAACCCCTCAAGAAGTTTGCGATAAACAGGGCGACCCTTGAGGGTTTATATAGCTCAGCACTCAAAGCTCATCGCACTCGGCATCATGTAGGACTGTCTTTCGGGAATGATTGTGACTCGGTGTGTCCGAGGAATGTCAGCTGTCAACTTTCGGCCCGTACATCTGCTGACGCATCCGATTGGCGGTCGCTATAATATTTCCCTTTTAGGGTGTTGAGCAAGGGAGAAAAGGTGACAGGTCAAAATTCTGGACAGCTTGTGGTTTGGTAGACACTCGGACAAGTGGTTATCTGCGCCCTGGCCAGCTGGACCACCGACCCATTAGCGTGAGAAGGTTCTATCCAACACCAAGACAGCTCGCTGAAGCACTCGCTTTGGCCCTCTGGATATTGTGACGGCTTACATATCCGATTGAAATACATCTGCTAGTTCCTGAGTGTCCAATGATGGTCAATAGGGTGCTACTTCTAGTGGGGTGTCGCTATACCAGACCATCGTTCTGCGGAGGGGTACCGACATCGGCCTTCTCCTCCGAACTTCGTATCGTAAGAAACATTTGAACATCTTCTCTCATCCCGTTCCATCTCATATCAACTCATGGAGGACTGTCTGTTTACCCTCCATTTGAGATTCATTGGGCCTTCCGAGCCGTCTGATAAATAAGCAATGAACAAAGCCAAAGTTCTCTCAGCGGCAGCACGCTCATAGAAAAAGGGAGCACGATATAATGAGCAACGAGGTCAAGCACTCTGTCTCACACTTCGAACAACTGTAAGGAGCGCATGAAGATGAGAGAAGTGGAGTTGGTATTGAAGAATTAGGTCTCATTCGCATCCCCAGGACCTGCCGTGTTTGATGTAAGAGCTCAACTATTCCAGTTGCCAAATTCCTCGGATCTCTTTTTCTTGCTTTCATTATTCTTAGTCAGTCTGCTTCCTCTTGCGCTCGACATCTCTCCGTCGTGTCTCTTTTGCGCTCATTGTTGTCTCACTTGCGAACGAGAAGAAAGACTCCCTCCCAGACTTTCCTTCTTTCCACCACTGTCCGAGGCTGTCGGTACGGTTGAGTCTGGTCAACATGTTAATTGGCTTGGATGATTCGAGCAAGAGAAAGCGATCCTTACGATTGATGCGGTGCTACTCAGAACTTGAGAGTACGAGCATAGGCGTCCCACTCGGCTTGAGCCTTAGCGCGGCTCTCGCCAGTGTGAGCGTGCCAGTAGGGAAGCGCAACGGTAGCGAAGTCGCAGACCTTCTTCTTGACAGACTCGTCCAAGGAAGCCTTGCGACCGACAAAGACAGCGCCGACGTTAGGGTTCATCTCAGGGTGACGAAGAACCATGACCAAATCATTCCAGGTGGGCTTGTCGATGTACATGGGCTCGTCGATGACGATGCGGGTGACGCAAGACAGTTGAATGGCCTTGCTACCGACGAGCTTCTTGAGGCGCTGGATACTGACTAAGACGATATCGGCGTTGGTCAGGTACATGTACTCATCGCCAGGATAGGTAATGTTGATAGCGGGAGCAGACAGCTTGACGCCAGTGTGGTGAGCAAGAGTCAGAGCATCTTTGTAGAGAGCAGGGTCAATGTCCTCGTCACCAACAAGCACAAGCTGGTAAGGACGAGCAAAGATGCCCTCCTCCATCTCCTCCTCGTCGATGGGGACGGGAGACTTTCTGCCCTTCTCGATAGACAGCGCAGCGCAAACCTGCATGATGACAGCGGCCATGCGGCAAGGTCTGGTGATTTGGTGAGCTGGGATGATGCTGAAGACCTCGCGCTTCTCCAGAGCCATGATCAAGTCCAGCTGTTCGATCCACAGATCGGTGATCTTGAGGTGTTCGAAAGCAGAAGCGACGCGGTTGTCGATGGTAAGATACCACTCCAGGGCGCCTGTAGCAGTCTTTCTACTATCGTGGCCGCGAGGGAAGCGCTCGTGCAGTCTGGTAAGAGTCAGCCGGCGGTGATCAGAGGTGACTTGATAGATCTCCTCACCTCTCCTCGTGCTGAGCTCTGTCAAACCAGTATTCCATGTCTGCTGTTGGTTGCGTGGATTTGTTGCGAAGTGCCTTTGCGTGGGCTAGGTGTGTTGTGGTTGTGTGGTCAAATGACGCGATAGTCAGGACATGGTGAGGGTTGCTCGAAGCACAACAAACGACGCAAACGACCAAATCAACCTCTCGACTCTTCACTTTTAGCCTTACCGTGAACCAATTTTCCGGACGACAAGTGCTATAGAGAGGTTCAAAGTTCTTCAGCGCAAGTTTCGTACCGTCGAGTATCTGGTGTTCAGTCACTCTTGCTGGACAACTTTCTTCCAGCAACCAAGTTCTGCATTTCTACAACGCACAGCTCAGAGAGACGACCATGCAGAGGAGAGGCCTTCTCTATCAATTCCCAGCGTTTGTTACGATCGAAGCAGTATCTAAAACCACATAGTGTAATCCATCAACACTCGGTGTCCATGGAAACGCTCGTCAAGCACAGGCCTGAGTAGACAGCAAGCATACTGAATATGAGATACTGCCCTCTGATAGCGAGATCTGGAGAGGCATGACCAGCTGAATGTATTGGATTCTATGTGGGGCCAGAACTATACTACAGCAGAACTGTATTTTTCCTGGTATAACGCCTCAGAACGACATTCACGATATACAACGGCTTCTTTTCCTAGCCAACTGTCCAACGAAAGCATCAAGTACAATTTTGGACACCCTTGGAAAGGAAACATCGGTGTCTTTTTGCTGCAACGTCCCAAACATCCTGCATGATAATTTTTCTTCCCCTCCTTGTCTTCAAACAGCCCTTCCGTACTCAATATGGCCCCATTCCAGCAAGCTCCTTGTAATCAGGATTGGTAGGACGGAAGATAGTAGGGCGGGGATCAAGTACCCATCTGTTAGCACGGAACTTGCCTGGGCGGATAGTTTCATAGAAGTCCTTCTCGATCGCGTGAGCGATTGCGCCATTAACCTCAGAAAGGTCAGACAGGCGGAAGTTTCTCAGCAGACTCGGCAGGTTGCACTGCGAGGTTCTTTGCAAAATAGCCTCTGACAGGGGTCCGGCGATGAGGTCGAGGACTGCTTCACCCTCTTCCAGCTCGAACATGTCTTCGGTAAAATTGACTACCGGAGCAGCGAAATGGCGACCAGCGGGAGGAGAAGGTTGGTACACAGGAGTGGCCAGGGCAGTCAAAAGAAGAGCGGGAAGAGAGAAGGCGGCGTATGACGGAGCGTAGTAAAATTTGGTAGGGAGAGGCGTTGGTCTGTTGATCCTCATGGTCTGGCGGCGCCGGGCGTGTCTTACTCCTGGGACGAAGTCCGTGTCTGCTTCTTCTTCCTCTTCTTCCTCTGCATGCGGGATGAAGTCTGTGTCTGCTTCTTCTTTCTCTGAGTGGCTGCCGTCGGTCACTATGGTGCTTTTATCTTCTGTTCCTGGTCAGCTACCATGTCATTATCAATTCCACACATTTTTGCAGTACCATCTTCGCTATCGATGGTCCAAGGAACCAGTTCACCATCGTCCGTCACACGCAGTTGCACGAACAACACCTCTCCTTCATCTTCGAAGACGTGGAACCTCTCGTAGTGGAGAATTTCACCAGTCACAGCAGAGCTCCAAGAGACGATCTCTCTGGCGTCCGCGATTGCAGTTCTTTTGGTCGAAGCTCTTGTAGCTGGTGGCATACTTTATGGTTGCTGATGGACGGAGCTGCGCGCTGAGAAAGATCGCCGACGTGAAATGTTGTGTTTGTAGTGGTTGTGTCGATGCCAATGTAAACATACGGGTTTCTGACGGAACAATCACGTACGACGTCTCCCAGGAGTTCGCCAGCTCTCTGTACAGCATCACAGAATCTCCACAGCCTCTGATCAATGTCGGAGGTCACCACTGTAGATGACGAAACAATCGCTTACACCTTAATGTCTTCCGCCTCTCGATCACCACTGTCACCTAGACATACACCTTGGCGCTTTCACTGCTCTCTAATGTTCGACTCTCTATGATGATCCGTACATCAGCGCCGTAATGATTGGGAAATTGTCTCTGCCAACACACCAGAGTGGAGTAAGGCTCGGTCTGGTAAGTTGTTCGGATATCTGAGTACTGGATGAGAGCCTGAAGAGTGTTGGCTGAGCAAATTGTATGTCCGGCCGACATTACACCCAGATGTGTACCTATCATTATGCTTTCTGCACTGCAATATCCTTGAACTGTGCCGTGACGCCCTTGATGGCATCTTCCACCGGTAGACGTTCCATCGAGCTGGCGCCGAAGAAGCCGTGTAGGCCCTTGACTCTTCCGAGCACAAATTTTGCGTCTTCAGGTTTTGCGATCGGCCCTCCATGGCAAAGCACAATGATATCCTTCTTCACTTCTGTCGCAGCATCCCTAATAGCTTGCACGTCCTTGACGCAGTTTTCCAGAGATTTGCCTGTTTGTGCGCCGATGGTACCGCTGGTGGTGAGACCCATATGCGCAACGACCACATCCGCTCCAGCGCCTGCCATGGCCTTCGCTTCCTCCACATTGAAGACGTATGGCGTCGTCAGGATGTCCATCTCCGAAGCCAGTCGTACCATTTCGACTTCCTTGTCGTAGCCCATGCCAGTCTCTTCGAGGTTCGCACGGAACTGGCCATCAATCAGACCGACAGTAGGGAAGTTCTGAATACCGGCGAATCCAAGATCACGAAGTTGCTTCAAGAAGCGAGGCATATCCTTGAAGGGATCGGTACCGCAGACACCAGCTATGACTGGAGTATGCTCGACGATTGGTAGCACTTCCTTGGCCATATCGACGACGACATCATTGGCATTGCTGAAGGGCATGAGACCCGCTAGAGATCCTCGACCAGCCATTCGGAAGCGGCCACTGTTGTAGATGATGATCAAATCGCCGCCGCCTGCTTCGATTGATTTGGCTGATAAGCCGATGCCAGCGCCTGCTCCGACGATTGGCTTTCCAGCATCTATCTGTTTGCGGAAGCTCTCGAGGATTTGCTTGCGATCTGTAGGAGGTGCCATACTGAGAAGCGCTTGTTTTATTCGGCCAAATTCTGATGATTTACAGTTGCAAAAAGAGGAATGTGGTCAGGACTCGAAGTTGGGATGTTTCATCGGCATGACGCAATGTTGCATGAAGACATCATATCACCAGCCTCCCCGCACCTCTCCTCGGACGCGACATGGATCGTTTCCCTTCCAATATCGAGCAGTCCAAGATGCACTTCATCACTTGGTATCCCATCAACTCGCCGTCAGGATGCCACACATAGTCTTGCTAGGGACGCTCGACACAAAGCTACCCGAGATACTTCATCTTCACTCCCGACTGGAAGCTCTCTCCTCGCCTGATACATCCATCACCTTGATTGATTGCGGCCGTACACTCGTAAAACACCCTGCCATCAGCATCACTCAGGATGAGCTGGTCACAAGATACGGTACGAAGCAGGAACAAGACACTTTGCAAGATCTGCCGCGCGGTGAAATCATCAAATACATGATCAGTTGCACGACTTTATGCATCGGAGAACTACACAAAAAGCAGCCCATACATGGCATTATCAGTGCTGGAGGCAGTGGAGGCACTAGCCTGGCTTCAGCGGTAATGCGAACTTTACCAATCGGTCTGCCTAAGCTCATCGCGAGCACAGTCGCTTCTGGAGATACAGGTCCGATCGTCGGCGAGACTGACATAACGTTGATGTACTCGGTAGTAGACATAGCAGGGACCAACGAGCTTCTGAAAATCATTCTGAACAATGCGGCTGCCGCCGTGGTCGGTATGTCGTCAGCGTACGAGCAACAACTACAGCTCCAAAAGGACCAGAGCAAAGAGGCTCGCAGGCTACGTGTTGGCATCACAATGTTTGGCGTCACCACTCCCTGCGTTGACAAGATCCGCGAGCATCTCGAGTCGAACTATGCAGTTGAGACATACGTCTTCCACGCTACTGGACACGGAGGCAAGGCAATGGAGCGGCTGGTCTCAGAAGGCCGCCTTGATGCCGTGCTTGATCTGACCACGACCGAGATCTGCGACTTCCTCATGGGCGGAAACATGAGTGCTGGACCCGACCGTCTGGAAGCAGCTTTGAAAGCGGGTATCCCGACCGTCATCTCTTTGGGAGCTACTGACATGGTCAATTTCGGTCCGAAAGCAACAGTGCCGGAGAAATTCCAGCAAAGGAAGCTGTTCGAACACAATCCTACGGTGACTTTGATGCGTACCACCAAAGACGAATGCAGGGCTGTAGGTGAATTGATTGCGGACAAGATCAAGCGCTTCGCTGCCGATCTCAAGAAAGTGCAAATCACACTACCGAAAGGTGGTGTTAGCATGATCGCTACGCCGGGTGGTGTTTTCGAGGACCGCGATGCCGACGATGCGTTGATTGAGACATTGGCATCTCGATTGCAGGACTCAGGAATCACAATCGTTCATGACGAGAGGGACATCAACGATGAAGGGTTTGCTGTTGATATTGCCAACCAGCTGATGGAACTGACGCATCATAAATAATGTCCGATAGACCATCCCCTCACAATGCAAGTCTAAATGACCCAGACATACATTGGAATATATTATTAGTCTACTTCCAGTCCCATGGAAGAGTTGTAGAGCTCTATCATCTAACCATTGTGATGGGGATATGCTGACGCTCATACGTCCCAACTGAAAGGATTTTTGTCTCACTGTGACAACTCCCGAGTACACTCTGATTCGACACGACGTCAATTGAGGGACTCTGATAGATCAGACCTCCATGTGTCTTTCTTGTGTTTGCAAATTTCCTGCGCTCCCCATATCCTCATTTCTCGATATTTTCAGTGATGACAAGTCGGGCATATGACCCTGGTGCCAAGACTACTGGCCGTCTCTTCGTGCTCTGTTTCTGCTTGAGCAACATGAATATCGAAACAAATGTATGCTTATGAAGCCTTAAAACTCGACAACTATCCCATCGAGCCAGTTTGGAGCAGATACAACCATGGCCTGTCAAGTTTGTGACTTTTGTGCTTGTCAAATATTTTGCACATCAATCGGGGCGGAATTTGCTCATGGTTCAGAAATCGAGCATTTCCAAACTTGTTTTCATGCATAGCGACCGCAACTTTGACACGACTGTCCCTGAACCCGAGATCGTCCTCCAGATATATACATAAACTGTCCCCGAGAAGTAGAGTGTCTCCAGCATGTATGATGGAGACTACGGATGCGAATAAACTGCTGAAGCTCTTGCTTGAGATACCGCCCTGTCCCCCGGCCCCTACCACCTGCACCCTATCGACACAAAGCGACGGCAAAAGACCTTCACAACCACTGATTTGGAATGCTAACAGCAGGAAACACGAGCTTTCACCCACACGGACATCCCCAGCATCGCAAATTCAGCAATTCGCTGGGGTCGGCTGACGATTGACAGCCCTTCAGCTCTCAGTCACTGCTCAGCTGAAAGCGGCAAATTCCCAACACCGTGGCAGCGGCAAGCAGCCCTACACCACACTACAGCTGTCGCAATTTTATCGAGATCTCGGAGGAATGCTGCAGCATCAAAGCACCGACTGCAAGTCAAAGAGTAGGAAGGATTTTCGATAGTTTCACCGTCATAGCAACAGGTCACAGCACAGCTGAACAGTGGTTTCCACTTCCAAGAAAACAGCTTGAGCATGCATGTAATATGCAGTGCTGCATCACAGAGCTGCGACGACCAAAACCAGAGTCAGGCCTCCATCATCCTTGACACAACACAAAGCAATGGTCACAGATTTCCAATAGTCTGGCGTACGTGCAGCACCGAAAGAAGCTATTCTGGGTCTAGCCTGCATAAACTATAACAGCCTACCTTAATCTTCGCGGCTCAGTCTGGGCAAGCCCTCTAGGCGCTGCGAAAGGAGAAACAAGGTTAAGTTACCTTGCCTTGGTGCATTTTCGGACCAAGCGTGGAACCACGAATATGACCAAGACTTGTGATGGCCAAGAGGACCTCGTGTTTGTGTAAAGATCTAGGCCGCGTGGAAGAGGCAGTTCAAGATCGATTTACTTTTGCGACAGAGAGGCAGCTGATGTGCAAAGGACCAGAGAGGTGAGAATAAGCAGTGCAAAATAGGTAGGCGCCGGATTTGCAAAAGGTACCGTTCCCACCTTTTTAGGGTGCTGACCACCCAACGCAGGAACACCCGCGACGGAACGACGTCAAATGACGACTGCAAAACCAACCTCTCAGAACCAAGGCAGAGATGCGTGCAAAAGAAGCAAAGCACACGAGCCGTGATTTAGTCACCATGAACATCGCGTAGACAGAATCGCCAAGCAAGAGCACAGAAGCATCCAGGGACAGCACTCGACCCCGTAGGCTCGCGCAAACACGCCCTGTAGGGAAAGACATCCGGGGATCTCAACTCGTGGAAAAGTTCGGGGAGGGTTTTTGCTCTGACTCCTCCTTCCGACACGGCTTGAACTGAGTTTCTGATGGTGGACGGCCTGGAAGGCTGAAGCCACAGGGTTGTCAGTAAAGTTCGCGAAGGCGCTCGCCAGGGCTTGTGGCTATTGGTATGGAACCGATGGGACAGCAGACAGGGCGATAAGGAAAGGGGCCGGTGGAGGAAGTAAGCATAGGTTGTGGTCATGAGGCTCTATGTGCATGTGAATTCTAGGCTTTCATACAAGAAAAAGTGCCAGTTTGGCGAATGGTGCAAATGATGGGTTCGATGGAGGAAAGGGCCAGAGGGCTTGGTATCGGCGTTGCTTCCACTTCATCCGATGATGGCTTGAACATTCGCTTGCGCCAGCCGCGAAAACCCGAATTGCTCGATCTCAGTCGAACTCCATGACAAAACAAATTCTTGAGGACATGGGTGTCTTCCTGGTACTGTACTATACAACAGAACAAATATACTGCATCGAGCTGTTTATAGAAGTTGTATGCACGATGACCGTGGTTTCGATGTTTGACGGGCGGAATTTCGGTGGGCAAGTACAGCCGACAACGACGTCTGTGCTCTTTGTGACCCAAACAAAAAAATTCTCCTTGAGAACAACCATTTTGAGATGGCACACATGAGCAAAAATGATCACGCCAGGGGTCGAACCTGGAATCTCTTGATTCGTAGTCAAGCGCCTTGCCATTGGGCCACGCAACCAATGATGAAGAATGCTGCACCAAGCTACCATATAATCTTATACGCAGAATGGCATCGTCATGGTTCAGCATGGCCGCAGCCTGGACAAGCATTGCCGAGTGGAAAGATTCTATATAGATGTACATCTTGCCAGATCCCTTTGCGAAACACGTTCCGCCTGCTTCTCAAAGAACAAAGTGCGAGCAAACTTGACAAACCAACACCGAAGATTATCGATCTCGATATTGGCCTTGCCATCAAAGCTCTCATACTCAGCAGCCAGCTTTTGAAGTCGTTCCTCGACCAACTCCTCAATCTCTCTCATGCCGTCTTCGAGAGCCATCTTCACCTCCAAAGAGGCGTCATCAACCTGTTCTTGTATGGTTGCTTCAGCGTTCTCGCAGTCATGATGGAAGACGTTATGATATTCGTCCATGACCTTCTCGATGGCGGCATTGGTTTGGAGAGGTAATCCGGACTCGACTAGATACTTCATTCGGGTCTCTACCTCTGCAGTAAAGAGGTCCCTGACCAAGGCGGTGATCCGAGGACTGGACAGTCGGCGAGCTCGGCGCCCAAGAAGCTCGAGAGGCTTCTCAGGCGCGGAACTTGCAGGTGCTAGACCTAACAGACGTTCATGACCGGACTGAATGATTGCTTCGCGAAGCACATGTTCGGGCACTGTTGCAAGCATATTGGCAAGGAGAGTCACCTGGCCATCTTCCTTGGAGGGGCCTGGCTCCTTGCAGTATGGCGGCAGGGTGAATACCGTCGGTCTTATGCTGTTTGAGTGACCAGAGGTCGTGGTGGGTGTGGTATTAACCTCCGTCGGAGAGTAAGGGGGAGGAGTGGTATAGGTATAGGTAGGACGCTTGGGATGACTATCAGAAGGAGTGCCTAAAGCTGACAACATCAGCTTCACGACAGCTTACATGGTTGAGTTCAAGCCATCGCAATGCAGAAGGCTTATGTTGACGACACGTCTGTTCAGGGAGAGCTCAGGCATAGCGTGATGTCCAGCACACTCCCAGTTTTCCGTTCAGGGAAAGCAAAAACTTGCTGCATTGGGATGGCACTCGCACGTCTACACATTCTTGGAAGACTTGCTAGAAGGTACTTACATTGTCTTGATCTTTTGCCCAGGCTCGAAGATGTCTCGTCGTGGCTGGACCCTGAGGCTTTTGGGCTGAAGACCTGGGGGCTGAAGACCTGCCATGTACCTTCTTGTAAGCCTCTGCCGCGATCCTCTCGGCCAAGGTTAAGGTAAGGCGCTTTCAGGTCTTCGCTGTCGAAGCCATTTACCAGCGCACTCAATCTTGACGTCTCTTGTTCGTCGAACTGAGCTCTGGCAAAGTGTATATAGATGGTCGTTGCTTGACATATCTCAACGAATGTTCGAAAGTCGATATCAGCTGGGTCAGTCGGACGTACGCTCGTCAATTCTTTTGGATAGTGTACAACGCCAGGAGACTTCAGAACAAGAGCAACGGTCAAGACATCGGAGGATCTTGTAAGTGATGAGGTGGGGACAAATTTCAACAGCAACGGCGATATTGATGTCTCCTCAGCTATGGAACAAGACTCGACAATCAACGGTGGTATGTGGAGAACAACGTGTCGAGGAGGACTGTTGCTGACACCGGCGAGATGAGTGCTTTGCTGCAGCTGGAGTGATAACGAAGCCTGATCACTACTGTGCATTAAGCGGACCTGGCAGCGGCAACCACGATCAGAGGTGGAGCTCTGAACGAAAGCCACTCTGCGGGATCTCCAAGCGCCACCAGTTGTAGTAGCTGCCATGTCAGCTAGAGGCACGACAGTGTATTACCAAAGCTGATGATCAAATGTTGAAAGCCCCCGAACTTTGACGTATCAGGATACCCTCCCACCCGGGCTTTCGTCGAGTGTGAGCAGCCCCGACTCTTGAGATACAGAAGAAATGAGAGGAGCGAAGAAGCTCGTCGGCATCAGCTTGAACACCAACAACAGCCTGTGTCTACGTGCAGCGGTGATGCGACAAAACGTATCCTCTCCGAAGAGAATAATGATAGGTTCGGTCACAAGACGGCCGGAGGTATAAACAAACTATTGTCAATAGACGTGCCTAGCTGCAGAAGGATGTAGAAGATGAAGACGGTAGTGAATGGAGTGAAGGTGCTGTGAGCTGGCAGCAGAGACGCGCCCGCGAGGCACCAACCAGACGCGACCGAAGCTGGACAGAAATCGTGGTTTGCAAATCTCCACTGATGCTTGGCGGCCAGTCGCTGTGCCAAGATCGATTTCGGACTTCGACACAGGTGCGACAACGACTCGCACATCAGAGCTGATGTGCTACAAGACCTTTCACTTGATATGGGACTACTGCATCGCTTTGGGCATCAAGCCGGGGACGCCGTCCATATCGACTGTACCAGTCGGAAGGCTACGACCGATACGCTGTGCGGCTGAATAGGCGACGCCGAGGGTTTCGATCGCAATTAAAGCTTCACCAACACCGTACCGCTCGACAGTCGCACCATAACGAAGAATTTTCCCATGCCGAAGACTCTCGTTCTGGCATTTGGTGTCTCACCGGTCTTCTGTAGCAACCTGAAGCAGAGCGCGGCCCTTTGCCCTTCAGCTGCTGTCTTCGCACGTCTCAGTCTGTCGAGCGCCGAACCAATTCATAAGATTTCTTGGCGAGATGCGGACAGTCCAGAAGCCGTCAAGCTGAGACATTGACCGTGCATCTCCAGCTTTTCACCGCGTTTTCCCTGCTCACATGGCATAGCAACCTGAACCGAGACCATGTCGAAGGAACAGGTCTGTTTTTGTGTCGATTCGATGCCATGCACTTCTCTTCTCGGCGATGCCGTGCGGTACACCACTCCTTCGTCCCGCCCTCCGAGTCCGCTTTGAGCATCAAAGAATGCGCGGCAGTCCGTGCTGAGTATTGTTGCAAGCCGTCCTGCGGTTAGCATTACTCCTTATCGTCCCGCCAGAGGCCTCTTGCTTTGCCCATTAACCCAAACAGCTTAGGGGGTTGCTGTTGCCGTGCGTTTCTGGAGAGCCGTTGAGGCAGTTTGGGGGAGATAGCTTTCACGAACCAGCGGCACATCTCGATTGCACCGTCTTTCTGTGACAAGAACGCTCCGACACTTTGTTTGCACCATGTGGATATACCGTTGGACTGTCCCGGAACTCTTCCCTGCCCCTGGGCCATAGCTGTCAGCTACGCATTGCGCCTGCAAAGCGCCACAAAACCTCGCTAGCTGTGGTATCCGAGTCTGAGATCTTGTTCACCTCGAATCGTGAGTCTCGTGGCTTTCCAAGATGCAAGCGCCCTGTCTAGCTCGCCGACCCCGAAGTTAAGCGCAGACATGGGCCCTGTGGACTCGGATGGACCTTGAGGCTCAGGTTTACAATGGACATATATATATCCCAGGTAGGTGCCCGTCACAACTCCATCATCAACTCACTCAACTTCCTCAGCAACAATCAAGAGTACTCTCATCCCGACACTCTCATCTCTCATCATGCGCTCTTACATCGCTGCTGCTGCCCTTGCAGCTGTTGCTCAGGCTCAGGACCTTGACTGGGATGCCATCCTTCAGCTGACTCCCGTCCCTGATGTCTCCATCCCTGTAGTCTACGCTACTGCTCCTGCCACCACTGCTACCGCTACAACCATCTCCTACTCCAGCCAAGCATCAGCCGCTGCTGTCAGCTCCGCTCTGGCCGCCAACCCTGACGATTCTTTCCCCCTGGACTCTGCCTTGGCCAGACGTGCTGCTTCTCCCACCTCTTGCCAGGTTCAGCCCACTGGTGTCACACTCGGACCCCAGGCCACTGATGACTCGGTCAGCGCTTTCTTGGCCTACCCTTCTTTCTCTGCCACCGCCAGCTCAGCTGCCGCTGCCGTGCCTTCTGGCTATGTGAACACCTTCTTCAACTTGGCCGCATCCAACAACGCCTACGGGTAAGTACGGAAGATGAGATTGAGCAACATATGCGCTGACTAGCCAATTTTTTCAGATACATGGGTTACACTCTCCTTACCGACTACGACCAGCAGAAGTGCGCAGACAAGTGCACCAAGATCAACGGATGCCAGGCATTCAACATCTACTACGAGCGTGATCCTACTGCCAACCCCGACGCTGACAGCTGCAAGAACCCCCCTTCCACCACCAACATCAAGGTAAATACCATCCCTACTTCTTTCTTCTTTCGAATCGGTGCTAATTCTCAAAAGTGTGTGTTCTGGTCAGGCCCTGTCTCCTCGGACAACGCCAACAATGCTGGCCAATGGCGCAACAAGTTCCAGGTCGTGATTGCTGGATCCAACGGATATGTCAACAAGTCCATCGCTACTCCTGTCGGTTACAACGCTGGCGTCTTCCTTGGCAATGCTGCCATCAACGCCCCTCTTGACTGCACTGGCGATGATTCTTTCCTTGGCTCGAGGCAGCTCGGTAACGGTGTCTTCGATGCCAACCTCTGCGCAATTGCTTGCAACGAGCAGGCCGACTATGCTCGCAGACACCCCCCAGCTGCTGGCCAGTTCAACAAGATTTGCACCTTTTTCAACACCTACATTCTGTACAAGAACGGCCAGGCTCTTCAGCAGAGTTGCGCTCTCTACGACCAGACCTGGTCTCAGTCTTATGCCAAGAACACTGGTTACTACTACGGCAGTGACAAGTACACCGTCGGTTTCTCGTACACCTTCTCCAACAAGACCGATGGTGGTCAGCCCAGATACCCTTGCAACGTTGCTTCTGCCAGCTCTGCCATTGTTTCCGCTTCTCTCCAGCCTTACTGCTCTTCGCTCTTGTCTGTCAGCGGATCTACCAAGACTGTCACTGTCACCCCTACCGTCCAAGCTACTACCTTGACCACCCTTGGTGCTCTACAGAAGCGTCAGGCCGCTGCCACTCCTACTGCTATCCAGAAGTACGCCGGTTCCATCATCAGCTCCGCTTGTGCTCTGGTTGCCACCTCCGGTGCTGCCGTCACTAGCACTGCTACTGCCGCGGCCACCACTGTCTACGTTGCTACCTCGATTGTCAATGCAGTTGCATCCCCCTAGACAAAAAGTTCCCAACTGTACATAGATTGCGAGTCTGACTGTTTATAAGCTGGTGTTTATTGGGTTCCGGGGCGGTGTTTGTTTTTCAAAGATATCAGGGGAAAAGGGGGTATGAGTAGAACTGTACATAGAGATGCTACTACGTTTTTTCACTTTCAAAAATCTTCCTTCTCAAAAGTATTGTGATGAACTTCTGCATCGTTTTGATGTGCGCTCATGTCTGGGCTGCAACTACTGAAAAGGGATCGACAACATTCAACTCAGGAGTCGATAGCATCAAATGGAGAGTTTGGTGTTCAACGTTGGGCAGGCAGGACTAGAGGACGGAGTTTCCCCTCCGAGATCTCCACCAACCCCACGGCAAAAGGAAGGGAGATCTGCATTCCCGATGCACGTCTCCATCATTCAGACATCATGTTTCGACTTTATCTGCACGACGCGACACATGCTGGAGAGAGCGACCATACCCAACGACTATCAAACATCGAGTTGTCAGAGCATTTCGGCACGGCACATGAGTCGCCCTTGAGGGCAATATGCTCAATGACGTTCTACCACTTCCGTGTCTTGTCGTGAGGGGCTGGAGATGATACACAGAAGAGCAGGCCTTGAGTCTTGCTTTCCTGAGTCTTTGATTTCGATATCCACGCGATGCATCTCTCGGCTTCGATACTACTGGCTACAGCAGCCACGGCAGTCGCTCAGAATGCCACACAAGTATACGATTATGCCATCGCAGGCGCTGGTACAGCAGGTCTTCTTCTTGCCATCGTCCTCACCGAAGACCCCTCCATCAATGTCGCCATCCTTGAAGCCGGTTCAGACGGTCGCACAAATCCCAACATCACGATCCCAGAGTTAAGAGGCGAGATAATTGATACAGAATATGATTGGGCGTATTATAGCACTGTTCAACCCGGTCTATACGAAAATAGGAGTCAGCCTGTGAACAGAGGCAAGACGATTGGTAAGATTGATTCCATTGAGATGAGAAGTGGCTGCTGATAGACGGTCAGGTGGCACAAGTGCTATGAATTGGATGATTCATAATGAGGACTCTCGCATCCAGCTCGATATCTGGGAATCGTTGCTCAATCTCACTGGCTGGAATTGGGAAACTCTGTCGACTGCGTTCAGAGAGAGCGAGATGTTCTTCGCTCCTCCGGTCAATGCATCTTCTGCTGAGCAACCAGACCTTGCAAACCATGGATCTTCTGGGTACATTTGCTCGACTTTGCAACGTAGTGTGCTGTCGCTACTTTCCGACTATGTGACGCCTGCACTGCTCAACGCTGGATATGCAGTGCCAGGAGACCGGAATGGTGGAAATGTCACTGGTGCTGGATTTTTGCCTCTAGCTATCTGTCCAGGCAACTACACAAGAAGCTATGCTGGATCTGCATATACTGCCGTACAAGACAGAAAGAATTTACATCTCTACACCAATGCTCAAGTCACCAATATCAGCTGGGCATCAACAACATCGGGAAATGTTACTGCTCGTGGACTCAACTTTGTGGATACCTCTGGACGTACATCAAACACCAGTCTCTCCATTCATGCCGATGAGATAATTCTATCTGCTGGAATAGCAGGCTCGGCACCAATCTTGGAACGCTCGGGTATCGGTAGCCCAGACATCTTGATGCCTTTAAACATCACTCCAGTCGTCAACCTCAGTAGCGTAGGCACCGGACTAAGAGATCCACTGATGATGCAATATCAACCTCTCCAATACAACTTCAGCGTCGAGTTCACAGGAGGCGAGTATGCACAGAATTATATTGACCTTCGACCAGCCCAGGATGTATTGTCTCCTTTTGACTACAATGCTGCATCTGTATGGCTGAATACTACTGCATCAGTCCCAGGTCTGGAAGACGCACAATTCCAAGTCTTCAAGCATCTATGGTTTACTCGCCAGCCACTTATCGAAATGGCATGGCAATACAGCAGCACGCAATCAATGCCATACACCCTCATCCCACTCAGCCAAGGCAGCGTCCACATAAACTCTTCCGACCCTCTAGCTGCACCAGTAATCGACCCGAACTACAACTCCGTCACCGCTACCATCGGCAATGAAACCGTACCTTGGGACTTGTGGCTCTTATCCCGCGCCTCTCAATTCTACGTCACTGAACTTGCTTCGTCACCTCCTTTCTCGGAAGTACTCACAAAGACGGATCCAGATCACAATTTACCTCCTACAGAGTATCAACAAGCTGTCTTTGAACGTTCGGGCACTTCTCAACATCTCACTGGCGGTTTACCTATGCTTCCTCGGAGCGCAGGCGGTGCAGTAGATGCAAACATGTTGGTGTATGGAACACAGAATGTCAGGGTGGTGGATGGAAGTATCTTCCCTTATCAACCTTCTGCGCATCCGATGGGGTTGACTTATGCTGTTGCTGTTCATGCTGCCAAGATCTTGCAGCAGATCAAGGGGTCGATGGGAACGTATACGGAAGATCCACAGAGGAGTAACTCGAGCAGTAATGCTACGGCGGTGTTTCCAGCTGTGCAACCCACGGTCACTTATGATGTTAGAGGATCCGCAGTGCCGGCTTCTTCGGCTGCGGTGTTTACTGGCGGAGCTGGGAGGTTAGTTACAGGAAAGGAGAGGTGGATCATGTGGGCGGTAGTTGCTATTCTAGGTTGGTTTTAAGAAGCTGTAGAGCATAGTGGCGACAATGCACTCGAAAGCAGTTCTTGGGAATGGCTAGTATTGCGACATGGATTGCATATCAAGCGCCCAGTGTTGATCGAAAGCTCCTGTCACAATTGAGGCAGACTGAGATACTCTCTGAAAGAGCCGAGTACAAATGTGCATATTTCGCATAGCGATAAATACTGCACCGACAGTTATGGCGGCCCCTCCTTGTATCGAAGTCCAGCCCCACGCACCAACAACACCCTCGAACCCTCCTCGACTCAACCTGCTGCTCGACCACATCGCTCACCTGCACCTCCATCCCCTTCCACTCCCTAAATCCCAACTCCCTCTCCGCCCTCTGAGTCTCCACAACCAACAACTCACCCTCCTCAACTCCAGTCCCGAATCCCTGCTCTGGATACTTTTCCCTCACAAACCCCATAACTTCCTCCTCCCACCTCCTCGCTTTCGCAGATAGTAAAAATGAAGATACGGGTGTGTTGTGAGGTAGGGATCTAGCTTCAATGCGCGCAGAAGCTACATTATCGATGTGGACGCCGCGGCAAGGTGCAAATAGAGGGGATTAGAAGAGGTCAGGGGATGCAAAAACAGCATTTTTATTCGTTTCCTGGTATATATACATGTGTGTGCTTTTCTGGAGTAGGGATCGTCCGAAATACGTAGACGGGGTGTAAAAAGTCACTACTGCAAAGTGAGGGCTGCGGGTTCCCGATAAAGTCTAGAAGTGGCGAGGTAGGATGCTATTCTGCTGGACGCGATAGTGGCGTCCTGGGTCCAGGGAGGGAACGATAGAGTGGTCGAATTGGAGGGCTTGGGGTGAGATGTCCTCTACCAGAGCATCAGTGCTGGTTCCTAAATTCGGAATATGTTGGGGTATAGGAAGAATAACTTGCCTGTTACAACAGTGCCATCGGTATACTTATCCAAAGCAACCAACGGCGCAACCGACGCAGTGATGACCGCTTTTTTGATCGAAGCCACACGTAACGCAGACTCCAATATCGAAATTGTACCCTCCACCGCCGGCGTCATGAGATCTTGCTCTGCACCACCGGGCAGTGGTGAAGCCACATGAATCACAAACCGAAACACCATTGCAGCGCTGCATCGAAAGCCTCTGCTTTTGCGTAGTCAGGGATGATTACAAAAGTCTATACTGTCGGCAAACTTGGCGAAGACTTGTGTGCTGGGCGTCGGACGCTGAGCTTGACATTGTAGTTTGCTTGGAGGGCGGATAAGGTCACTGGGGCGCCGATGAAGCCAGTGGCTCCGGTGATGAAGATGGCTGGTTTGAACATTATATGTTCCACTTCGTCCAAGGGTTAGAGGTCGTCCGAATGTTTCGTTAGCCGGAGAAACTTTGGAAAATGAAATGTCCAGAGCTGGAAGTTGTGGAATCTCAAGACGTGTACGGGGAATCTGTATGATTGGACGTATAGACATGTTGTAGAATTGGTCAGCGGATGCCGTGTTGCTTGACATCTTGCGTTGATGAGTCAACACTGGATATGATTGATAATCCGCGTCTTGGAGTGATCAGTCATCTCCCGACAACAATCTCTTGGTCCGAGGTGTCCCACAATTCACCAGGGGTTGTTGTCTGACGCGAGTGTCAACATGATAGTGGGTTGGCTGTCCAAAAGCAGATGGTTATGATCGTTTGGCTTGTCCGTCGAATGCTGCCAATAGCTGTATCTTTAGCGAGGGCAGATGCCATATGCAAAGACCATAAGACACCGGGAAACGCGCCACTCTCGTGGCCATGTCAACTAGGTTCATCGACGCGAGGAAAGATCAGTAGTATTTCAAGTCGATTCTACTGATTTCTACCATCCTCTTCCTTCCTTCCATCTCCTATACACAAACATATAACGCCAATGTAAATTATCAAATCCCTGTTGAATGGGGGTATCTCTTTCGCTTTTTGTTCATGCTTCGTTAACATAGGTTCTGTGAAACGCCGTTGAAATGCTGTTACGCCATAATAGGCTTCGTTCGTCATGGGTTGTGTTGAATATCTTCTTGTTGAAGAAGATCGTAATGAGAAGTTTGTTGTAAAACTCTCAGTGTGTGTGAATGCTGTAAGGAAAGACAAAACGGAAAAAGGAAATGTCGTTCATGGGTTTGGTCGTGTTAGAGCACGCTCTCTGTTGTTAGTTTGCAAGTAGCCCGGACCGACAACACATGTCTGAGTCAACATGTGTAAGACGCTGATTAGACATCGACAGAGGGTCCAGCACCGGTATTGTGCGCAGGTGCATCCTTGGGCTCGGTATCCGGTTTTTCATCGGCACCGTTGATCTGAGTCTCCAGCTTCTTGTGCACGCTGTCGGGAATCTTGGTATCGGTGACATCGCCGTTAGCAATCTTTGGTTCCTCTTTCTTCTCTTCGCCATGCTTATCACCATTGGTGGTGCCATTGGTCTGCTGAGAAACCTCGGGCGCCTTGATCTCCTTGTCCAACTCGGGGACCTCAAGGCCTTCGAAGAGAGGGAAGATACCACGTTGCTCGCGGAAGTCGTTGTTAACGATGTTGACAAGGTACCATTCCTGCATCAAGTCGTTGATGACATACCGGGAAGGAGTAGTGGCGTCATAGCAACGAGCCCAGTCGGATCCGAGACGGTAGAACTCGTCTCTCCAAGCAAGGAAGGACACAGTCTCTACGATAGTAGGCTGCACAATCTCCTTGCCAGGGAAGACACCCCAGGTGACAGCGTTGGGACCTTCGTCGGGAGAGTTGGTCTTCAAGTCACCGTGCTGGTTGACGGCAAAGTATGTGATGTTGGGGTTGCGCTCCATGCGAGTGATAAGCTCGGAGATGAGTTCAGGTGAAACCAAGACCTCGAGGTAAGCCTTCTGGTAGACGTATCCATTGCGGGGACCCCAACCGTACACAGGGTGGCTTGACTTGGCACCATCCACAGGAGGTTGCGAGTTGATAGTCAAAAGACCGCGCTGGTTGAGGTCGATCAGGTCAAGACGAAGAGCATCGGCTTCGTCGGTAATAGGGCTTTCGCTCCAAGGCAGCGACTCGACCTTGCCTTGCATGTAGTTGGCGAAGAGTTTGGCCACGTCGCGGAAGGACTTGGGCTCTCCCCAAAGCTTGCGGTTCTGCTCGTTGGTACCCTTGAGACCAATACCGTACGTGTCCAATTCTCCGTAAGCGGGAGATCTACTGTCACCCCATCTACCGTTGGGGAATTCATCCCAGTCTTGGGTACGAGCAATGTAGGAACGGTTGCGGTTGCGCCAGAAGATGGGACGAACGTTCTCTTCACGACGGTTGAGACCAAGGGATTGCCTCCAGGGAAGAGGCTTTTCGAGGGGCTCCTCTTGCGAAGGAGTGATGCTGAGCTCTTCCAAGATCATACGGGTGGACTGCGCCAAGTTCATGGTGTAGAAATGCAAATGCAAAATGCCGTTATCGAGGAGTTTGCGACACAACTCAACAACCAGACCAGTGCCAACGTCTCTGACAGCGGAATCGTCGTTCTTTACAGGCTCCAGGGCCTCGTGCCAGTGAGGTGGGACGTGGATGTTCGACCAGTTGGCGCGTCTCAGGAATGCAGCGTGGGTGGAGATGGGCATAATGCCAGGAACAATGGGAACATCAATGCCAGCGGCTCTGACCTTCTTGACCCAGTCGAGGAAGATATCGGCATCATAGAACATCTGGGTGACGATGAAAGTGCCACCGAGGTCAACCTTTTCCTTCAAGTGCGAGATCAGCTCCTCGGGGTCGTCATTGTCGTCGCAGCCCTCAGGGTAACCAGCAACACCAATGTCAAAGTGGTCGCCGTAGGTCTCCTTGATGTACTTGACGAGATCCTTTGCGTATCTGAAGCCTCCACTGGTAGCCTCCCACTTCTCCTTTTCACGCGGCGGGTCACCTCTAAGGGCAAGGATGTTTGTGCAGCCAGCATCGTGAGCCTCCTTCAGAGCCTCGTCGATCTTTGACTTGGGCATATCGGTGCAAGTCAAGTGCATGCAGGTCTCGAGACCGTAGACGGTTTGGGCAACCTTGACCATCTCGCAGGTGAGCGAGGCATGTCGGCCACCTGCTCCCCATGTGATGTCGATGAAGGAAGGACCAAAGTTGTGCATGCGGTCCATGCGGTCGTAGAGGTTCTGCACACCCTGGGCCGTCTTGGGAGGGAAGAATTCGAACGAGTAGGTCGACTTCTTCTCCTTGGCGGCGGCCTGAAGTTTTGCTGAGATATGCATGTTGGCGGTTGTGAGTGTGGTTGTAAATGTAAATGCGGATGTAGGTGTGTTGAGGGATTAATCGAGGGCGAATCTAACGCGGCGGTGAAGTTGTCTGTGGCGAGCAATTAGTCGTTTGACCACAAAGAATAGAACGAAGAAGATGAATATTGGAACCCGATCCATGGCTCGTTCGTCCGTCCAGTCCACACATGTCGTGAAGGTGGTAGAATTGTTGGTGCCATGGATGAATGAAGAGCTGTTTGTGGCATCGATGCTCGGGGAAAGTGGTACCTACGCTTAGGATTGTTCTCTCCTTATTTCTCTGTTTGTGTCGACACAAAGAAGGCAATTGGAATGTATTGATCTAACCGAAATATCTCTTGCGCGCCCACCTATCGGCCAGCACTCTAGACATAAAGTGAATGGAAGTGGAATGAGAGGGAGAAGGGAAGAAAGTTTTCCAAGTGCATGACGCCGATGAATTGGCACCTCGAACGCTCTCGCGAAGGGGAGATGCGGTCTGTGCGTTGCTGAGAGGGCTCATTCGTGCTTTCCCCGCCGCCGCTTTCGCTGGGCCCTGCCCGCGCCTGCCCAGACAGACCGCCACAACAACAACATCCTCGACTCCTTCGTCCCTTCCTAATCAGGTATCCCGGCTCTGATCCATATAAATACCAAGTGTATACATTTCTTGTCCTTCTACAAGTTCCTGCCCTTCTCCTGTCTCCTCCAACCTCGACCTCGGCCAACATCAACACGTTCACCTGCGGGACATATCCTCCCCCCCATTCCGTTGAACCCCACACGAACCGCCTTGTACGAGATTCAAAAATGTCATCGACATCCGCAGTCGGACCCCGCCGAAAGCTCGTGGGCACGAGCCTGAAGATGTACTTTGACCTCACCAAAACCCTAACCTATGCCGCCGACCTCGCTGCCATTTCGTCCTCAGCAGCAAAAAACAACATTGATCTCTTCGTCATCCCAGACTTTGTGTCTTTGTTGCCTGTCAAGGATGCGCTAAAGGGCACTGAGGTGCAGCTGGGTGCTCAAGATGCGTTTTGGGAGGATGCGGGGGCGTTCACCGGAGAGGTTTCTTGTAGGACGTTGAAGCAGGCTGGTTGCAGCATTGTGGAATTGGGACATGCAGAGCGTAGACGTCTGTTTGGAGAGACTGATGCTACTGCTGCGAAGAAGGCTGCCGCTGCGTGTAGGAATGGTTTGATCCCTTTGGTCTGCATTGGCGAAAAGACACATGGCAAGATCGCTTCTCAGGCCGTGGGTATGGCTATCGAGGAGTGCAGACCTCAGGTTATGAGTCTACTGCAGGCCGTTCCGGATGATGCTGAGATCGTTCTTGCTTACGAGCCTGTGTGGGCCATTGGAGCAAGTGAACCTGCAGACCCTGATCATGTTGTTGCTGTGACGCAGCAGATCAGGAAGATGGCCGAGGGACGCAAAGGTCTGACAAGGATCTTGTATGGCGGAAGTGCCGGTCCAGGAACGTACGACAGACTCAGAGAGGGTGTTGATGGTTTGTTCTTGGGACGCTTCGCTCACGATGTGAAGAATCTCGTGCAAGTCATCAAGGAGATGAGTGATTGAAAAAAAAAGATTGAAGCATAGCGAAAAGTTGATATCCTTCATGCTGGCTATGATACGCAGTATTATCATAATCTCAAATGCATTTTGCGTCATCCACACTCTACCTGATCTTGTACAAGCACGGCTTGAGGGTCTTCGTCTCATCCTCAACACTGACCTCCTTGGTCTCTTCCTCGACAAACTTCTTGAACTTAGGTTTCCATGTTCCATTCTCGCCCTTCCTCTCCTCGCCCGCCTCTTGCACATTCTTTCCCACCACAGGCGCCGCGGCCTTGATAAATTCCATCTTGACAAACATCTTGTTGCTCAGATCCACAGACTTTTCGTCCTTGAGCACAAACCCCCTTCGTCGCAGAACCTCTACAAAGCCAGAGACATCGGTCTCCTCGTTCGACTTCGTAACCACCTCATCGACGTGCTCGCGTAGAGCAGCTTCTTCCTCTTCGGCAGTGAGTTTGGCACGTGTGGCATCCGCAGCCTTTGCCTTTGCAGCAGCTTTACGGCGGTTACCTACACTGTGCTCGACGACCTTCTGACCACCCTTGCCCTTGTCACCTCCCACCCTTCCAAATCTCGACTTGATCTCTGAGATCCAGAGTTCACCCTTCCAATGCAGGATTCTGTATGCCTCTTCGATGAAATCGATCCAATTCGTTCCCATAAGAGCCAAGCAGAAAATGGCTACGTCCATGCTTCCATCTGCGCAGGGCAGATTTGCAATATCGGCTTTTGTGACAAATTTGCTCGGTGATTGCAGATCGTATGAGGCGATCTTGAGGTTGTAGCGGGTGCCGCTGCCGTCTTCGTGGAATGTGGCAGCGAGTCTTGCGTCTCCACAGCCCAAGTCTGCAATGTTACAAGTGCCGTGTGTGCGTGGCAGCGGGTTTGCCTTCTCACCAGTTGCTGGCTCTTCCTCTTCTTTGGGGGCCTTTCCTCTCTTGACGTCACGGAAGGCCTTGTTCTGGTTGTAGACCTTGACCTTTGCGCGGTCGCGGATTGAGCGGATGAAGATGTCGACGGGGTTCTCGGGCCATGTTGTGACCTGCTGACGGAAACCAGAGTGGTAGTCGTCGAACATTTCGGGGTTGTCTGCGAACAGAGCGAGCGAGGTGGCCGAGGGAGCAGTGTACAGGGTTTCGTTCAAATGGCGGAACCGGGCAGAGATGAGCTTCTGGCGCATGGCAATTTGCATGGGGGTGAGTTTGGCGTTGACGGGCAGCGAGGGGGGAGCGGCGGGCGCGTTGGCGACGACCTTGCCGGCGTCTGCTGCAGCGGCTTCCTTTTCCTTCTCTTCTCTCTGCTTTTGGCGCTTCTTGTTCTTTGCCTTCTTGCTGTCTGATGTCTTCTCCTTCTCTTCTGCGACGGGCTTCTCCTTCTTCTCTCCTTCGACTACGGCCTTCTCGTCGTCTGCGCCAGGAGCAGCAGACTCGTCTCCAGCGTCGGTCTTGTCTTTCTTCTCAATCTTGGCTTTCTTGGGAGCCTTCTTGCCCTCGATGGTTGTGGCCCACAGGTCGCCTACGTTCGAGTCGTTGACATCTCTGGGAGTTCTGTCCTTGCCTCCTCTCTTTCTCTTCTTGTTCTGTGCCGAGGGTCCATTCGTGCCATCTTCAGGCTTTTTGGCGGCGGGCTGGGCGGCTTGCTGTGTCTTGAGCGCCTTGGAGTCGACCGACCATCCTTTTACTGCGAACATGATTGGAGGTCTGAGTTATGTATGGAAGTGGTTATTCAGAAATCAAGGTCGGATAATTTTTGGTTATCGGTACTGCCGGGCGGTCGCTAACAGGGCGTAGTCTTGGCGTTCTCGAGTCCGCTTTCCTTGCACTTTGATCTCTTCTTCAGTCCAGCAACCGATGATTACACACACGATCCAGGCATAAGCATTGATTCAAGGTCTGATCTTTGAAGGATCCAATTGAATGTAGAGCAATACGAGCTATTGGCTCGAGCGTGACTTCGTAAGCCACTAAAATCACACTATGTATATTGACCTGCATCCTTTCATGCCCATCATGCCCATAAGCAATCCTCCTAACTCCCGACAAATGTCAGTGCGGCATTCTCAGCATGCCTGCCAGAACAAATAACTAACGATTCTTCGTCTTCCTTGATTTCTTGTCATTCATGCTCCTACATCCTTTAGCCGCCATGTCTGCGATCAATATACCAGCCTCGGTACTGTGGCCGGCTTTGTATGTCCTGGTCGGCGTGATCATAACTAAGACATGGTTCGATTGGACCAATAAGAAAAATGGTCCACCACTGCCATTGCCTCCAGGACCCAAGGGACTGCCACTGCTTGGAAACCTCACAGAACTACCCACAGGTACAGCACCCGAGTTCCAGCACTGGCTCAAGCATAAAGATGAATACGGACCCATCAGCTCCGTCACCGTCTTAGGCCAGACCATGGTCTTGATCCACGATAGAAAGCTAGCTCACGAACTCCTCGTCGAACGCGCGAACATACACTCAGGCAGACCTAAGCTGAAATTTGGCTTCGAAATGGTTGGGTGGAACAATACAATGGCTGGAAAGCAGTGCAACTCTACCTTCAAACTATATCGAAAGTATACGCATCAGCAGCTAGGCTCAAAGGCATCCGTGGAGAGGTACAACAAAGTTCAAGAGACTGCTGTTGGGCGCTTTTTGTGGCGTGTCAAACAAGACAACGGAGCAGCTTTGACCCAATACCTCAAGACCGAAGCCGGAGAGTTGATTCTCAAAGTCATCTACGACTATACCATCGAGCCTTTCGAGAAGGATCCCCTGGTGGATCTGGTTGATGAAGCCATGGAGCAGTTCAGCGAAGCTACGATCCCAGGTCGCTGGATGGTAGACGTCTTCCCCTTCCTGCAGCACGTACCCAGCTGGATCCCCGGAGCCGGCTTCCGAAAGACTGCGGCAGCATGGAAAAAGACTCTGCTAGACGTAGCAGACATCCCATATGTGTTCGCCAAGCAGCAAGGAAAGCACAAGCAAACCAGCCAAGCAGACTTTGTCACAAAATCCCTTGAACAAGCACAACAGGAAAAGACCTTGGACATCACCGACGAGCACGCAATCAAATGGGCAGCAGCATCCATGTACCTAGGCGGCGCTGACACCTCAGTCTCAACCATGAACGCCTTCTTCCTTGCTATGAGTATGTTTCCCCCTGTCCAGCTCAAAGCTCAAGAAGAACTCGATCGCGTCATTGGAAACACCCGCCTCCCCACTCACGCCGACCGCGAAAATTTACCTTACCTCAATGCCATAGTGGAAGAAGCACAACGCTGGCACCCTATTGCACCCATGGGTCTCCCTCACGTGACCGACGCCGAGGATACAATCTCTGGCTATCGCATTCCCAAAGATTCGCTCTTGTTGCCAGCGATATGGTGGTTAACTCGCGATCCATCCATCTACCATTCCCCCGAAGAATTCAAACCCGAGCGCTTTTTACCCCCTGATAATGAACCTGCTGCTACCTCTTTTACCTTTGGCTTTGGTCGCAGGATATGTCCTGGTCGTGTTTTGGCTGATGCATCGCTATTCCTTACTTTTGCACAGTCGCTTGCTGTGTTTAATATTGATAAGCAAATTGACAAGGAAGGAAAGGTTGTGGAGCCAAAGCATGAGTTTATAAGTGGTATTGTTGCGTATCCGGGTGAATTTGGGGTTAGAGTCACTCCGAGGAGTCAGAGGCATGAGGAGTTGATTGAAGAGGTTGCGAGGAGGTATCCTTGGCAGGAGAGTGATGCTAAATTGCTCACAAAAGCTTGAGTGGAAGGAACTACTTTGCTTATCCAATATATGTTCTCTTCCATGGTTGGCCTAATTACAGACTGCCGATGCGGGGTGAAATTTGGCATCCTGCATGAGCTTCAACGGAAGGAGCGAATCACGGTCATGCTTAGAGCGCTCGACTGCAACAGTCTTCCTATTTTCATCGCAATTCCATTCACCGCAAATCCTGGATATGCAGACGCCACGGACGTACACACTGGCCACTAGCATCAGCATCCTCGAGTGTCGGCTGTGTCCCATATTGGCGACGTATGCAAAAGCCCGGTGCGGTACTTGAACAAGACGCAGTACCGTACCAAACCACAGAATATCCATCAGCCTCTTGTCTGGACGGGATACTCTCATCTTGCCGTCCTCACTTTCCTACATCGAACTCTGTTTCTCGTTCTGACCGCCACCATTGTCTAGTCACTGTCATGAATAAGTTCAATACTCTGGAACGAGGCGAACTATACACTGTCGGCTGGATTGCTGCTCTCGCCAAAGAGCTGGCAGCAGCACTTGCTATGCTGGATGAGAGGCACGGCAAACCAGACGACTTTGGAAAGCCCTCCTCTGACAAGAACTCGTACCACTGGGGTCGAATCAGAGGGCACAACATCGTCATAGCCTCACTAGCTGCCGGAGTCTATGGTACCACCTCTGCTGCAACCACAGCAATCCAGATGCTGTCTGCTTTCCCAAACATCAAAGTCGGCCTGATGGTCGGTATTGGAGCAGGTATCCCTAGACCGAAGCAGAAGCGTGACATTCGACTAGGCGACGTCGTGGTCAGCCTTCCACAAGGACAGTCCGGTGGTGTACTCCAGTATGACCTTGGGAAGAGTCGGGTGAGGGAAGTTTAAGGGAGCACTACACGCACCTTTGAGCGTGTTGGCTTTCTCAACGCACCTCCTGAGGCTCTCCTCAAGGCTTTGACGTCACTGCGAGCGCAAGTCAGATTGGAAGGCTCAAGGATGCCGTCTTTTCTAGAAGACATGCTAGAGCGATATCCTCAGATGGCAGAGAATGAACCAGACGAACCAGGATATATCTACCAAAGACAGGAGAACGATACTCTCTTCGAAGCTTCGTACGTGCACACAAGCGACACAGATTGTAACGATTGCGATCGTACCAGAATCGTTGCCCGTACTGCGCGTCAAAATCCGAGCGTCCCTCGGATACATTATGGAGTGATTGCGTCAGGAAACAAACTCGTCAAAGATGCCATCGAACGAGATCTCATACTGAAGGAGTCTGGAGAGGACTGTATCTGTTTGGAAATGGAAGCGGCTGGACTCTTGAACTCCTTTCCATGTCTTGTCATTAGAGACATCTGCGACTATGCTGACTCCCACAAGAACGATGATTGGCAGGAGTATGCTGCAGCAACAGCTGCTGCTTATGCCAAAGAGTTTCTAGGATTCGTGGACAATCAGGACCTAGCTCAAGCAACGAGGGCCATCGAGCGATTTGAAAGAAGTTAGTGGACTATCCGCATGCCTTCGGCTCTCACTTTTCCCAGAATTTGACAGGTCTCGCAGTGTCTCACGACGTCAGAGAAACTCGAGAAACAGTCCAAAGATTGCAGCTCAATGATCACGAAAGAGAGATTCGGGAATGGTTGTCAGCTCCAGATCCTTCTATCAACCATGCAAACGCCCTGGAGAGACGCTACGAGGGCACCGGATTATGGTTCACTGGAGGTCGAGCTTTTACAAGCTGGAAAAGCCAATCAAGTTCATTCCTCTACCTCTATGGCATCCCTGGATGTGGAAAGACTGTCCTCAGCTCTACCAACATTGAACATCTGAACAGCATCTCTGCGCCAGCTCCAACTCTGCTCTATTTCTACTTTGATTTCAATGACACCAGCAAGCAAACCCTTGAAAACATGTTACGCTCTCTTGTTAACCAACTTTACCACGGGCAACCAGATTCTCGAGAACCCCTCGATCGACTGTAGAAATCTTCTGAAGGCCAACAACGACTGTCAAAAAGATCATTGAGAGATGTTATGTTCGTTATGCTGAGCAAGGCTACCGAGGCCCGTATCGTGTTAGACGCTTTGGACGAGTCGACCACGAGGAGCGACGTGCTTGCTTGGATCAGGGACGTTCTTGAGGCCGACTCATTTGCATGCCAGATTCTAGTAATTGCCAGAAGAGAGGAGAATGTCGAATCAGCTCTTCAACATTGGATGCGACCTGAAGATAGGATAGGCATCCAACACGATGGCATCAACGAAGACATAAGAGCGTATGTCAATCATGAGGTACACAACGGCGAGGAACTCGATGGATGGCGTGATATGCCTGAAGTTCAAGATGAGATAGAAATGGAACTAGTGAGAAAAGCTGACGGAATGCGAGTTCGATTCCTCTTTTCAACACATGTAATGCAGGAATGCTAACACGACTCAGGTTCTGGTGGGTATCCTGCCAGATTGATGCTTTGAAGAATTGTCGCAACTATTCTAAGCTCAAGTGGGCCTTGAACAGCCTCCCTAAGACGCTTGACTGGGTACTAATCCTGCTCGTTGGTACCTATGATGTTATCTAACCGACTAAAAGGTGGTAGGGGAGCAGGTAGACGATATTCATAACGATGAACGGAAAGGAAGTAAAAGGGATAGTTAATATCAAGTTTGTTATATATACACTAAAGAACTACAAGCAACGCCAATAAACTATGCTAACAACTAATGCTAACAGGTCATACCAAAAGCGGTATCAAATCCCAATGCTCTTTTAGCTATACATAACAACCAATACCTTTTTTTTCCTATAAAGAAAATCCTCTATCTCACCTCTATCTCCTTGCTCTGGGAACAACAGGTGCACCTTCCCAAGCAGTGCCCCTTGGCAACACCTCTCCCTTCATCAACAGACTCAAACCACCGAGTTGACCTTCGTCTTCAATGGTGCTACCAGGAAGACAAACACTGAACGGCTTCAGACAAGCCCTGTTTCCCAAAACCACATTTCCCACTTTCATGACTCTGTCCTCGAAAAGATGGGTTTGAGCACCGCAAGTCTTGTTGACGATACATTCATCGCCCAATGTGACACAGTCGAACTCTGTGATATCAGAGGAGAGGAAAGTGACTCTTGAGCCAATGGTTACACCCATGAGACGGAAGCACATAGCGAGGTATGGCGTACCGACCAAGTGAACAGCGAGAAGCGGCTCAGTGAGTGTCTCCCAGGTACTCGTGACGGCCTCACTGAGCCAGACGTTCAGACTCCAGAGTGGCCATTCTGCAGGCTTGTACTTTCCGACAAGGAGCCACTTGATCAGAGCTGTGAACAGCAGAGCCGGCAATGCGAACAAGATGAGGTAGAGTAGTGGCAGCATAAGCAGTGTGTACACGGCTCCAATCTTCGCATAGCCATCATGGCAGAGTTGCAATCCGAAACCCAGTCCGAAGATGATGATTGAGCGTGGTACAACGATACGAAGCCCTTCAATGAGTAGACGTGCAGCAATGCGACCAGCTGATGGTCGGAAGAGAAGGCTATCCTCATGACCTTCGGCGCGCTGACGGTTGGGCATGAGTACTGGTGGAGATCCAAAGCAGGAGCTGTTATTCGCCATCTGTGTATCTGCAGGCGGGGCGATGGAAAGGACACCTAAAAGAGTGCCAGATGCCAATGTAGTGCCCTGAGGAAGGACGGAAGCATTGCCAGCGAAAGCACGCGGTTCTAGCTTGGTTTTTTGTAGCGTCAGCTTGTTTCCCTTGACAACTCCTTCTCCCATGATGACGGCATCAGCGACAAAACTCTCTTCGCCAATCTCGAGAAGATCAAATGAAACATTGCGGGCGGTAGAGACCTCAGCACGCTTGCCAATCTTGGTGCCTAGAGCTCTGAGGAAAGGAACAATGTAGAGAGTAGCGAAAACAGGGTGAAGTACGTCCAAAGCGAGATCCATTAATCTCTCGATAAACCACTTGCGAAGGTAGAAAACGCTGTATGTGCTGTAGGTACCTTCCTTGAGACGCCCAAGGAAGATGTGGCGGTAGAGTAGTAATTGCAGGAAGACCAAGATTTGGTATGCGAAAGCGATCGGTACCGAGAGAATCGCAGTCTGTTGCCACCCATTGATTGAACGAATGTCAAGAACATCGAAGAGCATCAATCCTGGAATCTGGGGCACAAAGTAGAGAAGAGGTAGCACCAGGAATGCGACAACTGAGTTACCAAGTAGCATAGCTGTTGCGCGAGCCTTTGAAGGTCTGGTATCTTGTGGGCGAGGAGAGTCTTCGGCCTTCTTCACTTTGTCGAGACGGGCGGGTGATCCGTGGAAACGATGGAAACTGGGCACGATCATACCAGAAGGAACCAGGGAAAGCGATGCAACTTCTGCCTCTTCGCTGACAGTGGCACCGCCTTCAATGACACAGCGTGAGCCAACGGAGGCGCCATTCTCGATGACGACCCTCTGCAGCACCAATCGTCCTCTCTCGACCACACAAGCACCAAGTACAACATCACCACCGATAACGACATCGTCTCCGATCTCGACGAGATCAGCACATGGTCCGATTTGTAGCGCACCAAGGTGACAGAACTTTCCGACTTTCGCACCACAAGCTCGCAGGAAGATGGGATACAACCCAGAGTCCGCCATTAGCTTAGGGTTCGCCAGCGAGACAAGGCGATCTGCGAACCACCAGCGGAAATAGTACACTCCGTACAGAGGGTATTCTCCTGGTCGTGCCTTTCCAAGGATCAACCATTTGCCTGCAATTGCCACAATGCTCAGAGCAGGTGGAATGACCACAAAGACAGCATAGGCTGTGAGAATAGCAAAACCAATACGACCAGCGACGGCGTGGAAGTCGAAAAGCAGATAGGGGACCAGAATCTCGATGGATTGCAAGAAGAAAACGAACAGGAGAGGTAAGAGCTGAGCAATACCGCAGAGCACAAATTTAGTCTGCGATACAGGCAGGTATTCGCCAGTCCATGGACCAGTTCCTTCAAAGTCGCTGTCCAGTGAGGTGATCTCTTGAAGATCGAGTCGAAGGTCCTTAGACTTTTCTGATATCTCGAAGCGAGAGGATATACTGGCTGGCGTACGGAGTTCATAGATATCAGCAAGGCCGATAGAAGCGAAAGGCCGGGTCTCATCGTTGTCAAGCTTTGCCTGTCGCAGTCGTGAAATCAAAATTGCTGCTATCAATGAGTGTCCTCCCAGGTCGGTGAAAATGTCACTATCAGGTTGCACACGGGCTCCGGGGAACAATGGCGATAATGTGGCTAGCATCAGACCCAGTACACCTTCCATTTCGACGAAAGAAGGCACTGAGGAGATATCAGTGTCATCGCCGCTTGGTCGGACGGCCGCTCTCTCAGCATGAAGACGCGTCGAGACCTCTTGTAGCGCTTTTCCGTTGATCTTGCCACTGGGAAGTCGAGGCATCTCACTCGATTCGAGGAAAAATACCTCTTCTGGACGCATGTATGCCGGTAAGCTCTCGAAAGCAACTTGACGGATTGTGGCAATGTCATGAGCAGCACCGTCCTTGAGAACCACAAAGGCTTCAAGACGGGCATTGTCTGAGCCGGCGTTGGCCAGGATAACAGCTGCAGCTTGCACGTCTGGTACGTCGTAGAGTCTCGACTCGATCTCGCCAAGCTCAATTCGGAATCCGCGGTGTTTCACTTGAGTGTCGATGCGTCCAAGGAAAATGATCTTGCGGTCTGCTTGCAGTCGTACACGATCACCAGTGCGATACAACTTCTCGCTTGTGCCGGATCTTAGAGGGTGTTCAAGGAATTTCTGTGATGTCAAGTCAGGACGTCCAACGTAGCCTAAACCAACACAAGGACCTCCAATGGCAAGCTCTCCTTCAACTCCTTCACACCACTCGAGAGGCGCAAGAGTGGCCGAGGAGCTGTCGTCAAAGATAGGAAGTAGACAAGCATGGTATCCAGGTAAGGGTTTGCCGATTGTGACAGGTACGTCGGGTTGCAGCTCGTCCCAAGTGGCAGTAACAGTGGTTTCTGTGGGACCATATGTGTTGATGATGCGAAGACCAGGCTTTGCGAGACTTTTCACCAAGGCAGGTGGGCAGGCTTCACCACCAAGGTTGATAAGACGAATTGATGAGGGAAGAAGAGAGTCGCCTGCATCCGATCGTGCAATGTTCATGATGCCTATGAGTGTAGGCACTGCGTTCACGACGGTGACGCCACGCTTCGCCCAAACTGCCGGCAATGCTGGGACGTCTCTGCATTCTGCACGAGTTCCAATGGCAAGGTGACCTCCTCCGGCGATGGTCACCCACATCTCTTCGACAAACATGTCGAAAGCCGGACTGAATCCATTCCAGACTGTGTCACGGGGACTTGTTTCCAGGACTTCTCGCTCACTGAGGGAGAACACGAGAGCAGCAGAGTGCGGGATAGCAATTCCTTTGGGCATTCCAGTAGTTCCTGAGGTATAGATGAGGTAGGCAGCATCTTGCGGTCGAGGGCCAAGGACCGGGGCGAGTGTGGAGGCATCAAGGCCTTGCGATACTCGTGATTGTACTTCTAGAGTCAATTGGGTGAGTGTGCGGCACTGAAGCCTCGATATGCTATCGGCTGATGTTGATGAAGCGACTCGCTCTTGCACTTCCCGGACCTGATCAGCATGCGCTGCATCGCTGATGATTAGAGAGACCGAAGCATCGACCACGCAGACAGCAGCACGCTCGGCGGGAACGTCCGGGTCCAGGGGCAGCCATGTAGCGCCAGAGTATGTGGTGGCAAGGATAGCGAGAACGAGGTCAAGGCCTTTTTCCAACCAGATGGCCACTGTTGGCGCTTGGTCGTCTTCAGTACGTTGGGAGAGAGTTGCGATACATGAGGCCAGCGACGATGCCCTGGCGTCTGCTTCTGCGTATGTTATTGTTTGCAATCCATTGTCGGTCTGAACAGAATATGCGATGCTTTCGGGTTGTGTCCTTGCTTTGTGTTGAAACAGTTGTGGTAGGGTGGTCACCGATACTGGTGCGATGGGTTCTGTATCGAGTGGTGCATCACCTATCAGAATTCGAGAGTCGGTGGTTTGGTAGTTGTCAGGGGTTTGAGGCATTGAGTATGCCATTGTCGAGAGGAATCGGTCTCAGCGCCGCTGCAGACCTCTGTACAACACGAACAGATTGAATGAGTGACGTATAACAAATGAGCAAGACAGTCAGTAGTAAACAATCGATTTTTTCTTGACGGGATGTAAAGGGGACATATGGAAGCACAGAGGCAACTGACACCATAGGAGGCGTGACTTTCAACATCGTTTCCCGCTATTCTCGGAAAGAGGCATTTACGAATAATAGACACCGGCTCTCCACGTGCACTGGTACAAGACATTTTCGAGGAAGGAGTAGACCGGGCGAGGCCAGCCTTCCGTATACGCGTGGCCTGTCGACTGCGAGGAACGCTGGCCGCGCGGCGCTCATCTGTAAGCTGCGACGATATAGGCTTTGGGCGTCCGTATGCGCGCGCCAACGTCGCTGAGGAGGTACGGCAAGCCGGCAAAGGTTAAGTACAATAGGACTCAAATACTCCGGTCAGCACTGTAGTCGTCTTACAATTGTCTCGTCCAAGTATGGCCATCTGGATGCGCCTATGACTATTTGCGTCGACGGGTGTTGTCTTGAGATGAGCTGAGGTTGGAGAAAGGCTGCGGTGTTCGGTGGTGCAAAAGACAATCATCGCCAAGTCCCGAACAAGCACTCGCTCCCCACGCGCGAAAGGCTTGTGTTTTGCAAAAGCTCCGGTGTCACGGTGATGATTGCGTGTCAAGGTTCGTGTTTGCTCCTTGCATGCATTTTGTATTACATAAATAATTGCAAGTCTACCAGTAATAAGGCCGTAAGCTTCCATATGTCAACCTTCGATACCATTTCGGCTTGAGCGCTCGTGATTTTCTGGAACGATCGAGAATTCGCAACGGGGTAAGCCCATCTCCAATCTGAGACACTGCGCGGAGATGACCACTGCAAACCTTCCCATGTGCAAAAGTATGTAACACGTGCAGCTATAAAGATGCACAGTGGTATTGAGGCACGGATTGTCGCCATTGAGAAGTGACATCGCGTCAGATCTCTTGTAAACGTCAAGCCTTCGAAAGCCATCATACCGAAGATCGCCCTTTATGCCTTTGTGAGAAGAGTGCGCGAGCTGCAGAATCTAGCACTCGGTTGAGGACGCGATCAATACCAATGGACAAACATTCATTCCTAAATCTTTCTAGACTCTATCCACCACGAGCCTTGCCATACACATCCTTGCTGGCCATTTCCTTGCAAATAGGATGGTAGAACTCCTTGTACTTCTCAAAAGTCTCTTGAGCCAACTTCTCATCGCACTCCCTGAGATTTCTGTAAAGTGGGCGCACGAACTTCATGCGACCAACCCTACCAAGCAACTCGGTAGTGGGAATGTACACGCTCTCGCACCTTGCCTTGAGACCAACTATCATGTATCTGCTGGTCACTTCGACGTTCTTTGACGCAGCGTAAGAGTAGACTTCACCCATCTTCTCGACGAGAGTGGGTGAAAGAGGAGTCTTCCAGGTCTGGATCTTCTCGAGGAAGACGACGGATTGGTTGGCGGACCACGACGAAATGTCCGAAGCTGAAGGCTTGAAGTCCGAGCTTCCGCCGTTCAGGGACTCCCACTTGTTGGCGAGATCGTAGCAGACATCCACCATGCTGGTGTCGAAGTCGGGCTTGGGAGGATAGCCGGGCTTGTAGAACCAAGTGTCCCAATCGACAGAGTTCAGCTTGTCAGTTGCCTTCTCGTCCTTGGCAAAGAAGTCCAGGAGAGTGGCTTTGAATTCGTAGGAGTCGAGAGATTTCTGTGCGAAGGTGGTGAAGTAGTGGGGGATGAATTTGTCCCACTTTTCCTTGCCTACCAGCTTCTCGAGATAGTAGAGGAAGGTGAAGCCCTTCTCGTAGGGAATGCTGGAGAATGCGTCATCAGGATCCTTGCCCTTGAGGTCAGGGATTAGCTTTGTGTATTCGTGCTCGGGCCCATAGCCTTCGATGCTGTCTGTCAAAGCCTTCCAGCCAATGATGGCGCTGAAGTCTCTGTGAGGTTCGCCATGGATGGAAGCCTGGATCCGACGCTCCAAGTATACTGTCCAGCCCTCATTGAGCCAGAAGTGCTCCCATGAACAGTTGGTGACTAGATTACCTGACCATGAATGAGCAAGCTCATGTGCAATAACGTCAACGTTCTCGCGGTCACCGGAGATGAGAGTAGGTGTTGCGAATGTGAAGATGGGGTTCTCCATGCCACCGTAGGGGAAGCTAGGAGGCAAAACGAGTACGTTGTACTGAGTCCAAGCATAAGGGAAGACAATCTTCTCGGCAGCCTGGATGAATTTCTCGGTGGGCTCGAACTCCCACTGCGAAGCCAAGAGCTCCTCAGGACCAGTGTGAACACAACTGCGAGGACCAATGGCAGCAGAAGCAAGATCACCACTGGCGAGAGCGAAAAGATACACAGGCATGGGGATCTTCTGATCGAAAGTGTACAGAAGAGTTCCAGGAGCATCACCTTCACCGGGACGGAAGTCCTTGTTTCCAGTAGGCAGACCACTGGCAAGGACAGGGAGAGGAGAACGAACGTTGAAGGTGAAGGTTGACTTGACATCAGGAGTATCCTGGCAAGGCAACAGCGAACGAGCGTGGATAGCCTGACATTGAGAGAACATGTAAGGTTGCTTCTTGTTTGAAGTTTGCTCGGGTGTCATCCATTGCACGGCAGTGCACTTGTCGGTGGTGGCCATGGTGACCTCAATCTCGGCGTCTCCAGAGTGGTCATCAGGAATCTCGATGGTGAGAGGACTTCCATAAGGCTCGAACCTCTCTCCAAGATTCCACTTGGCTTTCTGTCCAGCAAGCTTGACCTCCTGGATGTCGAGGAAGCTGGTATCAAGAACAACCTTTCCACTTCCTTGACCCTTGGTGAGTCTTTCCAGCTCCAACTTGATGGTACCAACACATCTGTTCTTGGCGAACTCCAGCTCCAGGTCAGCAGTTACGTGCGTGGTTCTCCAGACGTTGTAGTTGCTCAATGTATTGGGATCTCTGGGTTGATGAATTGAGATGTCCACATCATCCGCGATAGGGCGCTCCAGCATTGCCGCAGGGGATTTGTGCATTGTTGCGAACGCTCTCAAACTTGTGACAGAATTCGACAGTCCAGAATTTGGTGATCTAGCGAAGACTTTGAACAAAGACGAGAGGCTCTTGTTCATCTGTCTTACGAGATGATAGAAGTTTTTAGAACGGCGGCCTGAACTGAAGAAAGTCGCGTGTTCTTCTCGAAAAGGCAGGTCGGAAACGGCCGAGGCTTTTGGTAGGAGCTTTCACGAAATCTGGAGAAAGCTCTTCGCATGAGTCACGTGTGGAGCTCTCTCGTAAAGCAACTCGAGTAGCGAAATTGCACTGAGCACAAGCACTTTTCTGTCTTCTCCACCTCGTGTCTCCTGTATAAGAACTTATCACTCGGTATCTACAAAGTTGCACAAAGGTCTTGAGAAACAAGTCTGTGTCCCTCGAGACGCGAAATTCTCTGGGCTGCTCTTGGGTCCTTTTATAGTACCGAAGTCTTCATGCCTTTCCATAGCGAAAAGCGCAGGAGAGTCAGGCACGCTGCCCAGCTGTTCTGTCCTCCACCTCGAAATTGGTGAAACCCATCGAAAATCATAGTTTCTCAGCTGATAGGAAGCATCCATTGAGAGTCGTAGGTTCCTGAGCTCTCTATCGTCTTATCCTCTGGTTGAGAAAGGAGCATGCATTATTATAACCACAGCAGCGGCGACTAGACTACTGTGATCGATGAATATCCAGTCGCGGATTGTCTCCTCGTTTTCCAGCTTAACCATGTCCAACCTCGTTTTAGCCATCTGACACATATCTTCGACATCAGAAACAAGGACAACAATAAGACGAGAGCAAAGGGTACATCATCAATCACAGAGTCGGTAATCACAACGTCGAGGATCAGGCAAATCGCGAATATGAGCAGTTGCAGAGACCACTTGAAGCGACTTTGCTTCTGTCTGTAGGCACGCACCACACGAAACACGCATAGTGCGCCGAGGACGGGATAGCACCAGATCAGATATGCCAATTCCCAGTTGAAGATATCGGTCCAAGAAGTGCGTCGATACGCTAGCACGACAGCCATACCGACCGCACCAAGAAAGTACAAAATGACAAGCACCATAAAGAGAGCCCGCCAGTGTTGCCGATGGACCTCATACTGCTGCGATGCAGATCTGAAGCAAGGACCAGCGATGAGAGGAAGCAGGATGACTGCTGCTGTCAGTGGCAGGGATATCTCAAGATACTGGGACATGGTCCAGTAATGCTGTGATGGTCCAGATGAATCGACAGTGGATGTGGGTGTAGCAGAGTGCGTAGACGTTTGTGTATGTGTTGATGTATGTGTTGATGTATGTGTAGGTGAGTGTGTGGTTGTGTGGTTGGGTGTGGATGCCAAAGCAAGACGCGGAAACAGGGGGTTCTTGACATTCATGCCGAATATTGACTGCAGGTAATCGTCAGTACTCAATCGGTTCCAACCCGATCTGTCAAGCTCACGGCGACAAAAGATAGTGGTATGAAAAAAGCGGCGGCTATCGTAAGAACCAATGCTCTTTGACCTTGAGCGAGGCTCATTTGTTCAATGATCTGCTCTTTCGCAGATTATATTGGCTTTTCCAGGCTCAATAGCCTGTCAACAAGGAACTCGAGATCTTCTCGAAAGCCTATAAAGAGCTCAAGCGCTCTGGTCTTATCTGGATCTCCCGTCTTCTGACAGCAAAAGACATCCGATGCCACGGTCAATTCTGCTCTGCAGACAATGGTCCTGGCATGCTGCAGGTCCGCGATGGCTAGACGGCGACAATCATCCAGATGAATAAGGTATTGAATCTTGCTTCTGGTAGGTAAGCCTCGGCCTTTGTACACCTAACCCAAGAATTAGTATGCTGCGCGCAGAATTCTCAAAATAACATTACCATCTGAGTTATCCTCGACGCCATTTCATCAACTAGCACAGAAGAGTCGTCGACGATCCATTTGAAGAACACAGCAAGGACTCGGAGTGTCTCATGGTTTGTGTCCCACGGGTGTTGTGTCTGACTGCTTCTGACGAGAGCGTCCTCGGTGCTCAAAAACTTCGTCATCAAAGTTGGAGGATCCGCGACTACAAGAAGACGCTTTGCAGGCGATCCGCCTGATTGAGAAACCGATATCTGGCTCGGCATGATGATCGTCACTGAGTTGTAACAGATACTCGGCGTCTGTTCCAGATGGGGCTGCCACACATACACATTCAGGTCGTTGGTGTACATCAGCAACCTGTTCTGCCAGTGTAGGTTGTACGTCTCTTCAGTATTTTTGAGTAGGACACAGACCTTAAGAGAAAGTTTCTTGGATGGTAGACAGTCGCTAGTCGGATGCGAAGCGGTAGCTTTAATGATGCTTTGCAGATTCCATGCCGATACTAACCGTTGAGCGATGATGCGGGCAGGCGCCAGGTTCAAGTCTTGTTGACATCCCCGGGAAGTTTCTACCGCGTTCTGCCAGATCGAGAAATGACGCTGCATGACGCTGAAGTCCAGCGTCAAGAAGCTAGGTGGAAACACTGGTCAGTGAGATCCCAAGGAGGACGAAACGGTGTCTACCAGATTTGTAAGCATGATTCTAGGGATCTAGAGCGTAGTGCTGGTTCGAGATACTCGGTCAAGTATCTTTCCGTGGCGATACCATTTGGTGTGCTGAAAGTATCCCAGCTGCCCTGCTTGTCACTTGGTGATGGTAGAACGGCTCCAGGCTGCAGTGTCATGAGCTTGACTCTGGTCTCGACAAAGGTTTTCGCGGGCTGGTCTCTGAAGTATCCATACTGTCTACGCAGAACAGCTTCGTCGAAACCTTTTGATTGATGAAGGTATTCCATGAGTAGATAGCGGTAGGTTCTATTGGTACGCAGAGGAATGACACGCAAGTGTAGCCAGCGAAACACCTGAAATAAGTACACGGGCCTGAGGGATTATCTCATGAATCCAGGTGTCCGGTACAGAGAAATAAGGCAGTGGCTCGCCGCCAGTGAAGAGCCACAAGGCTGTATGAACCACGGTTTGTGGATGCGGGATGGTGGGTGACTGGCCAATCATACCATTAGCGAAGATGAACATCGATGTGCCTTGATGATTGACATCAAATAATACGGCTGTTTTGCGAGAAACGTACACATGTACTGTGAACAGAAGGCTGAATGTCCGCAAAGCTGGTAATTTTAGCGAGCTAACACTAAACAGAAAAAAGCAGTTACGACTCGAGTACTTCATTCTTGATTTGCAATCATGGTCGTGTGCGGTAGAGGTCAGTGACGAACACATACCTTGCTACTCTCTTGCGCCCTCCCCGGATCCAAAGATTTGGGCTACAATAGCTATGGAAATGCATAGTCTCTTTGGTAAGCAGGAAGCATCCACCAAGAGTCGCGACAATACCAACTCTCTCTGAATTCCTCTACCTACCATGTTGTGTTGTAGCGTGTGGACCCCCACAGGAGCAGTGCCGGGAGTAGGATGCAAGGTCTCTCCATCCCCTATCCTCCCGCGAAGGTCCACGGATGTAACGCTGTAGTAAGGCAAGGTGACTTATTGACTAGACATGGTCCAGGAAGAGCTGACAATTCGTTGCTCCTGGACGGATGATCTCCTGCCCCTCGAATACACCGTAGCTATGCGTGTTAGCATAGGGGAATGCGGCGAGAGTATAACTGGGAGAGACCTTTTGAGTCTTATCCGGTGATGGCGACCTGAGTGGTGATGGCTCTGGCGTCGGAGTCTCCGTTCATGCCCTCTTCGTCTTCGTCGTCCGGCTTGGTGATGTGACTGTTGCTGAGCTTGCTGCCTGTGACACGAGGCATGCTGGGTGCTGTCTCTGGTGAAGATGTCAAGATCGTGGTGTGTTAGCTTGGTGAGGTCAAGCTGTTATCTGTGACGGAACTGGTCAGGTATCACAAGTAAGCCACAGGCAGGAAAGGTCAATGAGTCAAGTAGGTAGTTGAATATGTTTCTTCATATCGTGTAATGTGTGTCTGATAGCTGTTCAAGCAGCCTTGCCCAGAGCAATGTTCTCAACATGTTGCGCACCTTGGTAGTTCTTCCTCTCGTGCTCCATGATGGCATCTACCTTCTTCGCACTTGCACTCTGCTCATCGAACTTGTAGCCCAGCCACTCCTTGGCCAATCTTCTCGCAACCTCGACACCAACTACTCTCTCGCCCATGCATAGTACTTGGGCATTGTTGCTCAACACTGCTCTCTCAACGGAGAAACTGTCGTGAGCAGTAACGGCGCGGATGCCGGGGACTTTATTTGCTGAGATGGCGACACCGAGACCGGTCCCGCAGATCAAGAGTGCGCGGTCGGCCTTGCCTTCTGCTACGAGCTTTGAAGCGTCGACAGCAGGGTGTGGGTAGGCAGTCTTGTCATCGCTGCTGTTGACGCCGACATCAATGACCTTGTCAACGCGAGGATCGTTCTCGAAGTCTGCCTTGATCTTGTTCTTGTAGCCACAGCCGGCGTCGTCGCAGCCGATGGCGATGGTGAGGGGCTTGTTGGACATGATTTGTTCTCTCTGAAGCGTGGGGGGGGCGGGATCACAGCTGGCTAGTATCGTAGCCGACGGTAGCTGGACAATGAGAGGGGTCTAAGTCGAGGGTGATAGAGTCTCCCTGCTTGGTGTTTTGCTCGGCACCGTTCGTCTCGACGGTATAGGGGTTTGTGAAGATGGTGGTGGTGTGGGAGGATTCGTGAGGGGTGTCGTGAGTGATGGTCTTTGACTCGGCCGTCTTGTTGTCGTGTATTCGCTCGCGAAGGTGTTCAGCGTCGGTGGTAAAGGACGACGAGATGTGGATGCGCTTGTTGGGGGGAGTCGAGGAGGACATTTTGAATTGGGCAGGAGGGGGAGCAGTATTTGAATGGCAGCGACCACGTTCCGGGAGTTATTGGTCGGCAGCGGTTGGCTGAGCTCTTGCAGCTGATGCCTCCGAGCCTTTGGTGTCTTCGGCGACAACTGCGACTCGGAGGTCCAACGCGGGGCTAAATTCTCGGGTTGCCCTTTTCGGTCAGCCCCCGTCATCGCTCCTTCCACTCCCCAGTCCCCGCGCGCCTCCATTTTACCCACGGGGCAACAGCCAGCTCTGACATTCCGACATACGGCTGTTGACACCGGCGCCTGTTGTTCGTTGCATTGTGACCGACATGCTTGTGGAGCCGAATACTTCCTCGTAACATAACCACTTCTACCTGCGCTTTCCTGCTCTGCAATCGCCGGCATGCAAATGTTCTGTGTCTCATACCTTCCCGTATCCCTTGATCGACGTTTCTTTCCCCACAAAGAGCACGAGACCACATTGCCCTCTCTTAGCAATTTATGATCGGATGATGATGCCGTATGCCAATGCCAATGCCTCTTTCTTTTGGCCCTTGTAAGTGACTACATTGTTCAATCCTTCGGACACTCTCTTCCTTCGTTCCCTACGTCTAGCACTTCAATCTGCCTGCTTCACTCCGACTCTCATTGCCTCGCCCAGTCTTGGTGATTGCGCTACTGTCCCTGCACCTGCGGACCTGCATGAATTGGTTTGCCGACTCGTCACTCCACCACGCAAGACAAGCATTCGACCGCTCACTTGCAGCTGCTTGCCTCTAACTTTTTGCGCTTCCGTTTGCTGTGCGACAACACTTCGCTCTCGTTTACTCAACACAACTGCCGGCAGTCAATTGCGTTTGTCTTGACCTTTTCTTCCACTCGTTGCTTCTTTCTTGCACCTTCTCTTCTTATGATACGTTGGGAAGATTGCTCTCACTCCAGGCTCTCTCTCCTCTTCCACATTTGAGATAAAATTTACTTCACCTTCTCCAATTGAGCGGTCTCTCCTCAGCGACACTCACACTCATCACATTTGGCCTGATCGTCCGCACCATCAGCCACAACCTGCAAACCAATCACCAACAATGTTCCGTCTCAAGAGCCTGGACGCCACTGCTTCAGCCATCATCAATCCTCCACCCAAGCCACGCCCCATGCCAGGCATGCCGCTCGTCGATTGCAGCCTCGCCGACTTCATCGCCGGCCAGCCTCAAGGTTTCACTCATGTAGCCGTGGCTGCGGCCGTCTTCCACCAGGATCGTCTCCTTCTGGTCCAACGTGCCGAGACCGACAGCTATCCTGGCCATTGGGAGCTTCCTGGCGGATCTTCCGACCCCACCGACAAGTCCATCAGCGAGTCCGTTGCACGCGAGCTGTTCGAAGAGACTGGTCTCCGCATGAAGCGCATCCTCTCCGAGATCCTCCCACCCGTTACCTTCTCAACCGGCTGGGGCAAGCGTCAGAAGACATGGCTCAAAGTCAGCTTTGTGGTCGAAGTTACTGCAGAGTCCATGGCACGAGTCGAGAATCAGATGGGGATTCAGGGAGCAGGCCAGGAACTCATGCGCAAGGATAGTGTCATTGCCGTGGATCCTCCTGCCATCAAGCTTCACGACCAGGAGCATCAGAATTACGTGTGGATCTCTGCCGAGGAGGTCATCAAGAACAGAGTGGCAATGCCAGGCGAGATTGCCATGGAGTTCATCGGCTCGGACAGCGTGTCGACCATCTTGGAGGCGTTCCGCTTGAACAAGCACATCCAGAAGGCAGAGATCGAAGCACTGCAGGTCCTCGGAATTGAGAACGGAAAGGCTTGAAGATGGGGCGATATAATACGTGAAGACAGGACGAGTTGCTAATAAAAGATGAAGTGGTTACGAGATGCGGCAGATCCTGGGTTTCTGATGCATGCAAAAGGGAATGGAGATAGAAAGAGGGCTTACAGGCTGGGCAGGGCTCGCTACGAAAACACTCTTTGGTCGTTTCCGGAAGATGGCAGAAAAGCAGCTCATGTACTATATTTGTGAATCAAGACAACAGACTTGGCAATACAAGCACAAAATCAAGAAAGAATGTTGCATCTTTGAAAGAAGGTTGCCCCATGTGTCCTGAAATATGAAAGAAGATGACTCGATCGGGTGATGATGCATGTCTTCCTACCTCTCCCGTAGTGCAGAAGTATGTCGCTATAGGAATGCACGATGATGTTGAGACTAGAGATGCAGCCATCTAGATGCGACACTCTCTCGGCCCTCCTTGGATGCGTCTCCACTCTAGAGTCCATTGTGCCTTTTCATAGTGGGAGAAGCGCTTCAAACGTTCGTATGAGAAGTGTGGAATTCACAGGCTTCAGCTGGGATAGAGGGCGAGCAAATTGCGGCAAGGTGCAGAAAGCAATAAATGCATGGCGGGTTGGCTGCTGCGACAGACAGGAGATGTTCCTAGTAGAGTAGGAAACAAGGTTGATGGAGGAAACTAAAATCGGGATGGCCCGCCAAAAGTAAGGAGGCTGATCGGAGGGAAAAGGTGGAGGAGAATATTGCTGGCAGTAGGCAAGCAAACGAACCTCGGCACAAAGCAGCGAGAGTCTCGATCGAGCAACCAAGTACGACGAGCAGCAACAGGTCCAGTGTCTTGCAACAAGTACAGGTCGAGTCGCATTCTTGGTCCACGGCCGTAAATTCCACAACTCGCAGCTGCAACGACCGGTGCGACTCGTTGAAGAGACGTGATTGGAGCTTCCGTTTCTTCGCTCTTTCCCACATTCGTGCTTTCCTTTCACATGCGACTCGGACTCGGATCCAGCTCGACCTGATCACCATTTTCTTCACGACAAGCGCGAAACACGCCAAAGTCGGCACGCCGGGCGCGTTGATATGAACAGTGCTACAAGACTCGTATAACGATATTTCCATGGCCGACCGCCTTTCCGCCGGCGCAATGTCCGCTCCACCGCCTCCGCAGCAACAAGCACCATCCCAGCAGCCGCAGCCCACACAACACACCACACCCCAGCATGCTCAACAGCAGCCGTCGCCAACGGGCATGAGCCAGCAAGGAGCCTCTGCCACGAGTTTCCGGAGGTACGCGACACGAGACAGTGGTATACTCTTTGGACCAAGACTGACGCGACCATCTCAGACAACGCGCCTCGAGAGCTTGCGAGGTAAGACCAACTGTGAAGCCTTGAACAGAAACATGCTGACCCCCTACAACAGACATGCCACTCGCGAAAGGTCCGCTTGAACAACATGTCCCTACCCCATCCGCAGCCCCCTTCTGACGCGTCTCCCAGGTACGCTGCGATGCCGCTAGTCTCGGTGTGCCTTGCACCAACTGTGTCGCCTTCAACATCGAATGCAAGATCCCTTCTCCCAAACGCAAAAAGACGTCCTCCAAGCAAAAAGACTCCAACAGGTACGCTTGCCGCCTGCTCTCCTCAAGACGCGCCTAACTTTGGCAGTGACCGCGAAGACAGCAGCAGCGTGATCCAACCCTCGCCCGCTACCACCGAAACCCTCGCACGTCCCGATGTCGCCCCTCAGGCTCCAATGCAGATGCCTCAACTGCCTCCTCGGAACGGCATCGACTACTCGTCCCCCAGTGGCATGCCACCAACTACGCTTCCGGAGAAATACCAGGAGCAACAGCAGATTCACGATGCAACCTGGAGCCAGTACATGAAGCCGAAGTTCGCTCGCGCGCCCATCAAGGAGGCCGGTCGCGTTGCTTACCTGGGCGAGTCGTCCAATCTGTCTCTGCTCGTACACGACAAACATGGCGCTTCGGACGTCGTCCACTATCCTCTGCCTGAAAATGTCCGTGGTCCTCGAGCCCGCATGAACGAACTCGACGAACTCGAATTGCGAATCCTGCACGAGCGAGGAGCCTTCTTGCTACCCCCTCGTCAGTTGTGCGATGAGCTGGTCGATGCTTTCTTTACCTGGATCGCCCCTGTCGTGCCTGTAATCGATCGCAACAAGTTCATGCGACGCTACCGAGATCCTAGAAACCCTCCATCGCTGCTTCTACTGCAGGCAATTCTTCTGGCTGGATCACGCGTGTGTACGAATGCACAACTCATGGACGCCAACGGATCTACTACCCCGGCTGCCATGACCTTCTACAAACGAGCCAAGGCATTATATGACGCAAACTATGAAGACGACCGGATCACAATCGTTCAAGCCGCCATCCTGATGGGCTGGTATTGGGAGGGCCCAGAGGGTAAGATGCGAGAAAAGTCCCTCGCCACTCTAGAATGTTTGTCTGATATTGCTTCAGATGTCACGAAGAACGTGTTTTATTGGAGCAGAGTGGCCGTCGTGATTGCGCAGGGTTCTGGAATGCACAGAAGGTGAGTCCTCGGTACAAGTGCTTTCCATTCCTTTATTGACTTGTGCGTGTGTAGTGTCGAGAAATCTCAACTAAGTCAACAAGACAAGCGCCTCTGGAAACGCATCTGGTGGACCCTCTTCACGCGAGATCGCTCTGTGGCAGTCGCTCTTGGCCGTCCCTGCGGTATCAACATCGAGGACTCAGATGTCGAGATGATCTGCGAAGAAGACTTCATCGAGGACGAGACTGACCAAGCCCCCGAGTATCCTTTGGACCCGATACACATCCACTTCTTCCTGAACTACGTCAAACTGTGTGAGATAATGGGTTTGGTCCTTTCGCAAAACTACTCGGTCGCTTCGCAGAAACGTGGCCGTAACAACGCAATCGACCTAACTCATTGCGACATGGCTCTGGCTGACTGGCTTCAAAATTGTCCGAAAGAAGTCTACTGGGAGAAGAGTCGACATCATTTCTGGTCTGCTCTTCTCCATTCAAACTACTAGTACGTTGCGCCATCTCGTCTTGCTTCTCACAATGCTGACGTTTGTAGCACCACACTGTGCTTATTACATCGCGCTCACATGCCTCCCGCGGGCTCATCACCCGAGGTGAACAGATCGAATGGCTTCCCGGAAGATATGGCCTATCCATCCAAGAATATTGCATACCAGGCAGCCGGCATGATCACCTCGATTGTCGAGGCTTTGACCAAGCACAACGAGCTTCAATTTACACCAGCCTTCATGTAAGCATTCTGCCTAGCCCTCAGCATATCTCATACTGATCTTGTCACCAGCGTCTATTCTCTCTTCTCTGCACTCATCATGCATGTCTACCAGATGCGTTCCTCCAACCAGTCGATTGTTCATACCACTCAGCAGCGCCTGACGACTTGTATGAATGCACTCAAGGACGTGTCTCGAGTCTGGCTTGTTGCCAAGATGGTGCACACTCTCTTCGACTCGATCCTTGGCAACAAGGTGCTCGAGGAGCGCCTTCAAAGGGCCGCCGGAAAGCGACACGGAAAGCCTAAGAAGATGCAGCAACCAAAAAATCCCCTATCACGCAGCAATAGCGATCAACAGAAGCGCAAGTTCGATGATATGGAGTTTGGATACAGTGGAGGCCCACCAGCTGCTCAGATGTCGTATGAACGCTCACGACCGCAATCACCTGTCAACGCCCCTCGGGATAACCTGCCGCCCTCAGGACTGCCGGGCAGTAACACAAGCCCCTCTCTACGTCAAGACGCCTTTATGGGGACATCCCGGACGAACACACGTCCTACCACACCGTTCAATACCTACTCCTACCCCGGTACACCACCAGACCTCTTCCTTCACACTCGCACATCGCCAAACATCTCCCAGGACTTGTGGCAAAATTATCAACCTGACCAGCTGTTCCCACCGGACACCACAGGCATCTACCCTACCGAGAGTCCTGTACAACAAGGTACCATGGTAGACCCCGCTCTTCGAGCGTCAGTAGGAGCCCAGCCACAACAAGCCTACAACAATTCGGCCCAACAACAAACTCACTACCAACAGTCAGCATCTGTTGGAACTGGTATGATGAACGCACCACCGCCTCAGCAACAACAGTATGCTGGACAAGAGCAGCATGTTCCCATGCAAATTTCATATGGACAAATGCCAGAAAACGGTGAGCATCAGCCTCGAGCAAGTATGGACGACACTTGGAGCAATAACAGTGGTTCCACGGGAGGCGGACCTATTGTGCCCACTACTCTGAACGTCGGCGACTGGTTCGAGTTCTTTGGCATTCCGAACGGAGATATCTCTGCATTGCATGCGCAACAGTATTGATTGATCAGAATCGCTCTGTTTGGCTTTTCTGTTCTTCAGCGCCAGTGGCTTGTTCTGCCTTTTTCGCTATTGTTCTATCGGCATATTTGTTAGGCGTAATGCGAAGCGCAGGTTTTGCAAAAATGGTGCACACGAAGGGACATCAGACTGTCCGGTTGCTTGTATGGTTAATCATTCGCTGTCTGATGGCTCAGAACGAGTCGGGGTGTGGCATGGGAGTAAGGAAAGCAAGGAGTGGAAAGATGATCAGAAACAGAGATACCCGTAGTATGAAACCTTTCCAACCGCTGTGTGTATGATGAGCTTTGGTTGCTCGCTTTTCCATAGCAAAGACGAGCTTTGGCGAAACAGACAGATGGGTGAGTTCGATGATGATGATGATGATGAATTGCCGTCTCCAACAGCCTCTTCCTTCTGGGTACGTTTTGGCCTATTGCCTTGAAAACTTAGCATGGTAATACAGATACAGCTCCACTCCTGACACACCTCAGGACTCTTTCTCTGTTGTGCTGCTCTGCCGAAGAGTATGCAGGATCTCCCATCTCCAATCGTGAAACGCCAAAGAGTATATATCTGGAGATTTGCACGGTAAATCTAGGCAGAAATTGAGGTTAGGTATCGACTCAAAGGAGATTGGAGGGCTTGGGAGAGTTTCGCTCTGTTTTTTTTCACTAGAAGCGGTGTCTTGGATATTGTAGTTCATTATAGATGCGTCTGTGTAAGTACAAGGGTCTAGGGTTACTCATGTAGAGACGTTTTGGGGGTTGGGGGATGTGTTTGGGTTTTTTTGGTTTTCTGGCTGTTTGTTTTTGGTTTCCTTGCTTTTTTCTTGGTTTAGCTGGCTCTCTCTCCGATATTTGCTTGTGCATCATGTCATATGGATATTAGATATGACTTTCACTGCATACTCCTACCAACACTGGACAAGGAAGTATTACACCAAACATCACATCTGGGGAGTCCATCTCTTCACTCGCCCATCATCCCTTCGCTCCACGTCCAACTCCTCATTAACACCGGACATGAAGGCCACAAGCGCGGCAACACGCCTGTAGACGACGGTTGGTTTCGCCAGCTTCTTAACTCTATCGCCGAACAATCCTTAAGGCTCGCAATCTTACCTAAAGCCGTTCTCGACACATCGTTGTTGGACTTTAGCTTCCTTACGCTAGTATACATATAGCAGAACGCCCTCGACGAGCTGCCCCGATTTGTGACTATGCAACAGTTGGAACACGAGCCGGCCTAGACGGCCTGGGAGATACCGAGGTCTCCAAGCTCGGCGACGTGATTGTCAATTGCCAATGCACTCGACCGCAAGCTGTTTCCTGTAGAAATGCAGAGATGTTTGTGAAACTGAGACAAGGTCAAAGGAGATGGATGGCTATGGGGAGGGGCCAAGGATGGGAGTGAAAGGCAAAAAAATCGCCTTTTCAGTATATCGATGCTAATCTCATATACCGTTGTGCATTCTCGTGCTATGTATGTGATTTCACTCAACGCATACGTGGAGTGATGTTGGGAGTTCTGGGGCTCGGCGATCCGGTTGATGCATCTACCGCCAGTGACGCATGCGAGAAAAGACACTGGAAGCTTGGATCGCCGGCGTTGTGGTCTTCGCCGTTCCGTCGAAGTATCTCAACTGATGCTGGTGCTTCCAAAGGGGATAGCTACGGAAGAGGTCGAGATTGAGGTTATATTCGTTCGATTCGGCGGAAAGTGAAGCTATTTGCCTACGACTGAACTGGTCTGAGATGGAGTCGTTGATCCGAGTAGACGACTTGACCCTCTCGAGACTTTCTTTAATGGAGCAACGGCTCAAGATAAACACAAAGAGTACCTCTTCAAATAATGCTGGAGATTCCTGCTGCTATCGCTCAACAGAAACCGAACATGGACAAATCTTGATCCATAAAGTAGAAAGAATCATCCTGGTATCCAGAGCCGTCGGCCATGTTCCCAGTACCAGGCTGTGCTGTGTGAGGGTAAAAACCCCCTTCTATCAAGCCTGGCAATCCTCCTTGGTTGTTCGCCAGAGGATACAGATCTGTCATCAATGCCGGTCTGGTATACAACGACGGATCGATATTGATGCCCTGTATAGGATCAGAACCTCCGATGGTGCCAGCAGTAGGTGTAAGGCTGGCAGATTGGTCGTTAGGCGTCTCCTCGGCACCACCGACCTGTTGTCCAACCGTACCAAAGAGTCTGGTGACGCCACTGCGGCGAGACTCGAGTGACCTCTCACTTCGTTGGCGGATGTACTTTGTAGTGGCTTCTTGGAGGTAGGTTATGATTTGAGCATATCGGGCAGCGTGAGGATCCCATTGCGCAAAGCGGTTCAAGATCTGCATTCCCTGTTTCAAGCCATCTTCAAGTGGAAGGAACTTGTCTTGATCGGCGAAGGTAGCGGCTCCCAAGACTAGAGCAGCGTTACAGACGGAGTTGATGATGAAAGGTAGCCTGTGAGGGAGCGAGGGGTACTGCATCAATGTTGATGCGATGTTGAGACTTCGTAATGAAGAGTCTACACATGCGTCTGCATATGTCTTGATGGATGATTGTTCCATCTGATCGTTTGTCTGTGAGTCTTGCCCACCCCTACTCATATCTTTGATGATTTGGAAGGTGAGGAAAGGTCGGGTGAGCAAAATGATGGACCAGTGGTAAGCACTGATGATATGACTTGCAGCCAAAGCTTTGATCAGCTTGTCTGGGTCGTCCTCGCCTGGACCGAGATTCGACAGCTGTAATGATTCTGGCAAATCATTGGTCCAGTCTCTGTATTGGCCCGAGATGGAGTCTGCAAGGCGTGTAGACACTGCTTTCTTCATGTAGACATCGATGACAATGCGTTCGAAAATGTCGCAAAGCGCAAGCACCTTGCTCGAGAAAGGATCTGTGGATGTCACTTGTGCTGCTTCTTCAGCAACATTTCTGTCCGCTTCCATTGACACATCTGATGTGGCTGGCGGCCTGCCGAGTGACGCGCTTAGGAAGATGTCCAGTAAGCGGACGCTCTTCCAGATTCTTCGTCTTGCGCCAGCTTCTGTCTCGTCGAAAAGTGCGTGTGTGCTGCTCTTGTGCATACCTAGAGCAAAGGCGGCTCTTACAGCAATGCCGAACTGCATGAAAGCAGCGTTCCTCCGGCATGCACCAAGCATGTACATTGTGATGCAAATATAGGCCTGAATTGTCATGAGACTAGGTGCATCGGTAAAATTCATGACAGCCATATGTCGACCACGGTTAAAGTACTTCTCAGCAAGTGTCTGGTCACCGTCCGGTGATGATACTTGGGCGCCGATTGCAAGTACCATGTAGAAGACGGCAGACTTTAGGTCATTATCTCGAGCCCTGTCAAACACCCAACGGTCCAGGTTGCGGTAGTAGGTGGGGACATCGAATATCTCGATGAGCCCGCTGGTCGCGAGAAGGTAATGCTGAGATAACCGTTTACACTCGTCATAGTCCAGATCCAGAGGTGACATATCTGGCACCTGCATAGTGCTTGGAGGTGTTGTTTCGATAATTTGATGACGGAGGGGGTCATTTGTAAAATCGCATTCGCCAATGGCGGATACAACCATACGTCTGACGCTCTGGACAAAGGAGAGACTGGCAGAATCGCCAACATACATGAATTTGCCATGAGTGTCGCGAAGTAGTCTCGCCAATCTGGGTACTGGCGCCACAGACTCAGGTCGAGAGTGGGATTCCGCATTGGCTGTAGCACCCTGTTGGTCGACACTGGCATTCAAGATGCGGTCAATGGCCATCTCAGCCTGACTCGTATCGCTCAAGTTTCCAGATAGAGTAACATTGATTGGCGACGGGTTGGGAACAGAGCCCAAACTCGTGATGCTTGTACGCGCGACATCGTTCTGCTGCGGAGGTGGCGGTACAGCACTCACAGCGCGGTTCTGCAACACGTTGACCGATGGAGATGGATGACTGACACTTGCAGGGCTTCCGATGTTAGCGGTGTTGCTCTGTGGACCCCGAAGCAACCTAGCAGGCGTCTCGGAAAATTGACATTCGGATTCCCTTCGTCGTCGGATGCAGATGCTGCACGGTCGGCTGCCATCGCATCTTTCCTTTCTGCGTTTGCAATTGTCGCAGGCTTGGGCGATGCGACGTCTCTTTTCAGGTGCCACTATCGGGCGAGGCATTGTGTCTGCCGCTCCCGAAGCCGATGACCTAGGCAGCTATTATCCAAGGCCAAAGAAACAAACAAACGATCCAATGCGATGGGATGCTTCGGAAGGTGCATCACCAAAGTGCTTGTTTCCAACCCCACTTGTCGTTGACTCGAGTCAAAGAGGGCTGGAGCGGAATCGGCGGCGTGAACAATCTTTGCCCGGCTTCCGACTGCCAAGACATTTGTATACAGCTCAGTTTCATGCCGCGGTTGATCAGGAGAATTCAGACAACCATTGACATTACTCTGTCGGCCAACGGGAATTTGCAGGCAAGGCCATTAGCTGTTATACCGCTCGACTCGACGGCGATCTCCTTTGCGTAGCAAGATCTGAACTGTAGTCTCATCGAAACGGGAATCCTCCATCTGATTCTACGTCCTGGCACCAGCCTATGAGATATCGAGGTCTCAAATACCAAAATCGCTTACGCCGGGCCACATCCTCATGCTATACTCAAGATATTCGACACTGTCGCGCATCCGTACATCTCGGACTTTGTTGTATGTCTTCTGGTCATGAATTATTGTTGGTGGTTCGGCAATTGATCATTTAGTCGATTGGAAGGTTGTTATGGGCATGACCCTGTTGATTCAAGCACGGGCTCCACATCACGCCCAAGCTCAGCGAATAGCAAAGTCGTCGTTATCAAGCAGCTTCGATTGAATCCTCTGTTGCCGTGACAGCTAGTATATGTCAATCATTCCATCCTGGCTGTTATACATATCTGTTGATAGAGCACTAGATAAACCCCGGAAGTCACCCCACGAAATGTAGTCGTGAATCGGATGTGGCTTGCACGACTCAGACGGTAAGAGTTGCTTCCGAGAGCAAGACACACGCTATCCGAACCCGCTGACCATTGCCCCGCCAAAGAGGGGCGGATGTCGTTCGGGATGTAGCTCATATAAGAATTATCTAAGCCCCTCACCCAATTCTGGAAGAGACGCTGTAACATCGACATACTCACATAGCAGGCACCGAAAGCTGAAATCAACAAGCTTACCCACAATCTCTCAACGGAAGCCTCACAACTCAGACATTGGAAGCAAAGTATATTCAACCATGTCAGCAACCAACAACACCAACAAACCACTGGAGCCCGAAGACACCCTCAATGGCGCCGGCCGCTACGATCCAAACTTCACAAATCATGTCATCTCCTCAATCGGTTCCAACACTGATCCTCGCCTCCGCAAAGTCATGACCTCTCTCATCAAACACGTCCATGACTTCGCCCGTGAGATCGACCTCACAGTAGACGAATGGATGGCTGGAGTAGACATGATCAACCGTGCTGGTCAGATGTCTACCGACCGCCGTAACGAAGGTCAACTGCTCTGCGACGTCATTGGTCTGGAAAGTCTAGTCGATGAAATCACCTTCAAAGCTGCTGCAGACGCCAAAGATGCGGTCACTCAAAGTGCAATTCTGGGTCCGTTTTTCCGACACGATGCACCTTTGCGGAAGATGGGAGATACTATTTCCTTCGACACACCGAAGGATGCAGAGATCGCTTACATGCATGGTGTGGTGTATGATGCTGTGACCAAGAAACCCGTGGAAGAAGCTGAAATCGATATCTGGCAAGCTTCCACAAACGGATTGTACGAGCAGCAAGATCCAGAACAACAAGAGCACAATCTACGAGGGAAATTCAGGACCGGCAAGGATGGAAGTTATGGTTTTTATTGCATACGACCTACTCCCTATCCCGTTCCTGATGACGGTCCAGCTGGCGAGTTGTTGAAGAAGTTGGACAGACATCCTTTCAGACCCGCGCATATTCATTTGATAGTGCGTATCTCTTCTTACATCATCCAGTTTCTCTTCATGCTAACCATGACCCGCCATAGGTCATTCGACAAGGATACAAACCAATCACAACCCAGATATTCGATGCAGAGTCCAGATACCTGGACAACGACTCCGTATTTGCGGTCAAAGATTCTCTTGTCGTGAAGTTCGAGCCTCGGGAAGGTGATGAGAAGGCTGGACTGGAGTTGAAGTATGATATCTTGCTTGGACCCACGGAGTAAAGGCTTTATGTTTAGACTATATCAGTTCGCGCTTATATGTGTAAGGCACCTCCACCATGTTTCGATGTAGAATAACTTTCTACCTAAATACGACCCTTCACTTTGGTATACTCGACACAAATAGCAAGCAGTTGGTCTCGGTTTTCCTAGATTCTCCTTCACTCGGTGCTTGGCTTGTCACTTATTGCTTTCACCCGGTACCTTGTTTGATCTCCTTCTCACCTCCTTGTCCATACGTAAAACATCTTGTTCTCACCAACACACATCATTGAGATCTTGCACCTTGCAGTTATTTTCCACCCTCAACAACAACCACTGCACCGTATGCCAAGATGAAAGACTGCGGCAATGATGTGTACTACACCTACGTGGAGGACTCCCGAGTAATGCACCAATATGCAACGGGCGAGGTAAGGCAACACGGTTTCTCAAGTGTCCAGCTTCTGAACTACACTGAGCTTACATCTTCACCACTCAGGATCCTTTAGATGACATTGACTACGGTGACTCCGATGACGATAGTGATGCTGAAGCGTCGGACGTCGATGAAAGAGATAAACGAGACGCAAAAGACGGAGATTTCAACGAATCAAAAGCAGCTGGAGAGAGCAAGAGGACAGTGAGAATGGATCAGAGCCCAAAGCTGGAGATCTCGACCTGAAAACCTGGGAGATTTACAAGACAATCATACAAAAGCATAGACTTTGGAAGAATTATCTTTCCAGATAGAATGTTAGCGTCGGCATCCTGCGATGGAGAAGGAAACACGGATGGATGTGCATACTCAGCAGTAGTGAGGGATCTCGCAGAGATAATGAGTTGGATGACCGCTAGCAGACAGATTGTGGGTAATTGGATGAGCCAGCAGATGTAGAGGCACCAGAGATGGTGGTGTAATAGTGTTGGGTCGATCATGACCGCCCTTGTTTTTTGGGGACCGATGGTATGGTGAAAAATGAAACGAATGGTAAGAAAGACAGAGACAGAAGAAATGTTGCAGGTTTTGTAACACGGTACGCCTGAGATTGACTCGAAGCACACGACTTACCTTCTCTGACTCGGAACCACAGCGAATCAAACATACAATGAGATTATCGAACAGCGGCCGAGCGTGTGAAATATGAAGCCCCTATCTGCCGCTTACATTTGCTTCTATCGTGTGTATGCCGTTTCCTGGATGACTTGGCATTTCTGCTAGATCGCAAACACTCTCGTGAATAGACCCGGGACATCGCATGAGGTAAAGTCCGATGTTCGAGTATTGAAGCGGGAGCCCCCCGACATTTTGAAGCACGAAGACATCTTGGACCTGATGCAGCTGGTCCGAAAACTGTACTCTTTATAACCGAAGTCTCGTAATGCGGCAAGTTGATTCACACGTTGATTGACATTGCGGCTGTCGAATTGTGGACCTATAGAGTTAGAGTCGATGAAAGAATTGGCCTTGCTCAATGTCAGGGAAGAGAAGACGATTGTCGAGGTTGGAGCCATGGGAAGTGCTCGAATGCCAAGATTGGTGACGTCGTGGTTGCTGGTTTTCGCACCTTGTCACGACTGATCCATCTTTGTTTCTGCACCGGACAACACGCTTATCTCTGCCATCGCGTTAGCGAATCACGGAAACAGAAATCAATGTTTGCATCTTTGGATAACCGCGACTGTTCGAGACTCAAGTGGCGACCACCTTGAATGACACGCTTGCTTGGCACAAAAAGAACATGGAATACTCATCTGGGCAGGAAACACAAAATACATCGTCTACTATCCTACCGCTTCCTGAGGATGTGGTCGCGCAGATCAAATCTTCTACCACAATCACCAGCCTCAATCAGGTAGTCCTTGGCTTATTCGAAAACTCCTTGGATGCACAGGCAACAAAGATCGACATCACTATCGACTATCGCCGAGGTGGTTGCACTGTTGAAGACAATGGTATTGGCGTCTTACCGTTGGAGTTTCGCGAAACTGGTGGACTCGGTCGCATGTATCACACTTCAAAGCAAAAGAACAACGCGCAACTCGACACCCATGGCGGCCGGGGTACATTCCTGGCTTCAGTGGCGGCACTCTCGCTCCTCACCATCACGTCACGGCATACTCAGCACTATTCTCACAATACTGTGAGCTTACATCGCTCCAAGGTCATATCCCGATTGACGCCTGCGCCTCCTCAGCATGCAATACGTACTAGCACTGGCCATGGCACGCGTACATCCGTCAGAGACCTGTTCGGTAACATGCCTGTGAGAGTCAAACAGCGAGCCGCCATCGATGAAGGGGGACTTGAAACAGAAAGGCAGTGGCAATCTCTGAAGGTCGGTCTCGTGAGCTTGCTTCTTCCATGGAACCGACGCGTGGCACTCCAAGTCACAAATTCTGACAGTCCGGGAAAGACTTTTCCAGTCAACACCAGAGCGCAATTCATACCAAATACGCTAAGTGAGCGGAATTTGAACACTTTGAACAAGAAAGTATCAGAGTTTGATCAGAGCACTATCTTGAGCATTCTATGCCAAGCAGGTATCGTCTCAACTGACTCCAAGACTAGCTGGATACCGGTATCTGCATCAACTTCCTCGGTCACCGTCAAAGGTCTCATGTCATTAGAGCCTGCCCCTACCAGGGTCGCACAGTTCATGTCTATTGGAATCATACCTTGTCTGGACGAGAACAGACATAACGAGCTATACGAAACGGTCAATCAACTCTTCAACCAGTCGAGTTTTGGTCACATAGATGATGGTTCCGAACCTGCCGAGGCTGAAATGAAACGTCGGCAGCACGATCGACGTTACAAGACAGATGGACCCACAATCAAACAACTCCAAGGTGGTAGGAAAGGAGTGGATAGATGGCCCAGGTTCTATCTTCGCATCGATCTGAAGACCAAGGGGAATACACAACTCGTGAGCAACCTCGGTGATATGCATCTCAAGAGTATTATCAATGTCCTTGAGAGCTTGACTATACATTGGTTAGAAGCAAACAACTTTCGACCGAAGAAGCTAAGACAGAAGAGAAAGCAAGTTTTGAAAGTCCCTGAAGACACAAGCCAACCGAACTCTGATGTCATGTCGCCAAAAAAAAATCACCGAAGCTCTAAGAGGGTGCGGTCAGGGACTGTGGCGGATACTGCTTTACCAACGATGCCTTTTACAGACTGGAGCCGGATCAAGAGCGCTAAGCCACAGATGTACGACAGTATATGGAAGTCAAAGACACCACCGTCAAGACAATCCACGACCATCGTGTCGATGGAACAGACGACAAGGCACGAGCCAGATAAAACTGCTACTATCGCCGTCGAGTCTGTCACTGCAAACCAATTTGGACCTCCACACAACTCCACGGTTGCGGCCGCTGAAACTCAAGACTCGAACAACCTCAAATCCGCTCCTGCTCAGAATCAAGACGGAGAGATTTATGTTCACTGGATTGATTCGAAGACGAATCAAAAGCATCGTGTCAATGCCCGTACTGGTATCGTTATGCCGGACGAGACACAAAGACCAACCTCCAATCGTGCACCCACAGGCAGATTTGCCGCAAACTCCCGATTGTCATCCTTCGGTAATCCTCTTGTTTTGGAACGAAGGAAAAGCAATGCGCCATCTACACAGGATGGATCCTCGAATACTACTTTGGATTCACCTTGGCTTCAAGGACTTCTCCAAACTTGGAAGAATCCGATTTTCGGGACTCAGGCTGAAGAAGCAATACCGGTTGCCGGCTTTGGCCAATCGATGCAAGGAACGTCCGCCTCGCACAACCATCATGGGCAATGTTCCATAGCAGACTCGTTCTCGCTTGCGGGTATCACCGACACGAGTCGACTGTCCAAATCCGCATTGCCATATGCGCAGGTCATCTCTCAAGTCGATGACAAGTTCATCTTGATGAAGATGCCAAGTCTGGCAGGACTAAATCCACAAGAGCTCAATCATACGAGGCAACTGCTTGTGTTGATGGACCAGCACGCAGCATCCGAACGGTGTATCCTCGAACAACTGCTCTCAGAGCTCTGTACATCAACTCGAGGAACTCCACTCATCAAATCAAACCTTGGCTTCACCTCGGACATTGTCACAGAAGCAGTGAACAAGCCGTTGCAGTTTCAGATTCCATTGCAAGAAGAAGCCATGTTTAGAGCTTATGCAGCACACTTTGCAGCTTGGGGCATTCTCTACGACATTATTCCGCATACTACCGACCAACCTCGATTGAAGATCTTGACACTACCATCAGTCATCTCCTCGCGCTTACACGCAGAACCACGACTTCTTATCGACCTTCTCCGCAGCGAAATCTACACTCTCGCCGACTCCAACAACACGAAACGCGACATTTCTGCCTCTCCCACAGACACAGAACACACGTGGCTCCACCGCATATCCTCCTGCCTAAAAGACATACTCTCCCTTGTCAACTCCAGAGCCTGCAGAAGTGCGATCATGTTTAATGATAAGCTTTCGAACGACGAATGTCAGAGACTGATGGATGGAGTTGCGAAAACAAAGTTTCCGTTTATCTGTGCGCACGGGAGAAACAGTATGGTGCCATTGGTTTACTTGGAAGGCGACGGTGATGAAGAGCGGATGCAGGCAGGAGGTGGGCTCAGAGGAGATGGCAAGGAGATGCAGCGAGGCTTTGGTGGGTCTACAGAGCAAGAGAAGAAAGCGAGCTTTGGGGTTGCGTATAGGAAATGGAGGGACAAGGTCGCCGGTACATAGTCAAACTTGATTTCTCTGCTCCCGCGCCGGATCTACCGAGAGGACAAGAACAATGTTTCGATCCCAACATATCGCAATGTCCGATTGTCGGTGCAATGAATCCGTGGACCTTACACCGACCTCGTGCAGTGCTATCGCTCCAATTGCAGAGGCAAGGTCGCACAGGGAGCTATAGAAATGCATAGTTTCTTTCTGGAGATGAAATGGCATCCATGAGAGAAGCAATGTAATGGATACTCCTAGGGTCAAAGGCAATCAAGAGCAAAGCGATGTCACCATTATCAACAATTCAGGGTCTCCATCTAGCCACAAGATTCATTTGCTGCCTTGGCTCCTTGAATGAGAGGATGTAAACGTCTGTAATTGAGTGATCCTGATACTCTCTTTACTTCGAGATTGGGTTTCGGGACCTCGTTCTGATGACCGGGTTTGTAGCAGCAAAGTTGGACTTTTGAGAATCAGAAAACTTGCAAGTTTGAGCTTTTGGACATGGGGAACGGCAAAGGCTGTTGGGGTTTAGTCGGTAATACAAATCTTGCAGATTCAAGAGTGGTTGGTGATTTGGGATCCGAGGCGGTTCTCGGTGGATAGAGGCTTGGATATGCAGAGGAATTACTCGAGTGTTCGTTATTAGATGCTGAGTGGCTTTTGAGCCTGAAGGAAGGCGGCGGCAATCTACGAGGAGGCATTTTTCCTGTACGACACTTTTTCCACGGCCACATTCTCGACTCCATTCGCATCCTTTCTCAATTGGTAGACGTAGAGCACCAGCACATCTCCTTGGACCTATATTCCGCATCACAGTCAGCATCCACATGTCCCCCCAAAAGCATCAGAATGAATTGCAGCAAAACATGCACAAACTTACATCCATAAGCACAAAACTGGGCGTGCTCACCTCCTCACCCTCTGAGTCCAGTTCAACATCAGCACCCCAAGACACGGCTCCCGTTGCGCTGCCCGGATTGATGAAGAATTTGCCTTCCATCTCATATGCCTCAAACTTGCACGTTCCACCCCAACAAAGCACATCCACATCCATCTGCCTTGCCGCTATCAACAGACTATCAGGATCACCCGGTGGCACGATGGTGTGGCCATGTGTAAAGCCAATCCTCAAGCCTCCATGTGTGACTACTTTTGAGAGAGCGGTGGGGATGGCTGGTTGCTCGGTGGGTTGTGCGTATGCAGCGGTGGGTTGAGGGGCAGCAGCGGCGGCAGGGGAGACGGAAATGTCAAAGTCGCCTTTTACGAGGTGTAGGTCTGGAGCTAGGTTGCGCAGGAATGTGTAGACGGAATGGGAGGTGAGGTTGCCGAGACACAGGATCTGGCCGATTTTGCCGGGGGTGAGGAGTTTTTTGAACTTTGTGGTGTGCGCGTTAGAGTCGTTGTGGAGGGGAGAGGGAGGAGCTAGAGAGCAGTAGGGGTACCTTTGCGGGAATGTCCTGTGGGTCTTGTTAGCTAAGGGCGCGAGTTGAGGGGTGTGATTGGACTTGCATTTGCGCGATCCGGGATGAAGAGGTCGCCGAGACATAGTACGAGTCTGGAGGTCATGGTGTGTCTATGCGCCGACTCGTTGCACTGATGTTCAGGCGTTGTGAGGGTTGTTGACTGGAAGCTGTCAAGGTGTTTGTCGCGACATCCGCGGGGCCCAACCCAGACGCGGCCGCGGACGGCGGAGGTGAGCACAGACCCCCCGACCAGAAGAGAGAGGTGAAGCTTCCGACTTTCTTTCCTCTTGTTCGTCCTCTATAACAACCATCTCGTGTCTTTGTACGTGCCGTGTTAGAGTCATCTTGATAGTTAATACAGAAGATCCCTCGAAAGGATTCTGAGAATCTGATTGGGAAGTCTTGTATATCATGACTCTGTTCAAGCTACACGATGCAAGAGCTGTTTATCTTGTAGCCTGCCAATCTGATTCAGTCGAGTGCTGTTTCGTGTCTAGCATGTTGTGCTTCTGTGTTGGATAACAACCATGTATGCAGTTACCTATAGTGATGTTATAGTGATGCTACAGGGATGCCGCCCATTAGTAATGTCTTGCTACAGAGTGGCCGTGGGCGGTCTCGGAGACCCCAGGCCAAGCAATGTGGAGAAGGCGCGTTGGCCAAGGTTGGTGGGCGGCGGCCGAAATCGCCCAAATATTTGCGGTCCTCACAGTCATCCTATCCACGTCTTCTCTGCATATTCCTCTTGTTATACACATCAGACACCATGGGAGCCCAATTGCTGCGTACGGGCAGACTGCCTGCTGTCAGAGTAGGCGACTTCCCCCACAATTGACAGTCAAACGAGCCATGACTAACTCGTCGGCAGTCGCTTGCCTCTTCTGTTGGCCGTCCCTCAATAGCCCGCCGTCATCTCGCGACCCAAGCCGATCTCTCTACCACGCCCTCCGCAAACGATCTGGCCAGCCGCACACCGCCATACCCCAAGCTGCTGCAACGACTAGACCAAGTCCGCCGTATCTTGCCCAACCGCCCCCTCACACTCGCCGAGAAAATCCTCTATTCACATCTCGAGTCTCCCGAAGAATCCCTCTTGACCAACACAAACAATGGCAAAGACATCCGTGGCCAAGCCAACCTCAAACTCAAGCCCGACAGAGTTGCCATGCAAGATGCCTCTGCCCAGATGGCCCTGCTGCAATTCATGTCGTGCGGCCTTCCCACCACCGCTGTCCCTGCCAGTATCCACTGCGACCACATGATTGTTGGAGAAAGAGGTGCAGATGTAGACTTGCCCCAGTCAATCAAGGGAAACAAGGAGGTCTTTGACTTTTTGGAGAGCGCGGCAAAGAAGTACGGTATCGAGTTCTGGCCTCCCGGTGCTGGCATCATTCACCAGAACGTCCTCGAAAACTACTCGGCTCCCGGTCTGATGATGCTCGGAACAGACTCGCACACTCCCAATGCCGGTGGTCTCGGCGCCATTGCTATCGGTGTCGGTGGTGCCGATGCTGTTGATGCTTTGGTTGACGCTCCTTGGGAACTCAAGGCCCCCAAGATCCTCGGTGTGAGACTTGTAGGCCAGCTCAGTGGTTGGGCCAGTCCCAAGGATATCATCCTCAACCTTGCCGGTCAGCTCACGGTCCGTGGTGGTACTGGCTACATTGTCGAGTACTTTGGTCCCGGTGTCGAGACTCTTGCCACGACCGGTATGAGCACAGTCTGCAACAGTAAGTTTCCTCTTGACACCCTGCCCCACAACATAATGCTAACATTCAAAAAGTGGGAGCTGAGGTCGGCGCGACGACATCCATCTTCCCCTTCACCAAGGCCCACATCCCTTACCTTCATGCCACTCACCGTGGCCCCATCGCTCTGGCTGCCGAGAAGATTGCAAACTCTCCTGATGCCAACAACCTCCTTCGCGCCGACAGTGGCGCCCAGTACGACAAGGTCATTGAGATTGACCTCAGCACTCTCGAGCCCCATGTTAACGGCCCAATGACCCCCGATCTTTCCACCCCTCTCTCCATGTTCCGCGAGACCGTCAAGGCCAACAACTGGCCCGAAACTCTTGGTGCTGGTCTGATTGGATCCTGCACAAACTCTTCCTACCAAGACATGACCCGTGCCGAGTCTCTGGTCAAGCAGGCCACTGCTGCCGGTCTCCAGCCCAAGGCTGACTTCTTTATCACCCCTGGTAGCGAGCAAGTTCGCGCTACTCTCGAGCGTGACGACACCTTGAGCACTTTCAACGATGCTGGTGGTGTAATTCTTGCCAACGCTTGCGGTCCTTGCATTGGTCAGTGGACCCGTACCGACGGTGTTGAGAAGGGTACCGAGAACGCCATCTTCACATCCTACAACCGTAACTTCCGTGGTCGCAATGATGGAAACGTCAAGACCATGAACTTTATCGCCAGTCCCGAACTCGTCACTGCCATGGCCTACAGTGGCAACACCACCTTCAACCCCATGACTGACTCTATTCCTCTTCCTAACGGTGGCGAGTTCCGTTTCGACCCTCCTCAAGGTCGTGATCTGCCCTCTACCGGTTTCGCTCAAGGCAACCCCGAGTTCCTTCCCACTCCCGGTCAAGCCGATGCCAGCGTCCAAGTCCAGGTCGACCCCAACTCCACTCGTCTTGCTCTTCTCGAACCTTTCGCTCCCTTCCCCAAGACCGAACTCGAGGGCCTCCGTGTCCTCGTCAAGGTCAAGGGCCAATGCACAACCGACACCATCTCCGCCGCCGGCCCCTGGCTCAAATACAAGGGTCACCTCCCCAACATTGCCGAAAACACCCTCATCGGCGCCATCAACGCCGAGACCGGCGAGACCAACATCGTCTACGATGTCAACGACACCGAGTCCCGCAGCAACGGCATGGGCATCCCCGCTCTTGCAAAGAAGTGGAAGGATCAAGGCAACGAATGGCTGGTTGTTGCCGAACACAACTACGGCGAGGGCTCTGCTCGCGAACACGCCGCTTTGCAACCACGCTACCTCGGTGGCCGCATCATTCTCTCCAAATCCTTCGCTCGCATTCACGAGACCAACCTCAAGAAGCAAGGTGTGGTGCCGTTGACTTTTGTCGATGAAGCTGATTACGACAGAATGGCTGCTTGTGATGAGGTGAGCACTGAAGGCTTGCTTGATGTGCTTAACTCTGGTGGCCAGGGTAATGTTACGTTGGTTGTCAAGACCAAGGCTGGCGAGACGATCAGAGTTGCTACTAAGCATACTCTTTCCAAGGATCAGTGTGCGTTTGTGCTTGCTGGTTCGGCATTGAACTTGTTGGCTGCCAAGGCTGGTAAGGGTGCCGCTACTGCATAGGGAAGCGTGGACGTGATGTTTGGTCTACAAAAAGCACAGAGTGGAGTCATCTTGGGCTTTTGATATTTTGGATCCTCGTTTTCGAGTTTCTTCTTCCTTGTTTCCTTTACGTATTACCTCTTTGAATGTCTTATATATATCCCTCTACGAAATGTTTTTCCATCACAAAAAAAATCCAGACAACCTTGATCCTTTTTCCAGCCTCTTCTTGCCCTTGACGTCTGTTTCTTCTGTTATTTGACAACGTCAAGCTTATCTTTGTCTGTTTATCTTACAGGTCCCCAATGAGATTCGGGAAATTCTTTTCGATTCCATGGAATACCCTAATAATCTTCCCTTTTTTTTTTGGATGGTTTGCTTTGGCCTTTTACCATCATACTGAAAGTATCTGAGCCGCATTCTTTTTAAACCCCCCCTTTTTTTTTCCATACACTCTCTGCTGTCTCCCTTGCCTACTTGATGCAACCGATGGGAAAAGAACAAGACCAAAACGAAACAGCAAGATACAAGGATGAGGAAAGTCAAAAAAAAACAAAAAAAATCAAAAACATGACGGGTTCAAAAAAGATGATCAGAGCCAGACCCCTAAGCAAAATACGTCAAGAGCTCGGTATAGACACTGTTCTCTCTGTTGTTGACTGACCAAAGCGCGGTTGTTCTCAGCAAGTGGCCTTGATTTGTCTACTGCGCTTTGTACTCGTTTTTTCCTTCCGCATTTTCTGTAGGATAAGTTTGGCGTCATGAAAAGTATATAGAGTCACATATGATGCTATATATATATACTCAGTCCGAAGGTCATATGAGGCATTACAAGTCACCGAGATGTCGTGAGTTCCCGAAAACACCTTGCTTGGCCACAGATGCAAAGGAATTAGTGAAGCAAAAGCAGAAAAAAAGAGTCGGGTATAATTATGTGCTAATCATAATAGAAACAGAAAAGATATGTCAAAAGCGCCCAAGCTTGCTGCAAGTCAAAAGAGAACCCTGCGCCGGCATCAATTGCAAGTCGTAACGCGGAAACCAGGAACCATAATACAGGCAATGTACTCTGCTGAAGTCATTACGACTTGTAGGCCTGCTCAACCTCCTTCTTGTACTTGTCAAGAATGGCTCTACGGTTGAGCTTCTGTGCAGAGGTGACAAGGTTGTTCTGGGGGGTCCACTCATCGGGAACCACGACGACACCCTCGATGATCTCAATACCTGCGAGACCGCCCTTCTTACCAGCGGCTTGCAGACTCTTCAGGACGGCTGCGTTGAGCTTCTTGTCCTGGCACATGTCCTCAAGCTCACCAGATTTACAGCCACTCTCCGAAGCCAGCGACTTGAGGGCAGGCTCGGCAGGAACGATAATGGCAATGGGCTTGTTCTTGCTCTGGTCTGCATAGACACAGATGTTGGCAACAACCTGACTGGCGCGGTATACCGACTCGAGCTTCTCGAGAGCAATGTACTCGCCGTTCTGAGTCTTGACCAAGTTCTTCTTGCGATCGATAATTCTGAGGTTGCCGTCTCTGTCGAACTCGCCGATGTCACCGGTCTTGAACCAGCCATCGTAGAATGATTCCTGGGTCTCCTTCTCGAGGTCGAGGTAGCCATCGGCGACAGAATCACCACGGATCCAGATCTCACCCTGAGGAGGGTTGTTGGTAGAATAGTATCCAGCATCGGGGAAGTCAACAAGCTTGACCTCAATAGACGCGGGAAGACCACCAAGGGCGTCATCAGTCCAGGCAAGCGGGTCCATGATAGCACCCATGGCAGAGGTCTCGGTCAGACCGTAACCACTAATCATAGGAGCGATGGCCATGGAAATGAAACGCTGGGTATCCTTTGCGACGGGACCACCACCGTTCAAGCAGATTCTGAGTCTGCCACCAGTGGCCTCCTTGATCTTGCTGAAGATAACAGAGTCCATAACACTGGTACCGATACCGGTGAAGGGCAAGCCGGAGTGGGTCATCATAGTGCTCTTCGCGGCCATACCAGCCCAGAAGAGCTGCTTGGCGAGACCACCAGTTTTGTCGACCTTTGTAACGATACCCTTCTTGACCGTCTCCCAGACTGCGGGAACACCAACCAGGATTGAAGGCTTGAACTCGCGGATATCACCAGCGCAGTTGCGGACCGAAGCATCGGAGATGGTTCTGGGGTTTCCGTAACCCATGGTACCACCCCAGTACAGACAGGCGCTCTCGAAGACGAATTCGAGGATGTGAGCGAGAGGAAGGTAGGTTAGAAGACCATCACCAGGGCCGAGGTAATCACCGACAACCGTGTCGACACCGGCGACTGTAATCATTAGCGGATGTGCTTGGAATGTCGCTGAACGAGATACATACTGGCAGCAAGGACGTTCTTGTGCTTGAGAAGGACACCCTTGGGGGTTCCGGTAGATCCAGAGGTGTACATGATACAGCACAGGTCTTCGGGCTGAGGAGGAACAGGCTCGACCATGTTCTCCTCACCTTTCTTGGTGAGCTCGTCGAAGCTGAGAATGGTCAGGTGGGGGTGGGCGCTCTTGAGCTTCTCAATGTCATCCTTCTTGACCTCCATCTTGCTGTTGTAAACGACATATTGGATGTCCTGGGTCTCTTTGAGAGGGTTGATGAGCTTTGTGAGGAGATGAGGGTCGAGGAAAATGAGCTTGGCGTTGGTTTGCTTGAGGGAATGCATAAGACCCTCCTCGCCGAGTGTGTCGTATGCGGTGACGATGGGCATGGATTGGGTGGAAGCGCCTGGAAAGGGACCATGTTAGATGTTATCGAGTGGACGTGGAGCACGGATAGTTACCATGAGCGGTTGCAAGCCACCAGGGACTGGTCGAGGCAAAGATGTGGACGCGGTCGCCCTTGTTCATGCCAAGAGCGCGGTAGCCAGAGGCAACCTTGAGGCAGAGCTGCTCATACTCGACGAAGCTGATGTATGTGTAGCTGCTGAGCTCAGAGAACTGCCACTTCTTGTCCTCGGTGACCTCCTTGCCGTCGACAACCTTCTTGATCTGCTTGACTTCCTCGTGGGTCTTGATCAGAGTGCGGTAACCCAGAGCCTTTGCGTTGCCAAACTTCTTGGAGCTGCTGCGAAGAATGTCGTAGATGGTCTTGACGTCGGGAGCAGGAGTGCTGATGAGTCCATCCTTTGCTGAGGGGTGCACGCGAGGAATAGTCTCGCCATCGACCTTCTTGTAGCCCTTGGCCTCAACGGTGTAGGGGCCCTTCTTGTATTGCTTGGGTTGGGGAACCAACTTCTTCAGGTTTGTTTGTTGCATCATGTCGCCCACGTTGAAGATGGATGTGATGTTGGGCAGGCTGTCAAAAGACATGAAAAGGTAAAAGGGCAAGGGCGGAGAGCCTCGTTGTGATAAAAGCGTCAGGGAAAGACGTTCTGCCAGGCAGGAGCGACTTGTGATGACGGCGCGCGTTGGTCCGCTAGAAACACAATTGGTTGGCTCCGCATCCGCCGCACCAATGACGCGCCGTGCTTGCGCCACAAGGAGGCCAGAGCTTCGCTGCCGTCGACATCCACCATCCTGACTGGCTCTTGCAACAAGTCTCGACTCGTGCTCCATCGACTTCTTCACACCATCCTCGCAACCTGCTCTGTCTACAGACTTCCGGATGATGAATGTCACGACTTGCTTATAACAACACCTGTACCTCTCTGTCTGTCGCTCATGTCTCTCGCCACCTTCATCACCCAGCTAGGTGCCGAGATTGAGGACGCCTCGGAAGGTGATTGCCTAGAATCCAAGCCCTGATTCCTCCTCAGCATGGTAACGGTAGGTCCTATACAGAAACCTTTTTACTCTTCTCCCAAGACATCCCCTCACAGAATCTTGGCATAATCGATTCTCAAGCCCCTCTCCTTGAACTGTCCATCGGGTCTCGTGATCTATCCATAAAGCAGTCACCTGCCGTCCTTAAGTCAGCTCGAGGAGGCGGCACTACAGGTGCCGTGGTCTGGAAGGTTACCCCGAGGTTTGCCGAGTGGTTGTCATTGCCTACTAACATATTAGCACAACACGGCATCGTTGCTGCAGAGTCAAGCGTGCTTGAGCTAGGCTCCGGCATCGCTGGTATTGTGCCTTTGACCTTGGCTCCTCTGGTGCAACAATATATTGCTACAGATCAGGTGTACGCCCTCAAACTCCTCATGGAAAACATCGACGCAAACAGTGCAACGACAAGACAGGTTGGAGGGAAAAACAAGAAACCCCCGAAAAAAGCAACTTCTGTGCAAAGTCCGACCATACGAGTCAAGTCTCTGGACTGGGAGACTGACGATGTTGACTCGTTCCTCAAAAGCAGCAATGCAGCTGAAGGAGTGGACCTGGTCATTGCTTGCGACTGCATATACAACTATGCTCTGATCAAGCCGTTCGTGCAGACATGCGTTGACATCTGTCGAGCAAGAACAAGCGGACGACCGACAGTGTGCGTGATAGCACAACAGCTTCGGCAGCCAGATGTGTTTGAGGAGTGGTTGGAAGAGTTTCACAAGCACTTTAGAACATGGAGACTCCCAGACGACGTGTTGTCAGGCCCTCTGAAAGAGAACTCGGGATTCATGGTGCATATCGGCATACTCCGCGAAGGAGGGTCGATGGCGGTGTGAGATGAAGATGGATCGTTGGGACGGGCAAACATACCCATATAGTCAGCACAGACTTGTGCTACGTTGCGTTGGATCACGATGCCGAGGTGGACATGGCGATAGCATGGCAACAGCAAGGGGTTTTGAGCTGGAAGGGCGGAACGCGAATTCCATAGCTGAGCCGCAATTGACTCATCATGTTTCAGGCTGCTCTATTGAGGATCTTATATGGACAGTCGATGACATGTCGCGATGTGATGTATTGTCAAGATGATGGGTCAACAAGGGTAAAGTCGCACAAGACCATGTCGGAGATACGGCGGGGCTTAGCTCCAGCAGATGACAGCTGCGACCAAGAGCAGTCGCACCTTCCCACGCAGACCAGACACGGACCGGTCATTCAATTCAAACTGGCGCTTACTAGAACAGTCAAGAAGCAGTTCAGCTACAAAACCCTCTTCCTCCTCTCCCTCGCCCTCGTCCTGCTCACGGTGGCTTTCACACGCATCGCCTCCCGTCTCAGTCTACTGACGACTCACTTCACCCCGCTCAAGCTGCCCACTGGTCTCGCATCTACCCGAAACATTACCTCCATGACCATGGCGTCCGCAAAGTACCAGAAGCCTCCTCAGGCCCCTCCTCTCTTCACCGCTACCACCGAGTCCCTCGCCAAAGACACCAGACGCCTGCTGGACCAGTCCCGCCGCATCCAAGACCAGATCGTCAAGGACATCACACCCGAGACGGCCAACTTCCACAATGTCGTCCTGCCCATGGCTCTCGACGACAACAAGATGGCCATCGAGTCACACATCATCGGTTTCTACTCCGCTGTCTCGACCGACTCGAAGCTAAGAGACGCCTCGATCGAGGCCGAGAAAGAGATGGATGAGTTCGGTATTGAGGCCAGCATGCGTGAGGACATCTTCAAGCTGGTCGATGCCGCTCTCAAGAACTCAAAAAACCTGGATCCTGAGAGTCAGCGCTTGCTCGAGAAGGATTACAAGGGCTTCGTGCGCATGGGCTTGAACGTGCCTGCTGGTCCCAAGCGTGACCGCTTCAAGGCCATCAAGAAGCGTCTATCTGAGCTCAGCATCACCTTCCAGAAGAACTTGAACGAGGAGAAAGGCGGTCTGTGGTTCACTGAGCAGGAGTTGGAAGGTGTGCCGAAGGATGTCCTGGATGGCCTTAAGAAGGGAGACGGCGACAATGCTGGCAAGGTCTGGCTCACATTCAAGTACCCCGACCTCTTCCCGACCCTGAAGTACTGCAAGAACCCCGATGTCCGCCGCAAGGTCTTCACCTCGAACGAGAACAAGTGCAACGAGAACGTTCCCCTCTTCAAGGAGGCCATTGTGCTACGCGACGAGGCTGCCCGCATTCTGGGCTACCCTGACCACGCCACTTTCCGCATCGAGGACAAGATGGCCAAGACTCCTTCTACCGTTGATGACTTCCTCGGTGACCTTCGCACCCGTCTCTCACCTGGCGGTGTTGAGGAGATCAAGAAGCTCAAGACTTTGAAGGAGAAGGATTTCAAGGATCGAGGTGTCACAGAGCAGAACGACGGCAACTACTACCTCTGGGACCACCGATACTACGATACTCTAATGCTTGAGCATGAGTACCAACTCGAGCAAGAAGCTATTGCTGAGTACTTCCCCCTCGAGACTACTATCCGAGGCATGTTGCAGATCTTCGAAGAGCTGTTTGGTCTCCAATTTGTTGAAGTTACGGGCAAAGACCGCGACTCGCTCAGTCCTACCGGAAAGGGTGGTGACATCATCTGGCACCAAGACGTCCAAGTCTTCAGCGTCTGGGACGACGAGGGTGAAGGCAGTGGGTTCGTGGGCTACCTCTATCTTGACTTGCATCCTCGTGATGGCAAATACGGTCATGCAGCCAACTTCAACCTGCAGCCCGGCTACATTGACGAGGATGGTAAGAGAAGATACCCTGCCACTGCATTGGTGTGCAACTTCTCGAAGCCTACTCCTAAGAAGCCCTCCCTTCTCAAGCACGACGAGGTTGTCACTCTATTCCATGAGCTTGGTCATGGTATCCACGATCTTGTCTCCCGCACCACCTACTCTCGCTTCCACGGAACTTCCACCGCCCGCGACTTTGTCGAAGCCCCGTCACAAATGCTCGAGAACTGGTGTTGGACTGCTTCTCAACTGCGCAGCCTGTCTCACCACTACAGCTACTTGTCAGACAGCTACAAGGCCGCCTTCTCAGAATCAAGCAAGTCGGGCAAGCAGCCTCCAGAGACTATGCCTGACAATCTGATTGACAGCATCATCCGCACCCGTCACGTCAACGATGCTCTCTTCAACCTTCGTCAGCTCCACTTCGGTATCTTCGATATGACTGTACATGAAGGTAAAACTCACGATGAGGTCAAGGATCTCGAGGTGGGCAAGCTTTACAACTCCCTCCGCAAGGAGATCTGTTCTCTGGATGGGCCTGAGGCACTGGGCGAAGGACTTGACTGGGGCAACGGTCAAGCCACTTTCGGACACTTGATCGGAGGCTACGATGCTGGCTATTACGGCTACCTCTCGTCCCAGGTCTATTCGGCTGACATGTTCTACACTGTCTTTAAGAAGGACCCTATGAACGGCAAGGAAGGTAGACGTTACAGACACACTGTTCTCGAACGCGGTGGTGCTCAGGATGAGATGCAAACGCTTGAGGACTTCCTTGGCCGCAAACCGTCTACAGAAGCCTTCTACAAGGAGTTGGGCTTGAGCTAGAAAGGTCATGTGCTCGCTGCGACTTTGTATATGACTGACATGGCGCGCAATGCTAGATGATAAGACTTGCTGGAAGTATGGATACCAATTTTCGATGATAATTTACGGCAGACTCTCTGTATACAATCACATCTCGTCTCAGTTCTGCAAATACACTCCCTCTTGTTTCCGTTGTTCTGCAATATTGGAAGTCCGTGGCAGGCCGCACCTGCCTCGAGTGGCTTGCAGACGCGCGAGGCTGACTTGGCACAGCCTCGACCCTCCTCCGTCACACTTGTGCCTTCTGACATGAATAGCACACTGACTTATCGTTCTAGATCCATGCGCCCTGTTAGATGCCAACAATTCTGTACTTGTGATTCGTCGCAAACATCTCGGTACAGCTGCTCCTGCGTCCTGCCGTCAATGCAAGCCCTGTGAATTGCTTGATTTGGTCTTGGTAAGCAGCGCGTTTGGTCAAACACCCTGGTCTTGCAGAGTATTGAACGCCCAAGCTGATCCTCTGATGTGGCTTCAGCCTGTGATAGGACAATGGTTGCTGCCGTGCCCGATAGCTTGCATGGAGCGATTAACAGTTTTCAGCCTTGTCGTTAGCGATCCACAGATGGTCGACCTGATGTTACCTACATCTACAGCACTAGATCCCGCGCGTTCTGATACACACGCAACGACCTCCTCCACGAAGTTGAATCCCAATTCAAGAGCTCCTTCTTATCGCCACACTTGACTGCCACCAATGTTTTCCTTCAGCTACAGCGTCACTCGACAGTATCCCTACAAATGGTTTACGCCAGTCGCTATCGTTGGAGGAATCATCTTGGCGGTTATGTTCTCGGCTATCAACTTCTGGTCCAATGCTTATACTATGGTCACCGCCACAACCAGCCAATTGTCAGTGGTTGAAGATCCTGACACCTGGCTTGGACATGCGCCTAGAATATTCACGAGCAAGATACTACCAACCTGTGACCAAACCAGTTTCCTCATTGGCTCTATGGTATATACCAACCAGACCGCTTTTGCGTCCCAGCTTCTTTCCGCGGGTGGAGCTCTCGAGTTATTTTACGGAGGATGGCAAATTCACAGCTGCAAGGACCTGCAAGTCTCGATCGAATTCGAGACAAACAGTGGTCGGCAGGCTGCCCAGATGGATACCTCTGGTTGGGGTGCCACTGTCGGTGCCAACATCGATTGTGTTCTAGACAACAAGGTCTCTTCCGAAATGACTCTTAGTGCTGGATACGATCCCCTCTCATGGGGTATGGACCAGGGAGGCCCAGTCGTCATGGGGCTCAGTTCATTCCATTCAGACTTTCGCTGGGCAGAAACGCTCCTACTGAGCTTCTGGACAGAAACTATAACCGCGATCACCAGTCAAACCGCAACACAATCAGAAGACCAAGATCTGAGTTCCTCGCGGTATAATCTTACAAGCGGATACATAAGCTTCCGATCTCCAGGACCTGATATCACAGATGCGTCCTTCTTCTCGAAAGGACAATACGCGTTCTTCGATAGCAATCTACAAGGTCAGAAGGGATACTTCGACAGCTCGGAAGGTCTTAGCTATGGGAATCTTGTTGGCAATGCATCCTGGCCAGACATCTGGGCACCAGCGGATCGCCTCGCCAAAGCTATGTTTTCCACAATCACCGCTGACCTTGGTCAGACCTACAGAACTCCATCTGACATGTCCATGATCATGACTGCGGACCAAATACAGTACTGGACCGAAAACCTGACGCACATATGGAACGCAAGTACTGTGTTAGATAAGGACAAGCTTGAGGATGACAGATGGTTTCAAATGACTCAGTATAATGCAACTCGCGACGAACCTGTCGAGCCTTTCACAAATTCAACACTTGCCGCAGCTTACGTTTGTCAAGTCCCTGTTCTCAAGTCTCACTTCAACATCTTCATATCCATCCTCGTCGCCGATGTCGTTTTGCTCAGAGTGGCGTGGACGCTGTACAATTACATCGTGTGCTATTTTCTCAAAGATCGACAGCCGGATTCGAACTTGTGTCCAGGCTGTTTGGAACGCGGTCAGTCTGACGAAGCTGGGACGGAAGAACTTGAGAACGTCGATGTTGGCGAGGATACTGGATATCATGGACGAGATATCGAGATGGGTGATCTTGGAAGAGATCGTGAGGAACAAGCCGATCAGCAGAGTTTACAGAAGCTATTGACCAGGAAGCCTGTTGGGAGTTGATGGAGTTTGTGATCTGAACATGCCTGAGGTGAATGATATGGGATATCTGCAGGACATATTGGAGACATCCGACAAGGGCGCACTAATTTTTGTTTCCACACGACGCCATGGTGCATGGAAATAAATCGACTTCTACTGTCTCTCTTCCTTGTCATTGCTATTCTTGCAAAGTCACTCACATCATGCCCATTTTTCCCATCTTATCCATCATACTCATCATTAACCATGAACTCTACCACCAATCCTAGTAAAACCATCTAAACTCATCATTCGCAGGCCCATCCCCCAATCTCTCAGTAGGCACATCCTTAGCCCTCAGATGAACACCTTGCACCCTATCCCTCTTCCTATTATCATAAATCATCCATCCTCCAAGCAACAATGTCAATACAATGCCAGTGCCACCAAAGGCAGCGGTTGTCGCGAGCGCAGTCATGTATTTTGGTGCCTCGTTGGGGAGGAAGATGTTGCTCGATACCACGCCCATGAGGTTTGCCATGGGTACGGCGATGGAGGTGAGTACTGCGCGCTTGTTTTCATCGGCGATGTTGTTGCAGTACCATACATCCAGCAATACCGAAGGTGCGCTTGTGCCCCAACACAATAAGAACGTTGAAAAATAAGCGACGTTGATGTCGTGTTTGATGTCCACGGCCGAGAAGATGACGAACCCGCAGAAGGTGAAGAAGAATCCTAGAGCGACGAAAGGGAAGCGCCAGCGAGTGAGATCGGAGGAGAAACCGAGGATGAGCAACATGACTGCGCCGGTGATGTTGGGGGCAACAGTGTAGAGGTTAGTCTTGATTGTGCCATAGCCCTGTTACGATTGTTAGCGATGAGGCACGATTATGCTGGGCAGGAAAGCGGAAAACATACCAATCTCTGCACAATCTGCGGAAGGAAGAGGTTCACCGACTGCAGCGGCACACCCAAACAAATCTCAATGATCAAGAATGCCCATGTGGAAGGGTGCTTGAAGATTGTCAAAGCTCTACCCAGCTTGAACTCTTCGTTGACCACAGATGAACTGTCTGTTTGCATTCTGTGCACAGCAATCTCTCTTTGCTCGGGAGTCAAGAAGTGTGCTGTGGCAGCGTTGAGAGGCAGATACCAGAATGCAAAGCAGGAAACAATGATAGTGGCAGATCCTTCGAGGACGAACAGGTAGCGCCATGGTCTCAGAGCACCGCCTTCGATTTGGAAAACACCAAAGGAGAGAAGGCCAGAGAATGCACTGGCGATTGACTGTGCGGCGTAGAAGATTGCCAGTCTGCGGGCGAGTTCGCCTCTACGGTAGAACCTGAGAATCTTGTTAAAGACCGAGTCGCAGACCCACGGTGAAGGAGCAAAGAAACTCACATAGTCTGATAGTAAATGACTAGAGGAAAGAAAGCAGATTCACACATGCCCAAAAACCACCTTATCGCCATCAGCCCGCCAAAGTTTTGCACCGCAACAACCATCAACGTGCAGGTCCCAAAGCCAAACATCATACAGGGCAACACTCTGCTCGGCCCATACTTTTTTCCCAACGCCGCCAAAAAGGGTGCAGTGAGCACATACGGCACGTAAAAGATGGACAAGATGGTGTTGTACTGCAGACCTTTGAGGTGGAGGTCCTTTGCCAGGCCAGCAGTTTTGGCATTGCCCATGTTGGATTTGTCGAGCGAGTTGAAGAGATACATGATGGCCAACAGAGGCAAGAGGTGCAAGTCGAGTTTCCAGACTACTGCTCTTTCCTTTTTTGCGTCGATGGTGGTGACGATGCCGGTTTGGGTGATGGAGATGTTGTCTTTGTTGATGGAGTCCAATGAGGGTTTCCTCTCCGGGTCGGTGTAGTGTGTATCCTCCATTTTTGGGCGGTCTTGCAGAGTATCGCGTTCAAAACGAAAGTTGGAATAAACCTCAAGATATCCTGCTGCAGTGCAGCGAGTGCTACCTACTTATAAAGTCCATCGCAATGCGACACTGTTATCTTGACTTTCCTTTTCTTCCCGACATCTCGTACATGTTGATCCCAGCGAGTTCGTACAACTGCAACATCTCAGTGATAAGGAAACAAAAAAGCAGCAAATGATTGGACTTGTCGCGTTACGATTGCATCCGACGTCGGCTGTGAGTTCCATTGAGGAAAGACCGCTGGCCAAGCCCTGGATAGGGAATAAGACATAAATCACAGTCATAACCACACCTGATAGCGTGCCTAGAACTGCGCCCAGCAGTATGTCGCTTCCGCCGGCTAATGTAGGATATGAGCTGCAATGCCCCGGAAATGCTTGGTTGGGGTAAGCATGAGCATTATCTATCGAGTAAGAAACTCTTTTAGAGTTGGCCGTCGGCGCGAGAGGCCTGGGGCTTGGCTGGTCATCTTAGCCGACGGGAGGTGGTTATCGGCGACTGCTCCGCATACCTCTTCCCGACGACATTCGCTTCATGAAAATACAAGACAAGCAGGGAGTATCTTGAGCGCAGCATGTGTGCTGTCGACATGCTCGACTTGATCTCGGGCGGAATATTTATGAGAATCAGATGAACGATTGTTCCTGTCTTAGAGCTAAATCAGCTCGAGTCTACCCCATGTAATCAACGTTTAGGATCGAGCCGGATATTCATCTAGTCGTCTTGTCGACTTGTATAATGTCTGCTTGCGAACCAACCAGCAACATCAAATCTCGCGCTGTCGCGGTTCGCCTTCGTGTCTTCAGGAATACTACTGTCATCTTTAGAGACCCGAACCTCGTCGAGATGGTCGAATGGGTAACTACGCCCGCCTTCACCGAGCGGGTCAATACTCTCATGCGCGACTTCCATATCCCTGGCTTGTCAGTGGCAGTTCTTGATGGCGATACGGTACATACGCGCTGCTTCGGCCATGCTTCAATTGAATCCGACACATCGGTTGATGCAAACACCATTTTTGACATCGCATCCTGCTCCAAAGCCCTAACAGGAGTCGCGATGGGTATCTTGGTAGACAATCATCCTAAGCTGAGTAAACTAAGTTGGAAAACGCCAGTAGTGGAGTTGATCGGAGACGGCTTTGTCATGCATCGAGTTGAGGATAACGATGAAGTTACTGTCGAAAACTTGCTTAGCCATACTAGTGGCTTTTCTGGGTAAGAGCCCTCTGTTATTCATGAATTGCGTGCTTCGGAGAAAGCTCTAGCCAGGCAAAGTTTCAGCCAAAAGTGTAGGCAAGATGACTGACACCGAAGCAGACACGATATGAGCGTCCTTGGTATTAATGCTGCACATCCAGACAACGTACGCAGCGTGACCCGCAACTTGCGCCATCTACCTAGCACTGCTCGTCCAGGCGAGAAGTACCAATACAGCAACATTATGTACGCAGTAGCAACACACATCATCGAAACTCTATCCGGACACACTTTCTCGTCCTTCCTGCATGAGAATATCTTCAAGCCATTGAGTATGGACACTACATTCTTGCAGCCCAGCGAGGTATATGCTGCAGATCTAGCCTCTCGCTTCGCAACACCTTTTTACCATGAGAACGACACATACCACCAAGCTACGCACCAAGAGGTGCCAGAGTTTCAAGGTGCAGGTTCCATTCAGACCACACCAAGCGACTATATAAAGTTCATTGCTGCCATGCTACACCACAACAAATCTCCCATCACGCAAACGATTTATGATGGCGTCACCAGACCTCGTGTCATGCGAAACTCCAAACACTCTCTAGACGACTTCAACCCCACCTCATCAGCAGTAGCCTACGCACTAGGTTGGGACATCAAATACCGTTCTTCTCAGCAAATCGTCTCCCACGACGGCGTCATCACAGGTTATGGCTCCAGCATGTTTTTCCTGCCTGACCGTCGCTTCGGTGCAGTGTTCATAGGAAACTCTTCCGCTGCCTTTGGAGTCTGCCAAATCCTGCAGAGTGAAATAATAGACGAATTCCTCAGTACACCAAAAGAGCAGCGATTTGATCTCTCGCGCGGCCAACTGGAACGCCAAGTCGCACAGGAAGAGAGAAAGATGAAGAAGTTGACGAGGAATCGAGAGAGGAGAAAACAAGCGCGAGGTACGCTTGAAGTGCCAGCAGAGAAATACTGTGGTACTTTCTTCAATGCAGCATATCGCGGTGTTACGATTGAAATGCAAGATGGCGATCTATATATTGATGCAGCGGATCGTTCTGAGCCGTTTGATATGGTACTTGAGCATGTGAAGGATAATAGAGAGTTTCGAGGATATATTACTGCGGACGACGGGAGAGGAGAGGATGGAATCGCTGTGGAGGTTCGATTGGACGAGAAGGATGATGTTGTGGCTGTGGGGTTCAATTGGGATCCTGAGTTAGGGAGCAAGTATTTCTTTTGGCATGAAAGAACCGCTTCGTAGACAAAAATCGATATATACATAAACGGCCTGATAATGCACAAGCCGAGCCAGACCAGACTTTCGGAGATCGTAAAAACCTTGCACCCGCTCCTTTGAACACAATAGTCCAGCTTCAGTCTACTCCTGTACCTGATCCACATGCTCTGAAGCCATCTTGAAATCTTCAGCATACCCCTCCTTCTCTACATGCGCCGCAGTAACAAAGGAATCCACACTAGTCTCCTTGAACTTGCGAGCCGACACCTTAGCATCAAACAGCATATCCATTTCGGCGTACGTTCTTCCCTTTGGCTCAGGAACTCTAAAGTAAGTCCAGATAGCACACAGCATTCCAGTGCCTGCCCAGAAGAAACCAGCCTTGGCGCCCCAGTTCCAGGCATCGGGGTTGAGCATATGAGGAGTCAGGACGTTGGCGATGACGCCGGTGATGTTGTAGAGATTGCGGGCAAGCACCACGGTTTTGTTGCGGAGACGCGTGGAGGAGATTTCGGCGACGAGGGAGTAGCAGACTGGTCCTACGGTCATGTCGTAGACAAAAGTGTAAATGAGAATCATGGCTCCAATGCCCCACTGAGTGTTCTCTGCAGAAGCGGGAGCAATGCCCAAGAACCCAACAACCAGCAAGATCAACGCCATGGCGATTTGGCCGTAGAGATAGAGAGTGCGACGTCCGAACTTCATCATTAAGAACCAAGAGAGGATGGTACCGACAGCACCCAAACCATACTGTCCAAGTGACATGGAAAACGCAGCCGAAGTGTCAAGGCCAGCTTGCTCAAAGAAGTAGGTCGAGTAGCCGGTGAAAGAGGATGCTCCGCAAAGCGTCTGAACAGCCCAGACCATGCATACAATCTCTGTGCGTCTACGATCGACTCCCTTGAAGCAGTCCCAGTAGTTTAAGCCAGAGGTGCTTGCCTTTTCAAGTTCATTGGTGTAGACCATCATGTTGACCGTCTCATTGGCATCGAAGCCTGATTCCGTTTGGTTGCGGGAGGTAAGGCGGAGGACTTGTGTCTTAGCCTCTTCAAGACGGCCCTTGCGTACGAGCCACCAGGGCGATTCGGGTGCCAAAGCAATTCCAATGATCAAGGGTACTGGCCAGATCCATTGAAGTCCATAAGGAAGCTTGTAGCCGAGAGGACCAGTCTCGTTCGCGACGCCCTTGAGCACAGCAGATGATAGGAATTGACCAATGACCCAGCAGAGGTTGACGTAGGTAGTGAGGTAAGCTCTGAGGGCGACAGGGCAAACTTCTGCGGCGTAGGTTGTGGTCAAGGTTTGGAAGGCACCCCTCAAAAACATGTTAGCATTAATTCACTTTGTGTCTCGGTAATGACTCAAAACTGACCATGGAATGCCCATGAGGATCTCTCCAACGAGAAGCATAGGGAGATTCTGTGCGAAGAACACAATGAAGATGAAGCCAGTGAGAAGAGAAAGAGCGCCGATCATGGTCTTCTTGTAGCCAACGCGCTCAACGATGTATCCGATGAAGAACAAGCCGATAACTTCGCCAACCAGGGCACCGTTGGACAAGCCAGACTGCCAAGCAGCACTGATCTGGTAGCCACCCTTGGGAGAAGGCTCGCCGAAGCGACGCTGGAAGGCTGGGAGAGCCATCAGCGAGTTGATGAGTACAATATCGAATCCTTCCATCTGTTGGTCCAAGAGTTAGCTTGGAGATCTTCCTCTGCAATGTTGCTCGTTTTGTGGACTTACAATGATGCAGGTGGAAAGCAGGATAGACCAGCCGATAGCCTTGGGATAAGTCTTGATACCCTGCAAGAGGGTCATAGAAATCTCAGCCTGAGTCGCTCTGGCAGCCTCAGTCGCGACGACAGTGTCGACTTTGGCGAGATGGGACATATCCATGCCAGTGATGCTGCCCTTGCGTACCGCATCGTGGCCGTTGGATGTCGATCGTGTGTCGGCCATTGCAACGAAGTAGGAGCAAGTCTGATGTGATGCTTGTTGATGAAACTAGAGATAGTGATCAAAGATCGACGAGGCAGATTGTTCTGGATGATCTCGAATCTGGGGGGAGGAGACCGCACACTATATACCATTCACCCGAGTATGAGGCGTAAAAGTGTATGTCTCCAGAAACTGTTCCCCAGAACCCCGCTTGGGCTAGAATTCGTGTTGGACGTGCTTGAGATCGGTCCGGAGAAAGTCGCAACCCAGCTCGCGTTTTCAACGGATGCTGATGGCAAAGCCTCGCGACAGCACGAGCGACAGTAATGGCGAGAGCACGAGCGAAGCCATCTTCGAGATATCGCAGCACATGAGTGCCGGTTGTGGCGAAACTTAGATCCTGTGTGTGTGAAGTGCAGCGAAAGGACAAGCGGGGGTAGGAGCGAGAGTAGTAGCGAGAGTATGAGCGAGAATCCAAGCGAGCGACAGAGCGAGCGAGCGAGCGAGATGCCAATGAAACGCTAGAGTTTATCCCCAGATATTGCTTCTCCGCAGGCATATCATTCCCCGGAGTCAATTCAAAAGATTCAAAAGCGCTGCTCTCGTCCTTCAAGTACCTTATTCCTAGCAATCCGCACGAACTGCTAGTCTTAGCTTGTGCTTTTTGTCCCCAGAAACATATCTCAAACATCCTTACGTAACCATGGCTCGGTCCAAGGTAAACACAAGCGTGATTGGTCGTCAACCTTGGTGGAAGGAAGCCACGATCTACCAGATCTATCCCGCTTCCTTCAACGATAGCAACAATGATGGCGTCGGTGACATACCAGGGATCACACAAAAGTTGGACTACATCCAGTCATTGGGAGTGGACGTGATCTGGGTATGCCCCATGTATGTATTGTCGCACAGATACTCACACTCCTTACCGCATCGCTGACAGTTTCAATCCAGGTACGCAAGCCCTCAGGTTGATATGGGGTACGACATCTCCGATTATGAAGCCGTGTATCCACCTTATGGTACACTCGAAGACATGAACACCTTGATCCGAGAGGTGCACGTCCGCGGCATGAAAATCATCCTCGACCTCGTCATCAACCACACCTCAGATCAGCACAAATGGTTCCAAGAATCACGCTCGTCCAAAACAAACCCCAAACGTGACTGGTATATTTGGAGGCCGGCGAAGTACGACAGTAATGGCACCCGCCAGCCACCGAACAACTGGCGAAGCAACTTTGGAGGCTCTGTCTGGCAATGGGATGGGTTGACCGAGGAATATTACCTACATCTATTTTGTCCAGAGCAACCGGACATCAACTTCGAATGCGACGCCGCTCGTCAGGCCGTGTATCAGAGTGCGATGATCTCTTGGCTCGAGAGAGGTGTTGATGGGTTCAGAATTGATACCGTCAACATGTATAGCAAGCCACCTGGATTACCCGATGCGCCTGTTAAGGATGTAACAACACCATGGCAGGATGCTGGTTTAGTGTACTGCAACGGACCACGCATGGACGAGTACTTAGGCGAGATGAACGCCATCTTATCTCGTTACGACGCGATGAGCGTTGGCGAATGCCCGAATACCCCTGATCCTGCAAGAGTCATCGGCTACGTCAGTGCAAAGGCAGCTAAACTGAATATGGTGTTCCAGTTCGACTCTGTGGATGTTGGTATCGGTAAGATTTCGAGATACGCCACCGCACCTTTCAACTATACTCTAGGGGATATCAAGAGTGCGATATGTCGTACGCAGAGCCTAATCGGAGAGACCGACGCATGGACGACCAGTTTCATCGAGAACCATGATCAAGCGCGCAGTATATCCCGCTTCGGAGACGATTCGCCTCGCTGGAGAACCCGCTCGGGCAAGATGCTAGCGATGTTGTTTGCGTCCTTGTCAGGTACCCTGTTCATATACCAGGGTCAGGAAATTGGAATGATCAACATGCCAGTCGACTGGCCGATCGAGGAATACAAGGACGTCGACTCGATGAACTGCTATGCCGAAGCCTTGCAGAAGCACGGACAAGACTTGACAGCCCTGGCACATACCAGGGCAGCTCTTCAGCACCTCTCTCGCGACCATGCTCGTACCCCGATGCAGTGGACGTCGCGTGTCAATGCGGACTTCACAGGCGAAGATGTCACGCCTTGGATGAGAGTCAACACTAGCGCGCAAGACGGTATCAATGTCTCTGATGAGTTGGATGACGAATCGTCAGTCTTGAACCTTTGGCGAGGCATGCTTGAGCTTCGCCAGAAGTTCTCGGGTGAACTCATCCACGGTACTTTCGAGATGGTTGATCAGTCCAACCCAGACGTCCTGTCGTTTGTAAAGACGAGTCGTGAGACCGGGTCTAAGATACTGGTTGTTTGCAATTTCTCCGACAGCGACAGTAGATTGCCGCTCCTCAAGAGTCTGAACATGTCTCAGGCAGAGCTGTTATGTGACAATATACCCGAGGTGGACACCCCGAGGAAAGAAGCACGAAACGATTCGGAAGCATCTTTGCTGCAGCCATGGGAGAGCAGAGCCTATTTATTCTGTTCGTGATATTTAGTTCCTGGAGTAGTACCGAGGTACTGATCAGAGTTTGTGAGTCGGGTAGGGGTATTGAATACAATGTATAGAATGTTTGAGCAAACAAGCAAGATAAGCGCATTCGCTTTCTGCATGTGGTTTTTCAGATTTCAGTGTTTGCGTTGATCGTCGAGCAGTAGCTCCACATTAGCAAGACTAACGTATTTTTGCCATGTTCCAGTCGTGCTGTCCTGAGTCATACGCTTCTGCAAGATGCGCACGTAGACATCCCTGGACTTCGGCGAAGCTGACAAACTGAGTAAGAGTGATAGGAGAACCTCATGATGATCAGTGGTCTGCGAAGATCCTGGGAGAGCCAGTACGTCTAGTAGTGAGTACACGATTTCAAATTGCTTTTCGAAGATGCCTAGACCGTGGGCTTGTATGGCTGCCGGCGACAGGGTTTCCAATACTTCGCGGAGTGCATACGCAAGTTCGATCGGAAATGTATACGCAAATTCTGGTTCCACTGCAGAAGAGGATATCAGGCCAAGCCTCAGTGCAGCCTGCCAGATGGTCAGACGAAGCCATTGCTGCGTCACGAGGACATCCGCTCGTTGAGTCTCGGATACTCCATCGATTTGGAACGGCTGGCGTAGATGTGCATGAAGAATCGCGAGTTCGGTGGTTTTCTCCGCCGTCGAGAAAGATGAAACAGCTCCGTTCCACACCCGCACGAAGTCCATGTCCAGAATTGAAAAGAGGCGGTGTATACTGCTCAAGCCAAGTGAGATGGCTGGATCCTCGTCGGGCAGCACTTCGCCCGTCAAATCCGGAGGTAGCATGATACTGACCGGAAACGAATCGTGTATGCATGCGCCACGCTCGGTAATGAAGAGCAAAGCATACAGACGTTGGCGGCGAATCTTTTCCGGATGGTCAATCTCTGTGTTTTCGATGGTGGTGCTAATGCCAGCGAGATGTGCTAAGCTGATGGCTTCTCTGAGATAAAACCAAGAGGTTTTTCGGCACTTCAAATCGAAGTAAGCTACAGCGATGAAAAGCGAAGTCAGGACATCGTCCATGGTCGCATGTTCTATGAGATTATGGGACAAGCGGGCTTCGAGACACTGTCTGATGTACTCGCGTGCGAGGACGATCCGACGTTCGGCAGTCATGGTAGGCCAGAACTCTACCGTCACCAGTGTTAGCGCGCATATCGACTTCAACAACCCACTCTCTGTAGTGCCAAGCTCTGTAAAGCGCGATAGTAATGCAGCAATTCTTCTCTGGTCCAACAGAGGATAAACCAGGTATATGTGCCTGAAGAACAGGGCCACTCCACGCTCAAGAATCCGGTCCAATCTTGGGGTGGAACCATCGAAACCTGGCGACCACAAACCCTCACTTAAGGTCGACGGACTGGCCTGATTAGCGGCGTTTGAAGTCGCGATAGCGATCTGCTGGGAGGCGTTGCCGGAACGACTTGCATCTTGCCAGGATTCTGATGAGCCAAGTACGTTCTCCGCAAACTCATCGAATGTGAAGTAGCCATCCGCGTTCAGGACCCCTCCCAAATATCGACCACTCAGGCTGCCAGGCGAATCAAGTTCTATTGGACGAGGAGAGACATAGGTTCCAGCGCTCACGTGATGATTAATTGCGCTGATTGGACGCTCATAATCCAAACCGTCCATAGTTGTCGCATGCTTCTCCGGGCCAGGTTGTCCTATGGTGGTCGTGTTGTCGCCCACAAGTGGAGTCTGAGGATGCCGCCCCCGTATAGAGTCGATGACCAGACCTCGTCCAGGCTTTGGACCCTTCTTCCTTCTGACTGTGTTGTATGCGCAAATCAAGTTGTGGCTCTGGCATCGGTCACAAGGCATCGCATAGTTGCATTTGACTTTGCGCGTCCGGCAGTGGTCGCAAGGATGTGACACTCGCCTGCCCGACATACTGAGGCCATGAGCAGATCTACCGGGCTTTGGCCTGATTGAAGGTCTGGACGAGCACACGTAGAGATTGAGATGGATAGCAGGACGCGTGAAGTCATGTGATTTTCATGCGACGAACCCCACATCAAATTCAACAGACCTCAGTCGACCTGGCACTCTCTCCTGATCCTAGCCCATGACGTTGACTATGCAATATTTCTACTCGATAACCTGCATTGAATGTGCTACATAGGTTGTGAAAGCATCGTGGCCCTGGTGTTATCCAAAGAATTCGTCATATCAGGTTGAACAAGCGTGCTCACTTCAAGATAATCTGTTCTCCACACTAAAAAGTCGTAGCGGCGATCACCCCTGCCCACACAGACGCGGTCTCGACATGATCGAGTTGTGCACCGCCCGCTGTCAAATAGTCTAATCAATCAGGGTTGTTCCACAAACCTTCAGTGACACTGGGAGACCGCATATGGATCTGTACCGATACAGGAATTGGAGACAGGGTGGTTCCATCGACAGAAGTCGGGTCGGTTACAGAGGAGTCCCAAATCAACAATTACTAGCCGAACATTAATCCCAGCCGGACGTCGATACTGATGTGTCTCACGAGGTCTCGGCCTTGGACTTGTTGTGCTTAGTCGTTCACAGAAAGGATGCTCGGGATTGAGGACGAAATCGATCTAATCCTGACCTCAGCACTGAAATGATTGAAGATGTATCTACATCGCTGTTATCCTGCTAGCTGAGGAAAGACTTGGTCTCTCAGGTAGATCAAGAGGGGACTCGTACAAGATCCGTCATGTGACTTTGTATATATCACAGGGATACCTTCTCTAGTAGGCGTCGGATCTATCGCATTCTTAGTGTAAGAGAGTCAAGCTGCTGTGAGAGGGATACTATACGATAGCTCAGGTTGCGGTCAGAATTCATATCAAATCTGAATACAGGGAACATCATGAACTTAAATATTGGAGTACTGCGAATATGTACATTGAAAAGGCGCTACACGATCTACTTCTCTCTAGCCATGTATGCTCTCCACTTGTGGTTGAAAAAGTAGACGGGGATACCAAGCAAGAATATACCGACATAGATGCCGAATAGAATCATGAAGGCAGTGAGGTAATTGAAGGTGTGCACCATTGGAACAATTCCATAGCTGGCGCCGAAAGAGATGATGTTCTTAACACCAATGACAACGACCAAGGCGGGTCCAGGGTTCTTGGGGAAGGCCTCGGATCCGAAGTGTGTCGTGGTGATCAAGACGACAATGAAGGCGAATTCGTAAAGCGTCCAGCCCATGATAATACCCCAAGAGGAGTGATTCTTAGGGTCGTTTGCAGTAATGGCAAAGATGATGATACCGATCGCGCCAACTAAGAAGGGAAGGATGAGTTGGACGAGAGTGTCCTCGGGGACGTGTACACCGTTGCGGCGCTTGGCCAGCCAGAGATTCATCTTGTCACCGACATATCCAGCGTAGAGCATGGCAGCAAAAGAGGCAGGGAGGATGCCAACGTTGACAAGCCCGATCGACTTTTCCGACCAGTGGAAAGAGGTTGTCAAGATTGAAGCATAGACCAGCGACATGGCGATACCAACACCGAGCGCAATGGAAGACACCAGGATAGCATAGATGACACCAGGAGAACTGCAAGCCTGTAGCATCTTGACGTTCGCACCGAGACCAAGCTTAAGAGCGTTGGGAGCAATACCACTGACGGGGTTCAGGTGTTGAAGGTAAGTCTTTTGACGGTATTCCTGTTCGTCAGATTGCTGTACTTGACCAATGCGCTCACGAGCCTCAGTATCGGTGAGGAAGTGGGTGACACCCCATTCATCGGTGTAGATGACCTGGCCATTCATTGAGGCAGGAGATCTGGTGTACCTTGTTTCGCTCAAGAGGAAGAAACCAACGACCAGACCTGCGGCAGCGAATATGGACAGGACCCAGTAGAAGTATCTCCAGGAAGTTGCAGCGACCAGATAAGAAGCACTGATACCAAAGGCAGTGTTGATGAGATTCTGTGAGCCCCAGTAGACACCAAACCAGAGACCTCGCTCATCGACAAAAGACATATCAGTGATGATCAGAGGCAGGACAGATTCGGTGGCTCCGGCTGCTATACCCTGGAGGATGCGGCAAGCCATGTGAGTGTTGTAAGAGTTGCTTGCACCGGCGCCAAGGGTGGAGCCAAGCAGGAGAATGGAACATCCCAAGAAAATGGGTCGTCGACCGAACATCATGGTCAATGGAAGAATGAGGAAACTGCCTGTGAACGGATGTTAGCGAACGCTATCGCCAAGAAATGACCATATTCTTACCGAATGCCATGACCAAGCTGGGATAGGTGGTGAGATTGACGACCTGTTGGACAGATTTTCCGGTAGGAGCGTAGAGACCGATGAAGACTCCCAAGATGGGACCAAGACCGCCGACAAGGACGAGAGAGAAGATCGAGAACCAACAGCAGCATATCAAAATGCCCAACTTTCTCCACTTGGAATAGTTGAGAGGATCGTTAGGGTCGCTGGAGGGGATTGGGATTCTCCGAATCTCGCCGATAGTGTTGATGAGTTGGAGGTCGCCATTTGAAGGCTGTTGTGAATCTGAGAAGCCCTTCTCTGGCATCTCCATGTGGTCCGCTACCATGGTCGCCTTTGCATGATCTATAGAGGTTGTCATGACGACTCCAGGCGATGTTGTCTGAACGATAGAAAGTGGGAAGAAGCAAGATCGAGGCGAGTTACTGCAGATCTAGGATATGGGTCGAGGCCTGTGTTACCTATATAGCTGCTCAGGGTTCTTACTCGCCGGCGCGGGGTCCCCAGGTGGAGGAACAGTAGGAGACCCCCGTGGGGACTCGATCAATCTGGAGGCCATTCACGACCCGCTTGATGCGTAAGCCACCAATTGAGACGTCGGTTCGGACGAGCGAATGCCAAAGTCATGGAGCCTGGGGCAATATCAAATGCCGCAGAGGGCTAGACTTCATGCCGAGCCGAGCAGAAAAGCTGAACCGAGAGCCGTTGTGGAGGGAAAATGAGGGCAGGAAGTCGACGGTAAAACAGCGGTTCATCCTCTGGAGCCAATCGGCGAGCCTTGATTGCCCCGCTCTCGGTATGTCACACATCGACTCGTTCTTCCTCCCGGTGGAGTGCAGTCCATGACAGCCACAACAAGGTCGTGTGCCGACAATATGGACGCTCGAGAGCGCGGCTGGTGATACCGAAGCGCGCATTGCTCTATTTTGCTCCAAGAGGAATACTCGTTCTGCAGCAGTGTAGCGATACCCCATGTCTTCGGATGCCACCAACCGACCGCAGAAGCGCATTCGCCTGTCCCGAGCCTGCAACAAATGTCGATCTCGGAAGGTGCGTTGTGACGAGGGTCAACCATCTTGTACCAATTGCGTTCGAGCGAAAGTAGAATGCATAACAACTGACCCGAACAATCCCGATCAACTCTCAACACATGCGCGTCGTCGAGCTGGTACCGGAAATGCCGCCTCACCGAGCGCGCCTGCTCATTCACCTTCAGCTGATCGCGCAACTGCGGCTCTGGAACCATCATCATACAACGCGAACGTGTCCCAGAGCCCTATGTGGCAATCTAGCACGCCGCTACATCAAACTCCAAACGATATCCCGACTTCGCGAATGGCCATTGGTGGTCTTGTGCACAGACCAGATATTCAAAATCAGCAGTATGATCAAGCAGCAGAACTGGTGGTCGAGCCTGCCGTCCAGCCTGGTTTGTTAGGCAATGTTCAGGGCTCGGGGTTCGCTGTGAACTCTGTAAGCGCTACTGAACGGAAGTATCTGGGTTCGACGTCTTTGCAAGTGTTTTCGCAGTGGCTCGATTTGACGTTCCATGTGTCTCCTACCGGCCTCACAAGTTCTTTCCAACACGGCATGAGGTTCTGTGAGGAGATGGAGTTACCGGCAGACCTTTTCATGCCCCCAATTCCCAGTGCATGGCGGGAGTATGTGGAAGCATTTGTCTCAGGACCCGGTATGGTCTTCCCAATAGTCTCAGCTGAAGGCATTACTTCAACGATACAATACTTGTGCCAACAAGACCTGAGGACCCTTCCGGTTCGCGAACGACCACTCATTGCGACAGTGTATGCTTGCCTAGCTATCGGAGCTGATTCTCTGGGACACTCTACTCAAGGTATGAGCTTGGTCACAGCAGCATACTCCTTGTATGCCTACCTCGTTGCACAGCCTTATCTTCAGTCAGCCCAAGCTCTCCTGCTTATCTGTTTAGCTCTGAGAGGTCGAAACAAAGATGGCGCCGGCTCGCAAGCTCTGGGACAAGCCATTCGTATATTGCATTCTCTCGGCTTGCACAGAAAACTGAACGGCTACGGCAGTCTCAATCGAGAGCAGACAGAAGTCGTACGACTCGGCGTTCATACCTGGTGGAGTGCTTATTGCCTCGACCGTATGATGAGCTTGGAGACCGGACGCCCTCCTCAGATACAAGACGAGGACACTGATCAGTCAAGGAACCTCCAAACTACCAATGTCCAAGATCTGGCAGCTTTGCAAGCTCTGCTTGATCTGGGCGCTATCCAGGGGAGCGTAGCCAGGCACTTGTGCACGCCGAGACTTCCAACCATCACTGCTGTCTTGGAAGCACAATCCCGTCTCGATCAGTCTCTGCTAGAATGGCAAAACAAACTTCCTGCCCGATTACGCTGTGACGGAGACATCACAATCAACGACCCGGACCTTGCTCTTCCTCGAGCATTTTTGAGTATCCAGCTGCATACAACTATGATCAATCTTCATCGAGCTGCATTGTTGATGGACAAAGATATACACCAGACAAACCTCGCCCGGTATGACTTGGGCAAGGCAAACGCAAATCGTCTTGCGTCAAGCGAGTCAATTTGTGCCAATTCTGCCAGAGCCATTATTACTGCATTCCTACAAGCTCGAGAAATCACCAAAAACTCGAGGCTTCAGACGATGACTGGACCATTGATGGCTATCTATGTGTTGTCTATCAACACTTTGAAGAACTCAACCTCGTGGTCCGCTCGCTCCGATGTCGGGTTGATCTACTCAGCTGCGGAGGCGGTTGAACAACAATACACCGCAGATGGACAAGATCCCGGGTTCTACACACTCTTGAAGACGCTGAAACAGTTTGCATCTCGGGACACGCTTTCGCCCAAGCGTCTGGCTAGCTCGAGAGTGCCGACAAGAAGAACTTCACCACAGCCACAATCCAACCCTCGGTCTGGATCCGTCAACCACGATCAAGATCCCAATGCTGTGCAGATGGATCATGCACAGGACCCGAATCTATCAGATGAATGGGGCATGCTGTTCCCACGCTTGTATGTAGGCGATCTTGCTTTGGACGCTGAAGCCTTGGAAGGCATGGACATTGAGTACTTGATGGGTATACCCCACCTATCATTTGACGAACCACATTGAACCCTCGACTGTTGCCATTGTGTCCTAGACAGTACAGACTATTGAAGTCCTTGGTTGAAAGACCCGATTTCAATACCCCAATACCCCAAAGTCACTCAGCCATTCTGGGGTGAGAAAGTGCGAGAGAAATTACACAGTTTGGCAAAATTATGATGGTTCCTTAGCTCTCGCTGCCGTTCACAATCAGATCTAGTGAAAACGAATGTACTTTGCTGAATTTTTTGGATATCAACCTGAACCATACTCCGAAATCAAAAATTAATCCAGATCAAGAGACTCCAATCACCACCCCGGTCTTCTCTCTTTACGCCTTGATGTACGGAATACCAGTGAGACGATATGCGCGCTCACTCAGCTGAGGCTTGTTGACAGGCTCCGTTCTGTTGAAAGGATCGAGTACGCCATTTCTCTTGGCTGAGTTGCGTCCCTGCTTGATGTCAGTATACATTTACTACCAGGATATGAAAAAGCTAAGGCTTACTAGGACCTGGGCGTTCGGCCAATGGGTGGTGCCGAACCAGCCCTCGAAGGCAGTCTTCTTGCGCTTGAGGTCCTCTTGGCTTGCATCGGCCACAGGCATGTAACAAGTGTACACACAGAAGCGATTCTGGTCTGTTGTGGAGCTCAGGTTGTAATGCGGGACTCTCGAGTCCCAGAGAAGAAGGTCACCAGGCTCTGCGGACACCTTGACCCATTCGAGGCCCTTTCCTTCGAACCACTTCATGCCATTGTCGGTAAAGCCGTACCACTCCGGATTCCAAGCGGGAATGTGCTCGTTACGTTCCTTTTCTGGGAAACCGACCTCCTTGTGGAATTGCTCGCTGACGAGGTGGCCACCCTTGAGAACAATGAGGCCACCGTCGTTCGGTCCATTGGGAAGGATGTTGACAAGACCTTGCAAGCAGCGGAAGCCATTCTTTGTGGGGTCCTGATCTTGATGGGGCCAGGGCGAGTTGGGTGCCAAGTCTTTGCGACCAGTCAAGCCGAAGTTGACGGCGTCGAATGAGACGATTAGGTCTTCGGTCTTCAACCATTGTTCGAATGCTCCTACGACACCAGGCTCTGATCGGATGTCCCAGACGAAGTCCTCGTGGGCGATAGCGTAATCAAGGCACATGCCCTTGTTGTTGATCTCCGGCAGGTGGTCAGAGTTCCATGTGGAGCGATCGTTTCTGTCAAAACCGAGGCCACTACAAATGAGGTCAATCCCATGTTCAGATTCTTGTCCGATCTGTCCTAGACTCACAAGCCTTCGAGATATTGGTACATGCGCTCAGCGTATTGTGCAGCCTTCTCCTGTGCGACGGCACCTTTGACCACAGCATAACCATCTCTGGCCAAGTCGGCCATCCAGTCGTTGGCGGGGCTGTTGCTGGCCTTCAGGCGAAGCTGATCCACTTCGGAGATCTGTGTTGTTGTTTGACTCGACATGGTGTGTGTGTGTGCGTGTGAGTGAGTGAGTGAGATTCAAGAAAGTTGAGTATGTGTTGAAGACGGTAGAGGCTGATGTGTATGTCTTTGTAGTGATGATCTATTGTTTGGTTCAGATACGTCGGGTCATATATGTGGAAAGCATGCTTGATAGCTCCTCGGCCTTGACTTAGTATGCCCACTGTACCGAACCGAAGCGCACGAGTCACTCGCCACTTGCAGACACCCGAGTATGGCGCTCCAGATGCGAGCGAGTCAGGCTCGGTTCGTCGAGGGAGGGGCTTAAGTTCTCCACAATGAACCAGCCGAACCGAGCCGACCCCATCGGCTCGGGCATCCTGCCTCTCAACTACACCTGCACCTCGGCAATGAACCGAACGGACCTGCTTGCTCCTGAAGTGGTCCCGATATTACTCGGCTGTCTTTCTTGCTTGTACAAAGGCCATGTGTACCCATCAAGGTATGGAGGACATACGGTAACTACACAGAATTTACGTCAGGCCCACGCACGCCAAAGACCTCTGCAAACATACCAACAGAGAAATCAAGCAAGATGGCGATCGATGCAGCAACCAACACGTTCCGAATTATCATTGTCGGAGGAGGTATCGCAGGCTTAGCTACTGTATGATAACCCTGTGGATATTGGGATCGAATGTTCCAATCGCGATTCGAACGTCTTGCACGCACTGACACGAGAACAGGCGATTGCGATGAGAGGTCCTCAGAGAGAAATAATCGTACTAGAAAAGTCTCGCATGAACAAAGAAGTCGGAGCCCTTCTATCTCTCCAACCCAATGCCCAGAAGATCGTCGAGCAGTGGGGTCTCGGAGAAATTCTTCAGAAGGCAAAGCCTACAGCAGAGAGACAATTCCGCATCCTAGACACCAAAGGCAATATTCACATGAACATCGACATGGATGCAAAGAAGTACGGAGCTGATCGCATGGTATACCATCGTCAAGATCTACACTCTGCTTTGAGGGAAGCAGCGCTCAGTACAGAACTTTCTGGTCACCCTGCAACCATCGTCACTGCAGCCAAGGTTGTCAGCTGTAACTGCGAAGCAGGCAAAGTCACGCTGCAAGACGACACAACTTACCAAGGCGACCTCATAATCGGCGCTGATGGCATTCACAGCGTCATTCGCGAAGCCGTACTCAAAGCCGGCAACCACGAGCTCGTACATCCGACACCTACAGGCGTTTCTGCATACCGACTTCTGGTCGAGACAGCAGATCTCTCTTCCATTGAAGTCGATCCCGCACTTTTCGACCCAAAAAGACAAGCTACAACGCTAATGATGGGCCACGACCGCCGCGTAATCATGGGACCTGCTCGTAACGGTGACCTTCTAGGTCTGGTCGGCATGGTTCCTGACGAGCATATGCACGAAGCCTCGGACGCTAACAGTTGGACTACACCAGGCTCACTCTCCAAGCTGCTGGAAACATATCACGACTTCCCTCAGTGGATTCGAGACATCTTTGCTCAAGCACCGGATATTGCGCTTTGGCAGTTGAGAGATATCGATGCATTGCCAGCTTGGGTAGCAGGAAGGTGTATCATCATCGGAGACGCTGCTCATGCCATGTTGCCTACACAAGGTCAGTTTGGTCTATTTGAATCTGTTTACACCACAGTAAAGGAAGCATCCGCTAACACATTCCGATCTAGGCCAAGGCGCATCCCAAAGTGTCGAAGACGCCGAAGCTCTTTCAGCCTTCTTCTCGTCCGTCATTGGTAGACCGACTCACTCAGAAACCAATTCTGCCCTCCAACAAGTCTTTGAGAGCCGCCACCGAAGAGCAAGTTTGATTCAGACATATAGCCGTCAGCAAGCGAAACCTGCCACGGAAAAGGGAAGTGTAAAAGTCACACTGAACCCCGCGGAGTTCTTGGACTATAATTGCAAGTATGAGGGCGCTGTCAAATGGCTGGAGCAGCAAAAGGCCAAAGAAGTGGAAAGCCAATAAGAGAGTGTCGCTAAAAACTACATGGAACTCGAAGTTTTCTGAGCCGAGCGCGCTTATATCCGGCTCATCTCTTCCACCCTCAGATGCTCTAGAAAGAAAATCACCGATTGCGTGAATTGCATGTGATTCCGTGATACTATTGCTGTGTCCTCTCAGATCGTGATTGGCCAAAACTCAGCTATTTTCTCTGCAAGCAGACTCTGATAGGGTGACGATGTGACGGGTGGCGCCTGGCCAGAGATGAAACGTGATGTTTATCATTAAACATCTCGGACTGGTTCCGCGTTCGGTCAAGTAAAGGTGATGTGGATCGGACCGGCTTTGGCCTGAGTTCTAAGACGTATAGGCAAACTATGATCCGAGGTCGCTTCGATGGATGCACAGTAGGTTGTCAAAGAGAGTAAACATGTTTGGCAAGACACATGTCAAAAACTGTATTGCGGCTCCGGATAAAAGTAGCTGGCCATGCATCCCCCCGCCCGAATTGGCGCCTTGTTCAAGCAACAATGTCTTGGCGCAACCCTCGGGCCTTCCCTTGACGGAGCTGATTTGGCTTTTGTCAATGCCCGTCGTCCAGATCACCTGAATTTCCTTCAACTTCACCAGAACAGAACCATGAAGTTCTTGTTTTCTAGTCGCAGCACTGCTCAATCCGGCAAGATCTCACGCCTGGAACGATGACAGCATGGAAACTTCGCAAGCGACGATTGCACAACGATCGTATACCGGCTGTCGCACCTGTCGGCAGAGAAAGGTCAAGTGCGATGAGAACCGCGATGAAATTGGCAGATGCAACTCTTGCTCCCGTCTGAATCGACCATGCGACTGGACACGCGAATATAAATTTATTGACACAAGTCGAGACGTTGAGAGACAATATATCGTACTTGGCAAGGGTCCGCATCAAGCAGTCGATGATGGCAAGCCCGCCAACGAGACGAGCAGTACTGAACTTGTGATCCGCTCACGACCTTTGATGTTTATCAATTCATCCCCTGGAGACCTCGCTGCAACAATGATACCTGCGGAACCTCGGACGTCCAGGAATGTAACCCCTCAGGACTCAAGGCCAGCCTCTGACTCGTCCTCCGAGGATTCGGACACGCAGTCCGTCGAACTGGTTCAAGCTTCGCATGTACCATTTGACATTATGAATTACGGCACGAGGATCCGCGACAATGCCATACATCCTTTACTGTTCGACAAGATCGTCTGTCGCAAGATCATGCCTATGGCGGTCCGTTTTAAACTCAACATCGAGGATAACCAAAATGTTCTGGTTTCTACAGCAAAGCAGTTCCCCCCACTTCGTCATGCCATCTGTGCCATTACGCTTCTCAACAGTGGTATGAAAAACCGACCGGAACTTGTAGCTGGTTCGTTTCAACATTACGATCAAGCAATAACCGCATGCCGGTCAATGCCACCGTCTACCAACCCCGAAGCTGTTTTCTTCCTGCACTTCGTCCTCCTAATGTACGATATTGCCTGTGCATCCCAACGATGGCCTGAAAATCGCAGTTCATGGGCTTTGCATCTACGCAAACTCGCCAGCCTAGCTCATGAACCAGCTGGATCTGCAGTTGGTCGGCTAAAAGCGTATCTTTCATGGTATGTCCTTCTTCTAGACGCGCAGGCAGGCCTTGCTGGAAACCCTGAAGCCGGTCATTACACGCGAGCCTTTTTGGATAACGGTCGTTCATTACCCGTCTGGCCCATCTCACGGAGTCAGCAAGTAATACTTTCGGCACCAGACGCCATGGATACCTTTCTCCAAGCTCACAAGTTGTCTTTGATCACATTCGAGATGTTTGCCGAGCAGAGCCAGGCATCACTCAGTTTCCGAAGCACATTCAGAGACCGGCGGGTTGCACTTCAGGAAAGACTGGACTTCATCCAAGATCTATCAAACCGACATGCGGAAAAGTGGCGAGCGAATTGTCCAGCATATTTGGAGACTTGGGACGACAAGAGCGATTTGGGTATCATAAGAGGCACCTACAATTTCGCTCGACTGCAATACTCGGTGCTCCAACTATACCTGCACACAAGCATATATCCATACCAGCGATTGGACGGAGATGCATTCACTGCGGAAGACACCAAACACTGTACCTACATCATCGACACAGTACGGCAAAGCTTCGTTTTCAACGACAAGGAGAATCACCATCTAGCGCCTGCACTCTTCCTGGCAGGCGCAGCGACCAAAAATTTGAGTGAAAAAGCAGCAGCGCTGATCATGCTGCAGGAAATGGAACATGCAGGGTTATCTGGAGCTGTGGCGCGAGTACGACATGTTCTTGAACTGGTGGTTAGAGAGCAAGCGAAAAAGGAGATGTCTGGCGGGAGTGCGGATGAAGTGGATTGGATTGAGCTATCTCAGGAACACGGCTTGAAGAATGTCGTATTTGGAATGTAGGAATGAGTGGGAGGAAGCATATCGACAGGAAAGAATCAAGTCAGAGTAAAGGGACAACAGCCCCTGCAATTGGATAATGGATGAGTATGGAGAATTGTCACATGCAGAAGGATTTTGGAAGGATTGCACACAGGGCTGAAGCCTGACGCGACGACTTCACCTCACCTCTTTCAAATATTCGTAGTGATAAACCAACAAACGAAAAACATCTTAAAATTCACGCAACGCTCTTGACGCATTGTGATATCCGAGTACCGATTACCGATAATGACCGCCGCAGCCTCAACCCAAAGACCAGAGACATCCTCACCTCACGGCGTCGCGGCACCACCACCACCACCACAACAACAAGCATCCTCACCTCTCGACGCAGCAACAACCTTCTGCAGCAACATCAACTACCACCGAAGCTTGCAAATTCCTGCTTCCCTCTCCCACGAAAGACTACGCGTGACTTATGCCACCACCACGAATTTCGAAGACGAAACACTACCGGTGGTGTTATTCTGCCACCCCATGGGCGCAGCCAGATACTTGATTTTTGGATTCGAAGAACTTGCAACAAAGGAAGGTGTTAGGGTTGTGATTATCGATCGGTATGATTTGTTTTCCTCCTTTTCTTTTTGCTGCAATTATACACTTTTGCAGATGATGACGACAGGAGATATCGGATGATGATTGATGACTGATGATTGACGATTACAGACCAGGATTTGGCGGTACCACTGCTGTTGCCTTGGACAAAAGAGTGCAGACGTGGTTGGAGATTGTTCCGGCTGTGTTGAAGGTATTGAGGGTCAAGCGTGTGGCGTTGATGTCGCATTCGGCGGGTACGATATATGCGTTCAACACTGCTGTGAGACTGCCGCACTTGATGTATCCTGGAGGAAAAGCTTTTATGGGATGTTTGGGTATGTCCTTGTTTCTCCTTTCTTCTTTCGTCATCTTCTTTTGAACTTTTTGCTAATTCTTCACTTGCTCTTTTCCTTCTGTACATCCATTCTGTTTTCGTTTCTTTTTCCGGACAAAAGCAGAAAAAAGACAATGGCAGATACTAACGCACACACACACCACAGCTCCATGGGTCCACCCTACACACTCCTCAGCACCCTTGTCGCAAGTCATCGACAAACTACCTGCATCTTGGGTCGGCAACTTACACCGCATCCAATCATTCGTAAACAGTTACATCGCTCCTTCTCTAGCTTTTTCTTCTGCGAAACTGGGAGTGAAGCCATCGCTCACAGAGCAAGAAAGCCAGAGGAGCCATGGCATGGAAGCAAAAACTTGGGACGAGGTGGGCAAGTTGCAGCAAAAGTGGCGGGGGATGGAGGATATGAGGTGAGTGTTCTTTCCCAATTCCATCACTCTACCCTGATTCATACCTCAATGAGGGTGGGCGTTGCGAGGGTTCTGAGTGGAAGTGTTGGGCTGATGGGAAGCAGTGGTGTTTCGGCAGATGCAACACTGTGCATGCAACGCGAAGGCAAATACTGGGGTGTTTATGCCTCTTTGCCATCGTGCATTGATCTCTTACGCTCAACCTATACACCTCAAGATAGCGATGCATCATTCGCATCAACTCTGACATTACGGGTTTACTTTGCGGAAAGCGATGCGCTGATTGGAAGAGGTGGACAAAAGTACTTTGAGCAATGCTGGAAAGAGGGGAATGGTGATGCAGAGGGAAGAGTCAGGTTTGAGGCTAGTGTTGTGCAGGGGGCTGATCATGATAGTATTGTTTTGGCGGAGAAGGGGGTGCTTGGGGATGTCTTTAGGGAAGTGAAGAGGGTGTGTGGCTGAGACAGGTATCGACTTGTTTTCTTTCAGCTGATAGACAGGTGCAAATACTTGAAACATACGACTTTGTTCACTTATTTATACTTGTACAGCATCAATCTACCATCAAATCGACATTTACACCTCTCAGCGCCTCGACAATCCACGCGGGATACTTGGTCTTGTCTCCAGCATACAGCGTCGAAAAGTAACCCCTCAAAAACTGTGGGTAGGTATCTGCGATGATAGCTTCTCTGATCCTCCGCATCAGATCTAGCAAGTAATGCACATTGTGTATACTCAACAGATGTGCGCCTGCAGTCTCCTTGGCGGCGACATGATGGATGTAGGCGCGTGTGAGGCCCAACCCTCCTGCAGATACGGGACGGCAGATTGTGCATTTGCAATCTGGATCTACGGCTGAGAAGTCGGCGGAGTAGGAGGCGTGGCGGAGGTTTAGGACGCCGGTGGAGGTAATGGCGTTGCCAAAGCGCTGTTGTCAGGTGTGTTGGTAAAACAGAAATAAAGTGGAGGTTAACGGGACTTACAGCAGTTCGTGTAGGCCACACACAATCAAACATGTCTGCCCCCAGAGCGACAGAAACAACCAAGTCTTCAGGATAACCCACACCCATAACATAGCGCGGTTTGTGGTCTGGCAGCAGATCCGTACAGGTAGTCACCACCTTACAATACTCCTCTTTGGCCTCACCGCCTGAGAGTCCTCCAATAGCAATACCCGGGGTATCTCTCTTGACCATCTCTTCACAGCACTCTTTCCTCAACTCCAGATCCAAACCCCCTTGGATGATACAGAACAAATTTTGGGTTGCGGAATTCTTGTGGGCATCAATACAGCGGTCTAGCCAACGTATGCTGCGATGCATTGCTTCCTTTATGCGTGCGTGATCGGGAGAGGTTGTGGCGATTACGTCGTCGAGTTGCATGATGATGTCTGAGCCGATGCTGTTTTGCAGCGAGATGGAGTGTTCGGGGGTGAGGAGCATAGGAGAGCGGTCGTGGGGCGAGAGAAAGCGGACGCCTTGTTCGGTGACGGTGGCTAGTTCGAGGAGGGAGACCATTTGGAAGCCGCCGCTGTCTGTCAGGATGTTGTGGGGCCATGATTGCAGTTTGTGGGCACCGCCGATGGCGTCTAGAGTGGCTTGACCTGGCTTGAGACCGCTGTGCAGAGAGTCAGAGGATGGGAGGGAGGACAAGATTTGAGGGCAGATCACAGGTGGTAGGTGTTGTTCAGGCACAAGCGACAGCTAGTCTCGTCGAGTTGATGAGGAGTCAGGCCTTTGAGAGAGGCTTGTGTTGCGACAGGCATGAAAATGGGCAAAGGAACAGGGCCATGGGGCAGTTGAAGAGTCGCAGCACGTGCCTTGGTGACCTTGATGGGGCTTCAGTATTCATTTACCTTGTTGTTTGCATCTACAGCGACATACCGAGCACCGTGCGACTGGCTGGTACGTCAGAGCCGAGTGCATCTTACCCACTACAGCTGCGACAGCTTGCTTGATGGACGCGATGGTGATGGATTGCAGGTCGAGCACCTGCCGTGTTGTGTCCAAGAGAAACAGACGCTGGGGAAAGTCGCTCTTGCCCTGGATGAGAATGTTCGGAGACGGGGACTTTCACATGCGATTCCCGAAGCTTCGCTCGCTCGCCGCGCCTGCCAATGTAAGCAACCACCCGCCACCAAGAGTCGCTGTCGTGACCAACTTGGTCGCTTGGTCTTGTCGCAAAAGCGCGACGGCATAAATACTGCCCTCGCCCTCGCCCTCGCCCTCGCCGTCATGTCGTCTTCATCTACTCCCGATCCCTCTGCCGAACAGCACAGTTACACCAAGATGGCCACTGCCGATGTCGAAGCTATCGGCGCTCACTGCAACATGTCCTTCTGCCATCAACTCGACTTTCTGCCTTTCAAGTGCGAGAGCTGCAAAGGGTAAGCCACCTTCCACTCTTCGCCAGACTTGTTCAACACTGACACGCTGCAGCAAATACTGCCTGGACCACCGCTCCGAAACCGCCCACTCCTGTCCTAATGCTGGTGCTTGGGCAAGGGCACGCGCCGCCCAACAACGATCCACCTACACGCCTTCGCCCAAACCCTCCGTCCTCACACACGAATCGCAATGCTCGGAACCCTCGTGCAAGACCCTCATCAACACTGCCCTCGTACCCGGTGTCGAGTGTGATTCCTGTAATCGAAGCTACTGCCTCAAACACCGTCTACGAGAGTCACACGACTGCGCAAAGCTAGCTCCCATAGGCGCGCGTGCGAATAAAGAAAAAGGACTGACGGCACTCGCGAAACTACGTGCCTGGGGCCAGGCCAAACAGAAGACCATGACATCCGCTGCCACCACCTCGTCACACCCCAAGCCTTCAACGACCACAAAGCCCTCGGCTTCCGCGGCCAAACCCTTGACCGCTGCCCAGCGCGTTCGCGCCACGGCCGAGTTGAAGAAGAATGCAAAAGGCGATGCCAAGGTGGCCATGGAGAAGCGTATATACCTCAATGTCGAGGCCTCCGCCGACACCACAAAGGCCAAACACCCCACAGGCCAATTCTTCTACTCGTCTGAGTGGAGCATCGGCAGGGTTTTGGATCAGGCAGCAACGTCACTCCAAGTCGAGAATCTCAACAACCGGGTAGACGGCGAGGCTGACAAGTTACGCGTCTTCCACGTTGAAGGCGGCCGACTGCTCGATTTTGGAGAGAAGCTGGGTGCAGCCGTCAAGACGGGGAACACTCTGGTCTTGCTCAGAGGCGTTGGTCCACCCGTCCCGGATCTCATCGTTCTTGATCCGTAGATGCTGCCGGCGTGGCTGTGTTTCAGCTGTGTCGTCAGTCTTGTTTGTTTCAATTTTCGTGATACCCCATCTGCGTCTAGTAATCTGAAGTTATATCTCACGACTATCATCATCTTTGCATATCTCTTCTTTCCATCACTATTTTGAGGACTCCTTCTCTCATGCCAAAGAGCTTGCAATACGAGTCCCATGCCCTCAGCTACGGATTGGAGCTCATTTGCTCAAGGGGTCATATCTATCCGTTCCTGTTGACATCAGAATCTCTGCAATCTTAGTATGCGGTTCGCCCGTTGTTTACCATCCGTCGTCATTCGGATTGTCTGCGTGTCAACTTGTCGCATCACAATATCAACTTTGGACAACTAAAGCTTCACGACTCTCGGCTTGGAAAGAAGGTAATCGGATCCTCCGAGGGATTTTCCAACCATGACACGAGATGGATCAATAAATGCATCCACCAAACACGGCTGGATGCCCGAAAGAAGAAGAACGTGTGGGGCACGATCGTCCGTGCACTTCGTATAAGAGTCCTTCGACCGCTTGTCAGGCCGTTCTCCCCTTGTCAACGGTCGTATAACCACCGAAATAACATGCAAAGGTGTAGATAATATGAGGTCGGTGCCCTGGCCGCCTCGTAGTTAGGTCTTCGATTCTGTCTTTCTTTCTTTTCGATACCACACGTTCTCTACCTGCTACTCTACTGTAGCGTCCAGTCATTTTTTCACGCTCTTTATCCAGCTCAGCCACCACAACCACACGCAAGAGTTCAATGATCCTTCTGAGACACCGTTGAAGCTGTTCTATCATTGTCGATCTTCACTTACCTGCGAACCCGACAACATAGATGACAAAGATTCTGGTTATCTGGAGTTTTTGAAGTTCTTGTATTCTGTCTACACGATTGTAATTCATACAGAGCATACCGCACATCATGCGTCCGACGCAACTACTATCACTGGGCCTATCAGTCGCCTCGCTCGTACTACCCAGTCAAGCCATTGAGCTCGACATCAGCGATGAAGGTACGCGAAGCTCCACACCAAACAGCAGTGCTTTCTCAGTATACTAACACAACTCTTCACCCGCAGCATCCATCAAATCCGCCGCCTCGACCGTCGCTTACGGCATGATGAAATACTACCACGGCAACGAAACAGGCCAAACCATCGGTCTCCTCCCTTGGCCCTACTACTGGTGGCACGCGGGTGCCGTCTTCGGTTCATTGGTCGACTACTGGTACTACACAGGCGACAGCACCTACAACAATGTCACCGCGACCGCTCTACTCTTCCAAGCCGGCCCGGACTATGACTACATGCCCGAAAACCAGACAAAAACAGAAGGCAACGACGATCAAGCATTCTGGGGCATGGCCGCCATGTCAGCCGCAGAAGTAGGCTTCCCTAACCCGCCCAAGGGGAAGCCAGGGTGGTTGGCTCTGGCTCAAGCGACATTCAACACTCAAGCCCTACGCTGGGATACAAAGTCCTGCGACGGAGGTCTGCGCTGGCAAATCTTCACCTTCAACAACGGATACAATTACAAAAACTCCATTTCCAACGGTGGATTCTTCAACCTGGGGGCGAGATTGGCAATGTATACCGGCAACACCACCTATGTCGATTGGGCCGTCAAAGCATGGGATTGGATGCAAGAAGTCGGACTCATGACGGATGACTATTACATCTACGATGGCACTGATACCAGCAACTGCACGGATGTGTCAAAGATCCAATGGACGTATAATGCGGGTATTTTCTTACTCGGAGCAGCAACGCTTTGGAACATTACCGGCGAAGACATCTGGAGGGAACGCACGGAAGGGCTTTGGAACGCGACGCATGTGTTTTTCACAGACAACAAGGTCATGTATGAGGTTGCTTGCGAGCCTGGCGGTAACTGCAACGTGGATCAACATACGTAAGTTCCTGTGCCTTCTGCCTTTTGCCTTCTGCCACATCCCAGAAAGCACCGCTTCTCTAACACAACCTTTTGCAGATTCAAAGCCTACCTAGCCCGCTGGATGGCCGCCTCCACAAAAGTCGCCCCTTTCCTCTCTTCGCTGGTCCAACCCTACCTCGCCGCCTCTGCCCTCGCAGCCGCTCAATCCTGCACGGGCGGCACCGACGGCGTCACCTGCGGCACAAACTGGTTTCCCAACTCCACCTCCTCCTCCCCTACAACCGTCACCTGGGACAACACATGGGGAGTAGGACAGCAGTTGTGCGCCTTGGAGGTTATTCAAAGCAATTTGATCACGAAGGTCAGAGGGCCGTTGACGAATACTACTGGAGGTACGAGCGATGGGGACGATGCGGCTGGTGGGTCTGGGACGAAGGATCCGACGGCGATGAAGAAAATTACGCAGGCCGATCGGGCGGGGGCGGTGATTGTGACGATTATCGTGTTGGCGGGTTGGTTGGGGGGCTTGATTTGGTTGATTATTTAGTTGTTTCTTGCGTCTTCTGATGTCTGGGTTTTTTTTGAGATTGTGGTGCGTATAATGACATTTTTCTCACTTCTCCTCTTCACTCGTTTGTGATGTGCCCTGTTGTTCTTCTTCTTCCTGCACTAGTCAAAAATTCGAAAAACACACGAGTACCGCAGTCGAAATCAAGGGCCTTTTGAGATCTAGGTAATCAAAAAAAAGTTCATCAATGAAAAGCCCCCTTGACGCAATGTAAGCATCAAAAGAGCAAGACGAACCTCCTAGCGAAACATATCCATTGACAAGAACTTTTCAATTCTATCCTTTTATTTGCTTTACCGATACTCTCGCTGCTGTTGATGTAAATTCTAGTCTGACTGATGTTTGGCATTGTCGCTAGAGTGTTTGGCCTAGAATATAGTCTTCTCTCATACACACAACGGTTTGAGGAAGGAGTGCTAAAGAATCAAGTTGTTGGATTAGGAATTTTTGATAGATGGACTTTTTGTTCCCTTGTCTTTTTCTTCTTGGTTCTTTTTTTGTGGAATACGTTGTTTTTTGGCTAGAGTATATAGAGTAAAATAAGAATTTCTTTAGCACCACGATCGAGAGGGGTAGGGATGTCTAGACATCAGTCCTTCGAGACATAAGATACCGATAGTCCGAATTGTTTTATAGTAGCTAATATCACAGACTAAGAGCAAGATGTAAGCCTTACTTAAACAAGAACTAATAGTTTTTTCTTTAAGCAAGCAAAAAACGCAGTTTTTAAAGGCCATAGCCATCGTACCTAGGTTTAAAAAAAAAAAAAAAGGGTGTCTTTAAACATCTATACAAACCTCTATATACTTACACTTCGTTGCCCCTTTTCTACACTACTTGAAATCAAGTAAGTATATATCGTTGTTGTCTTTTCTACCATCACTCTTTGAAACCAAACGATTTCAATAACCATTAAGAATAGAAAAGCCATCCTAAAAAACACAATCTGCATACCTAATCCTCTAGGAGAAACCTAGAGAATCAGCATCAGCATCACCGATACAAAAAAACCTTTTATCCGCTTTCGCCCACGAGATACATCAACAACAAGACGTAAGGAACTCCATTTTGATGAAATTTTCAAATGAGGCTGTTGTCTTGAAACCTCAAGATGCAGGCTATAACCAGTCGTTGGCTGATCATTGCCTGCACCATAAGACAAGAGAGAAACATAGGTACACACTCCCACGCTATTTTTTTTTTTTGAATAGCTAAAAATGACCCGTCTGCTAAACAATCAATATCCTCTACATCTTTACGAAAAAGAAAAAGTCAAAAGCAACCGACTTGATTTGGCGCGGATTTGCTGAATCTCGGTTTCTTGGTGTGGCTGGCTCAATATGAAAGCGGTTTCTTTTTGATATCAGAGCCAAATTCATCGAAGAAGAGAGAGATCCTTGAAGATCGTAAGGTTTCTAGGCAGAGATGGCAAAAAAAAGTGGTTTCCATTACACAAAGCAAGGCAATGTGAATTGAACCCAATTGATTATGTACAGAAAACAGACAGGAGAACAACAAAGTACAACGACGAAACGCCAATGGATGAGTTCCTACACAACAAATGCTCACACTCTACTTTCTCTCTCTCCCTTGTCATCATCACGAATCCCAACCCACCCACTCCCTCCCAACAACCCTCCAAACCCTCACCTCTCCACTCCTCAAATCCCCCAATCTGAAACTCTCCATCTTGACTTTATTCTTCTCCCTCCCTTGTTCCCAAGCCCGGACCTTTTTCTTCGTGCCATCCCAATCAACAACCACTGCAACGTGTCCAGCACCCATGCCGATGTCAACAGCGTATGATTTATGCATAGCTCCATGTTTGCCTTGGAGTTTGGCATTGCGCAAGGTGATGATGTCGCCAGGGCGAATTTCGTCGAATTGTTGGACGCTGGCGTTGGCGAGGTTGGCGTAGACGAGGGCGCCGTAGGCGCGACTGCCGACTGGTTTGAGGGCGTCGGTGAAGGGGCTGAGCAGATCGAGGACTAGGGCGTTGGGGCTACCGTTGCCGACAACATGATCCTTCTTCGCAGCCGCCGCCTCAGAGATGCGGGCGCCGTATTTCTGCCATGCGGTTTCCAGCTGGTCTTGACGGAGTCTTGGTGGTGGTGGCTCGTGGCGTTGTTCGAACGAGGCTTCTTGGGGGTTTTGGCCGTCGTAGCGGACGGTAATGACAGTCTGGCTGTAGTCGATAAAGAGGACGTAAATGTCTTTTGTGATTGCCGTTCTACCGCCACGTCTCTGTGTCACGTTTTCCTCGACTTCGAACAGAACATCACTGCGGTTCTGGAAAGATGGGGGCGGAGTGTTGGGTTGTGCCCACCAAAGAGTGCTTTCAGCTAGATCAACGTCTGTGGCAATGTGGCCGTCTTGGGGAGGTCTGGTAACATCCATACTACGACGCATGTTCATAGAAGGACGTCCGACATCGAGAGACTGTCGAGATTGATGTGTCGCCGAACGAGCAGGCGGCGGTGGCTGAGAGGGAGGCAAAGGTGCAGCACGGTCCTGGTCGACAGGTGGTGGCGGAGGCGGGCGATCCATTGACGGACGAGGGGGTGAGGCGCCGTACATGTCATCGGAGCTTTCATCCGCATATTCATGCTGGACAGGAACAGGAGCTGGTGCGCTAGGTGGAGGTGGAGGCACAGCACGGATTGGAAGAGTGCGAGGAGGTTCCTGGTAGTCGTCTTCCCCATCCTCGTACTGTTCATACTGTGTAGGCGGGTGGACGGGAACAGGCGGAGGAGCAATGCGAGGAGCATCGATCGAGGTTCTTGCTGGCGGAGGTTGAGATGGTGGAGGGGGAGGGACAGCACGAGGAGCAGGGGCCGGGATCGGGACGTCTACCTCGTCGTGACTTGTGTGCGACTTGAGGGCATCCTTGTGGTTGACGCTCGAGGCAATGTCTGTGTCGTAGTCACCTTCGTACTCGCTCTCGCCTTGGTCAGGCTCGCCAAGAGGAGCGCTGGGAATGATGGGAGGTAGTTGAGGAGCACCGGTGGGTGGCGGCGGAGGAGGGGCACGAGCCTGAGGAGGTGTTGACAAAGTGCCAGGAATGGGAGGAATACGACTTTGTCTTCTTTCGGATGCAGGAGTGGCAGGAGAAGTGGGCGACATGGCGTCTAGGCTGCCAAAGGTCGAAGCCCGCTTTGTCGAGCCCATTGACGGCGAGCGGTTGGCCTCTGGTCGGGGAACGGGTGGAGGGACGCCTCGAGACAGGTCTGTTGACTGTCTGGTGGGAGCCAAAGAACGCTCGTCATCAGACTCTTCACCTTCGCTGGGGTCCATCTGCGTGTTCACTGGTGGAGGCGGGGGAGGAACGGCACGGCCTGGGAAGATGTCAGACAAGTCAGGGTTGACAATCACGTTGATACTCACTCTCGGGTGCTGGTGGGGCAGGCACAGGACGAGCGCTGGGTGCTGGTGGAGGAGGAGCACGCTCGCTTGTTGGCGATGCTAGAGGACGCTCTGTTCAACAGTCAGCTTATTTTCTTCGACCTTGAATACCCAGTTCGGCTTACCTTGAGGTACTGGGGGAACGCGGTGTACGGGCTCAATGTGTGGTGGTGGCTGAGGCTTGACATCTTCGATATCTGGTACGTCCAGAGGCGCTCTCTCGCCTGTGACTGACGTGTCATGTTCAGCCTCCTTCTCAACGGCAAGCTGTCTGTCTTCGACTTCAGGGCTGCGCACTGTCTGCATGCCAGGCATGGGCATGACAGGAACGCGAGGTGCTTGAGCAGCAACTGAAGCTGCCTCGTCGTGCTCGGGCTTGGTCTCCTTGCTCTTCTTGGTCTTTGGGGGAGCAGGAGCCATCATGCCAGGCATGCCAGCAGGAGCTCCAAACATGCCCGCCATGCCCATTCCACCACTCATCTTGGCCATGCGCGCTCTCAGCTCCATGCGGCGCCGTGTCTCTTCATCCATCTCGTCCTCTTCGCTCTCATCATCCTCGGCTGTGTCCTGTTGATCACCAACGTCCGCTTCGTGGACGGGAGCTGCTGGTGCTCGCTGAGATTGCATGGATTTTCTGGCGGGTTGGGTCGAGTCGCTGTCTACCTCGTTCTCTTCTGTGACTTCTCCAGCTCCAGACATGTCGGCATCGTTTGCGTCGCTGTATGCTTCATGGCCGACAACAGGAACTGCCGATTCGCGAGGGATACCGGGAGCAGAAGCTCCGCGGGTTCGTTCACGCTCAAGAGGCTGGTCGAGTGATTGGCGCACTTGGCGTTCGTGCTGTTCGGCTTCCACTTCGTCTTCGTCCTCTTCAGCAGCCGCGACGGGTGCTTGAGGAACGGGCGGAGGTACAACAGATGCTGTTGACTCGTCTGTGTTCTTCTTGACGGGCTTTTTTGGCTTGGGCTTCTCGCTGACATCTGCCTTTCTTGCTGCTTGCTCCATCTGCTGTTTCTGCAGCATGGCAATTCTCTCCTTCAGACTCTGAGGCTTGGGCTGGTCCTCTTCTTCGTCACCAGTAGGCGACTGCGGATGTTCCGAGGGCAAGAGACCGGCCTTTGCGGCATTCTCCTCTGCTTGGGCTTGCTCTTTCTGAATGTCGGGATCTTCCTCTCTGCGATAGACCTTTTGAACCGGCTCAGCCTTGGGTGGAGGAATGTATGCATTCTTGCTCGGGGGAGGAGCGACGAATGGCTTCTTGACAAACGTGGGAGCGGCGGGCTTGAAGGGAGCAACGGGAGCAGCTCCTGCATTATTGAAAGCGGCAATGCGATCTCTGAACGAACTGGGCTTGGTGCTCACTGGCGGGGGCTCTTTCTTAAAGGGCTCTGCCTTGACAGGTTCCGACTTGGCGGGTTCTGAGGGAGCTGGCTTGGGAGCAGGTGGAGGAGATTTGATTGTTTCACGAACAGCCGATGGCTCCGCCTGGGGAGGTGGTGATCTGACGGTCTCGGGAGCTGGCGGAGGAGGAGCGGTTTGTCTCACGGGTGGAGGAGGGGACAGGTCGCGAGGTGGAAGCGGGACTGGAGCGGCTTCGGGCTCAATGACCGACTTGGACTGGACAGGCACTGGAGGTGGCTCGGAGAAGCTATCGTCGTCATCTTCCTCGTCTTGCTCATCGGGGAAAGCACCAGGGCCAGGTTCGGGGACAGGAGCTTGCGGTGGTGGAGAGCGGACGTCTTGGGCTGGGCGTCTGGCCGGTCGTGAGGGAACCTCTGGCTCGTAACGCTCGACAAAGTTCTTGGGGAACAAGCCCGAGTGCTTGGCACCTGAAGCGTCGGTGTATTCGCCTTCGTACCAGTCTGCGTCTTCGAGAGCCACGACGGTGATGATCTGGCCCTCGGGGAAGGGGAGGTCGTCTTCGTGGGGGCTTGCGTATTCATAGACGGCCTTGACCTTGAAGGGCGGGGCTGACATGGCGGATACGCTGCCTGTCGCCTGGGTATGGAGCGTGTGGAGGTGGTGAATTGGTATGTCGGTGTGTAGGTGCAAGCAGAAGGGGAGTTGCAGCTGTCGACGGGCACCTCGGACTGTCCAGCGCTCCAGCACCGGCTCGACTGTTTCCGCCCGCAATGCTTCGTCACTGGTCTTGGCGCGAACGAGACTCTCCACGTCTCAGCGAGAACGCTCGCTCCAGTGCCACAGACGGCGCCACAAGCAGCCACACGTGCATCCACCGGGTCTCGCCCTCCGCTTTACTTTTTTACATCACATCGCGACTCACCACCATCTATACCAATCCATCACAAAACATCAGAACTCCACCTGGACAACTCCAAAATGTCAACACCACAGCCTCAACCAAAGTCAATCCTCAAAAAGACCTCTTCACACACCACCACACTCGATGCAGACTCCTCAGACACCCTCACCACCAACCTCAAAATAAAACCAAAATCAGATGCCGAGCGCAAACGCCTAGACACCGCCATCCAACACGCCCATCTCATTCAAGAGCAAAAAGCCATCATCCTCAAAACCCTAAACTCCATCGAAGAACTCTCAGACTATCCCTCTGACTCTACTGCCTCTGCCTCCGAAACTTCTGCTTTCCTATCAGCAATGGTAGATTTCCAGCCATCAGATTACGATGCGCTGATTGAAGAGAGACATGTAAATGGTAGGTGTGGATACACTCTATGTGCCAACGCTCCTAGAAAGCAGGGACCCAAGGCCCCGTGGTTGAAGAATAAAGTCGAGAATTGGTGTTCGGATGATTGTGCGAAGAAAGCTTTGTATCTCAAGGCTCAGCTGTCAGAAACGCCGGCCTGGGAGCGCAGAGCTGGTGATCGTACTCCCTTGGTGTTGTATGCAGGAGCTGGAGCAGTGAAAACGACATCTTCGACACCATTGCCATTGCGACAGAAGCCATCATCAACAGCCAACAACGACCGCGATTTGGCTTACGAAAGAGGCGAAGTCGATAGGGTGGCTGATGCAAAGATGGATAAAGTCATCAGGGCAGAAGTGCGAGAAAACTCCGTCATTTCTTCTGTCATGCCGCCAACAACGACGAGGTTCGCGGACAGTGATGTGCATGATTTGATAGAGGGGTACCAGCCACGCGGCGTGCAACAAGGAAACCGCATCACTATCAAGTCCGCAGGCGGTGATAGCGATGATGAGGATGAAGCATGAAGGGCAGTCAGGTCTCCACATAATAAACACAAGAGATGTATTTTGGCCAAGTCAGGTTGTCGACTGTGTCACCCGGTTCCGAAAAGAATCATTCAAAAGACATCGATCAACCCGCATCAGTTTCATCTCTCTATAGTTTCAGTTCACTCTTAATGGACATCGAAACTTTACGCGAGGTTTGGTGTTGCAATCTGGTACGTGGTTGCGGGTAAAAGGTAAGTTTCTAATCGAACTCTACGAATGGACATCACGACCCAAAGAGATCCAACACTTCACGCGCACTCCAGTTACTCAATTCGCTTCGTAGCCCAAACACACCAAAAACCATATAGTGAAGTATGCGTTATCGTACTCGGAAAGGGAACGTCAAGAGGTATTACCCTAAAGGTCAGAAGAGAAAGGAACGCAATGCGACTAAAGAACAAGAAAAGTGGTATCAAACGCGAAGCGCGCAAAAACATGAAACAACCATCCCGGACCCTTCGCCAACCTCAATCCTCATCAACAACAACTCTCTTGGTCATACTCTCGACAACCTTTGTATAAAACTTGACTGCGTGATTCCTCGGGAAGCAAATTTCTTCGGTGAGATAATCAGGCAATATGTCCATCAGATCGCCATCTCTGTTGGCATCGAGAAGGGGTTCGTATGCGAATTCGGTATCTTCGTAGCTCAAGCCTGAGGGTGTTTTCGGGTTTGTGATGGCGGTATCGGTGGCTATGGTGAGGTGGAAGTGTAGAGCTGGAACTCGTCATCAGTAGAGGCAAACGAGGCAGCAGGAGGGATAAGCACTTACTGCCGTTGCGACCAGTTTGGATGCAGCTGTACTCGTCTTCACCATCCTTGCGTTTCACGCTTGTGATGATCAAACCAGTCAAGTCACGGTACAACTCCTCTTTCAAAGCGTTCTCCTTGACACTCTCGGCACTCGCGCCATGACTCTTTCCGTGTTCAAGCTTCTTGACGGCTGATCCTGGCACTTTATCTGTTGCTGCATTTGTCTTTCTCGCGGCTTCGAGTTTTGCAGTCAAGGCCTTGGACTCATTCTGTGACTCTGTAAGGCTTGTGACGGCGGCTTTGTGCTCTTCTTTGAGTTTCTCGTTCTCTGCCGATAGGACTGCGATTTGGGATTGAAGTTTTGCCGAGTCGGTGATGGTTGCTGAGGAGGTCTTGCGGATTTCGGCGAGTTCTTTCTTGAGCGATGCAATCAGGTCGTTTGCATCTGCGATTGATATAGTCAGCGCATGTTCCTGGTCAGTCATTGGACCATGACTCACCTTTTGCTTTCTGGTCTGTAGCCTTCTTCAAGCGCTCGAAATTTGCCTCTGCAGCCTTTGGACCCAACTCGATAACAGAGTCGTACTTCATGCGCATTTCCTCGTATTTCTTTGTCATGTCTGCCAGTCTACGGTTTGCTTCTGACTCTGCAACTCTTCTTTCTGTATCGCTAGCGCTGTGACCTCGTGAATACGCGCCTGGTTGCCTTGAGGTCGAACGAGCGCGAGAGTAGATGGCACCGGGAGCAGCTTGCCGTTGTATCGAAGCCGAGCGTTGTCGCGAACGGGCCTTTGGTGGAGGAGGTGGAGGTGAGGGCTCTCTGTCAATGTCCATAAGATCGGCTGGAGGCTCTTGTTCCACAATAGTTTGGTCGATCTCGGTAGGTTCTGGTTGTGTCTCTGGGATGACTGGCGCAGGCTCAGGAGAAGGAGCGCGCTTGGTCTTGGTCTTTGGTTTTGCGACAGGCTTCTCTTTATCAGGTTGGGCTTCTGTTGCTTTGACTTTGGTAGACTTGGTCGCTTTCTTCGCAGGTACAGGTGCAGGCTCAGCCTCTGGTTCAGGCACAGGCTCGGGCTCAGGTGCGGGCGCGAGATTCTTTGCGACAAGGTCCTTCTTCAAGACTCGCTTCCTCTGCTTGGGCTTCGGTGTGGGCTCCATGGCGGGTTCGTTCTCATCGACGTCACTAGCTTCCGGTGGGTCGACGGGCTCTTTGGCGACTTTGGTCTTGGTGGTTGTCTTTTTGGTCGCAGCGGCAGTGGCCTTCTTGACTGGTTTCTTGACAACAGTGCGGTTGATTTTGGGGTGAACAGGTCGCGAGTTTTCGTGGTCGGAAGCGCCGATCTCGTCCTCAGAGGCAGAAGCAGGCGGCTTGGTTGCGACAGATTTGGAAGGCATGACGGGCGATGCGACGGGTCGATGCAAGGTGAAGCGATTGTTTTGTTTACCGCAGGCACGACCCCGAGCACGAGCACGCGCCCGCCCCCGCGCAACTGCCACAAGAGCCCAAGGACTGTTCAACTCACAGCACCAACTCACCGAGTCCACCAACCAACCACGATTCGCTCTATAAACCAGCTTTTATCTTTTCATCAAGCCAAGCTCCTGATTGGATACCCACACAGTATATTCTCACGTATACTTGACCCTGTGCTATTGGCAAACGAGAAGAACGACGATCGAGCTCACCAAATCACATGACCCAAGATCTTGGCATTTGCGGCGATCGGGGGAGACTCATGATTTCTGGATAGAGAGTCGGTCGAATTGTCTGGCGGGCGATTGTCATTGTTGCAGTCATGTCAAAGGCCATCAACTCGCCCACGGGCAGGCTCCTGCGCAATTCGCGTCTGTTCTCTCTGCCGCCACCTCTGCCTGCCGCCCCGATTGCCAACTCGACGGCTGGACAGATTCTGCGCACCTCGGACACGGCCACACAACCCTATCCCACCCACCAGGCCATCTCAGCTCCCGCCTCGTCACGACACCGTGGAGACTGGGGTCTCAAGCGTCCTCTACCCGACAGAGCCATCCCCAAGAACACTCCCCACATCCGAATCAAGGCCATCGACACACTCGAGCACATCACCGACTTTGAGTCGGCCGCCAATCACACCCAGTCGCTCGCAAAATGGCAGGACATGAACATCCCTCTTTCTCTTCCGCCCAACGCTCGCACCTCAATCGTTGCCACAAACTACAAGACTCGCCCGAATGCTTTCATCCAAGACTATGACAACACCACTCTGCAACCCCACGGCAGCGAAGAGACGACTTTCACGGCAGAGCGTGCTCTTCGTGAGAGGAGTCGCGGAGATGCCGTTCAGGCACGATGGAAGACCCAAGGTCCCCACCTCACCAGCATGACCGAGGAGGAGTTTGACCGCTATCTCATGAACCTCGTCCGCCAGCACAAGTCCGAATTCCGCAAGTTCCTCGAGGCTGTCAAGATGGACAAGAAGCGCAAGCACCAGGAAGCCTTGATGCGCGATCACGCAGATCCCAACACCTTTGAACTCGAGCTGCAACTCAGGAGTCGCATGGACAAGGGCGAGCTGGACCAATGGATCAAAGAGCTGCGTGACGACCACCACGATTTGAGTTCGGAGCTTTCTACTCTGGTCCGCGAATTCTTCGATCTGCCCGCCTTCCCCCCTGCTGCCAGACAGTCCAGCGCTCTTGGTCTTGCCAATGAGATTTCTGTCGGAACAAAGACGGATGCTGGACCTCCATCAACTCATCCCTCGGCTGGTCTTTCTTACCTGCTTACCAATGCCATCGTCAACAACCACCCCAAATATGGTCCTCAGAGCGACCGTGAGCCTGTCGAGGCTCGTGTACTACGGACAAGTGAGGGTAACCGCAGCAGAGACACCAAGGCAAATGTTGGTCTCGGTGGCTTCGTCACTTCTATTCAGCCTGGCACACAACCCGGCCAAAGCCGTTTCAAGGACACTGCCAGAGCACCGAAGGAAGCTGCCCCTCTACACCGTCTGGACCTGTCGCTCACTGGTGGCAACAAGGTCTGGCTGCAGCCCAGATCTGCATATGTCGATGAGGAAGGCCGCATTAGAATCGATGTTGGTGAGGCAAGCCCGCAGCAGGTGGACATCAAGATGGGCAAGGAGATCAAGGAGGAGCAACCGATGTACTCGGCAATTCCTGGCAGACAGGACCAGCCTCTTGACAACTTCAGACCGGCGAGATATGGCACTGCTTTGCCAGACGAGAGATTGCGTCAAACTCGTCCCAAGCCTTTTGAGCGTAACGAGACCGATTACAAGTCTGGTCTGGCGCAGATTGAGGCTTTGGCCAAGGGCAGGCAGCAGCAGTGAGGAGGTGGGTGAGATGATGAGACTGTATAGATATGTACAAATACTGAAAATGTTTCAACTTCCTCTTGATCTTGTATTTGATCAGACTGCGAGAACATTATGTTTGCCTAAGATTCACTGAATGCAATTCTCCAAGTGATTGCCAGTTGCATGAGGTTGGAGAGAGGAAAGGAACGATGCGGCCCGTGCACTCACTCTGTCAACGCCAAGAGAATAGCCGAACAGCACAACTCTCGATCGTAAATCCACCAGTCTCTTTCTTTCTCTGAAGTGCGCCGCGAACAGCTTTTACATCTTCGACAACCTCCTCTTCCGCCAACACACATACCGCAAAAATGGGTCGCGTTCGTACCAAGACTGTCAAGAAGTCCGCCAAGGTCATCATTGAGCGTTACTACCCCAAGTTGACTCTCGACTTCGAGACCAACAAGCGCATCTGCGATGAGATTGCCATCATTGCCTCCAAGCGCCTGCGCAACAAGGTGAGAAGACCTCCTACTCTGCCCCCAAGAAAGAGCGCAAAGTTCTGATTAGACCCTAGATCGCCGGTTACACCACTCACTTGATGAAGCGTATCCAGCGTGGTCCCGTCCGCGGTATCTCGTTCAAGCTCCAGGAAGAGGAGCGCGAGCGCAAGGACCAGTACGTCCCCGAGGTCTCTGCCCTCGACTTCACCCAGAACTCCGAGTCTGGCATGCTCGACGTCGACCAGGACACCAAGGACCTCCTCAAGTCCCTCGGCGTACGTTTTCTTCTCTCTCAAGTCATCCTCACTTCTTCTAACACCCACAGTTCGACGCCATCAACGTCAACGTCGTCCCCGTTGCCCAGCAGCAGGTCGTCGAGCGCCCCCGCCGCTTCGGCGCTGGCCTCCCCCGCAACTAAGCGTTCACTCGCTGTCCTTTGCGGCCTCGGAAAAGTTCTTGACTCAATCGGCGGGAGTTCCACATGGCGCATTAGTCTTGCTAGGTTCGGATTTTCTTCAATACAAAATCTGCTCCCCCTCTGCACAACCAGGTGTCGCTGATTCTCTTGCAAAAGAGATGATGCTTGACTGCCATTCATTCACATTCTTCTTTTTTTGGTCACGATCACACGGCGGAAGAGTTCACGGGTAGTGCTGAGACTCTTTTGCTGATGGTTTCCGTGGCTGGCTGGTGCCGAGACTTGCAAGAGAAGAACCCTTCTTGCTTGTCTTTAGCCCAGTCAACGTGACTGTTCCTCATGTGTGTATGTATGCTGTTCTGTTGTCCGTGGTTTTCATCGCTCTGTTCTTGAAATGTACCTCCATGCTCTGCCTGTATGACCACCAGGCGTACAGTGTACACAGGATACCAACATCCTGTGGTTACCACGCTGGCTGACACCATACATTGATGGTCACTCGGTCCATGTCGCATATTCCGCAACGACTCGTTGATTTATCGTTCATAAGAGACATATTGCGGTAGACGTGCCCTGCGGCGAGGTAGGTTCTCCTGAGCACCCCAGGGTGTCGGACTTTTGTGTCCTATTGTTCAAGGAACAGCTCGCAAGAAACCTCAAGACACGTTTCCAGATATATCAAGGCGGTCAAGTCGAACGTTGCTTTGAGGAGTCATGGTCAGTCGTACTTGTCACGTATCGGATACCCATAAATATATCTCTTGCTCTGTTGCAACCCAATCGCATTCTCTCTTTTCATTCTTTCGCTCATTGTGTGGGAACTCTGTTCCCAGATTTGACAAGGATATTCACTATGATGCTACGAAAGGGAGCATAGCGTCTCAAACATGGATCGATGAACCACTCTTTCGCTTATACTAAAGACTTCCTTGCGCGTCCATTGCATGCACCTCATTGCCAATATTGCACGCCATCTCATGTCTGAAAACGATAGCTTTGTTGTCTGTGTTTTGCGCCTCTTCCCGTAAGCATTGTGGGCAATAAGAATGGTGGAGAGCACCATCAAGAACGGTCGAGTACAAACGCCTGACCGAGGGAAACCACAAGTGTCTTGAGAGCTCAAGTTGCGATCTTTCCAGGCTTGATCACCCAAGGAGTTTCCGTCCTGCATTCCTACACCAAAAACACTTCTGAAACCCACCAGCATGAGAAGTCACAGGTTACAGTAAACCACTGCACAAAGTCGCTAATGCCTCGCTACCATTGCCGAGTCTGAGCTCTCGTCTCGAGCTATGCTCTGAGTAGCTACAAAGATCAGCTACAAAGCCCATCGGTAACAGAGATTGCAGTGGAAGAGAGATGCGGTCACTAACCTCGTTCCGATCTTCTTACCGCTCCCACCAAGCCACGCTGGGACCCAAGCTCATGAAAGACATCTGACGGCAGAAAGGCAAGCGCAACTTCGGAGACTGGAGCTCTGAGCATCTCACCAGTACTCGAGATACAAATGCATCTCTCGACGATGAGTGATTGATACCACAAAACCTCGCTTCGCCGTAAGAGTCTAGCATTAGAAACTGGGTACTGAGGCCGACAGCGCTCATGTCAAACTTCACTTTCCCATGGCATGTGTGCGTCGGCTTGAGAGAAGACGATCACTTGAAAACTAGTGATGCCATATCTCCAGCAACCCGAGAGCTTTTGAATAACTGCACAAAGAGCACTCAGAAACGTTCACCAGCATAAGAAACCACAGACGAGAAGAGATTTGACACTAACCCAGTCACGAGCTTCTTGTCGCTTCTGCCGAGCTGTGATCCACTCGTCAAGGCAGGAGCTCTGCCAAGGGGCATAGCAGGCGAAGGAAACAACTGCATGGGGCCGTCTTCCGGAGGTGATGTCGCGGGCACACCTGGAGTCGACTGCGTTGATGTGACTCGACACATGTAAAGTTGAGAGTCATAAAGTGACGATGACAGATCCATTTGAGTGCGTAGTAGTGAGAAAGCGAGCGAAACTCCTAGGGCTGGGGCTCTGACTAGATTGCTTCTCGTGATGCATCTAAGACACCTTGTTTCCACTTGCCTCATTGTCATTGTACTTCTCAAGCAAGTCTCTTGTTTGTACTCTTGTTCTTTGTGTTGGTGATTGTGGGAAGACTCCAATTTTGCTGAGACTCAAAAGACCGAATCTTACTTTCGAGATGAGAGACATTCTCGGCATTTCTCGTGCAACTTGCTTTTAGTGCGATGTCCACCATCTCAAGGACTGTGAGGACTTTCACAAAGGCTTTGAGCCAGAAGGTCATGTCCATAGAGAGCGCCGCCTAAGAGTGTTTCTTCCTCACGTTTGGCATCAAATATCGTGCATCGACATAGCTTACAGTAACATCGCAGCATCGTGAGAGAGTAACAGTCCCGTGTGCCGAAACTTCGAGTGCCAGAACCTTGCACTCTATCAAAAAAGAGAAACATGGCCAGACTTCGAGAAGAAATGGTTGTTCAAGCGACCAGTGATACGGACCATGGTGAGAATCCAACATAGAAGTCCGGTAACGAGTCCCAAGAGCGCAGTATGCTGAGCGCTAGCAACAGTGGCATAGTAGACAGGTGCGTCGGCTAGAGAGCTGACGAGAACCTGGAGATGAACGGCGGCCTGGCGATAAAGACGCCTAAGAGAGAGTAGAGTAAGAGAGTAGCATGATAAAAGCCTTGGAATCCTGTGCATTGAGTGGCTGCACCAAGAACACTGACGAAGTTCATCGGCAACAGAAATGCCAGAGAATCAACGATTGGTCGTTGACCTGGTTGAGAGCTCCTTGCCGCTCTTGTAAGCAGCGTTCGCGACGACAACACACCATCCAATGTCCTGACGCTGGCAACGTGTTGCTGCTCCCTGATTTCCGAGATGTCTCGGCTCGGCAACAACGCGAAATGGTACTCGACGAGCCTCTTGTGGTAATGTCCGAAGACCCAAACTCGACAAAGATTTATGGGAAAAGAGTAGTGTGAGAACCGAAGAAGACGAGTGAAGACTGGAGTGTGCGTAGTCGTGCAAGTGAAGAGCGCCAAGACAAAACATGAGTGTTGCAAAGACAAAAGGATATTTCCACAGTGAAAGTATTGCGGACGCGTGTACTCACATACACTTTTCTCGCAATCTTTTCACCATTCCATTTTGCAAAAATCTTTGTGCAGCATCAACCCACCATGTCTGACCAACCCCCCAAACAAGACGTCACCAAAGGCAAGACTCGTGGCCCTGCCTATCCTCTGATCAACCCCAATGCAAACCTCGAAGCTCAATTCAAGAGAACCTACCACGAAATGCTCGATCTCACTGACCAGAGCAGAAGGAAGCCTAGAAGGTCGCCTACATCCTCCTGTCGCACGGTAACTTGCCAGTTCTCCACCGCGCTTTCGCCCACATGGTTGGTGTCTGCACTTGTACAGATTGCGCAGCACGAAGCTAATCGTGAAATAGGTCCTCGCACAAGGCCACGAAGATTGCCTGCTTCATGCCGAGAAAGCCGTCGAGATCGCTGAATGGGGCTTGAACGAGTATGGCAACGACAAAGGTGTGGGGTCCGAGCTACTCGCTTTCACTCAGCGTATCCTCGGAGAGGTACAGGCTCGCCCTGTCCAAGAAGAGGAGGAGACCCACGAGATTGAGGCACACGAACAGGAGGGATCTGCCGCCGGCGAGTCTGCTCAGGGACAGGGTCAAGAGAGTGCTGCTCCCTCGGATGCTCCCAGCACACCCACTTCCGACAACATCACTGCTCCCAGCTGCGAGTGCATAGGGAAGGTGTAATCGTAATCAAAGCCTGCAATCCTGGGCTGCTGCAGCGTCTTTCATAATGCTCTCAATCGAGACGCGCGTTGCGCCGTTGTGCTGTACCCTGCCATGTCCCAGGTATCCGTGTATTTGATGTGCTTTTCGGTCTGGATCATAGGGCTTGTAGAATCTAGAGGCGGAGGCATGTGTTGAACCAGGCCACAAATCCGTGAAGTCGCCAGTCGGGCGCAAATCTGATGTTGATAGAGCACGCCGGGGTCGCAACGATACTCCCAACCCACTCTACATCGTGTTAGCTAGTCGGTGTGGTTCATCGTAGCCTTGAAACGGAAATCCAAATCTTATCGTTCTTGAGCGCCATGCCCTATCACATTGAGAATAACATGACTTGACGTTGCAGGTGGAGGGCATGTCGTTGGAAGAAGTGCGAAAGGCTTGCGAAGCTGCTGGTCGTTAGCATGTGATTGACGTTCGGGAGTAGGAAGCTACCTCATCGTTTTTTGAACACATCCTTAAAGACCGCGGCGCCGACAACAACAACCATCGAAGAGACCCAAGATATTGCTCCAGCTTCCAACCATTTTTCGCCGATCGGACGGAAACTGGTGTTGGCGTTTGTTTCCAGGCACTAGATATGATCTCACGAAGCCTCTGAGCGCAACGTGACACGACAATCTGCGCTCTTTGTACTCACGTACCTGGTCTCCAACCATGCCGTCCCTAACAACTACGTCCCTGGACAATGCCTACCGTGCCCTTCTCAAGCGAGGCCGCTTGTCGCAAAATCCCTCCCAAGCGTCCCTGATCAACCGTCTCTCCACCATTCAAACCGGCCTGGACTCCGACACCGCGAAAACACCCACAGGCCTCTACATCCACGGCTCGGTCGGAACAGGAAAATCCTATCTGGCATCGTTGTTCACGTCGACTCTTCCCTCACACATCTCCCGTCGGCGAGCGCATTTCCATGAGTTCATGTTGGACGTGCATTCCCGCCTGCATCTCGCTCGCTCTGCCGCACCGAAATATGGCAGTGTAGACCCTCTGCCGGTCATTGGACGACAAATCCATGCAGAGAGCAGAGTCTTGTGCTTCGATGAGTTCCAGGTTACGGATATTGCTGATGCGATGATTTTGCAACGGCTGATGGGTGCATTTTGGGCGGCTGGAGGTGTCATGGTTGCCACAAGTAATAGAGAGCCAGAGAAGTTGTACGAGGATGGGCTGAACAGGGAGTTGTTTCTGCCATTTATCGCCATGTTGAAATACAGATGCGAGACTTGGGTGCTGGGAGGAGAGCAAGATTATAGATTGGCGGATGAGGAGGGTGCGGAGAGGAGAACGGTCTTCTTCACTGACCATGCGGAGTTCCAGAGGAGTCTTGATACCGCGACCAAAGGACAGGAGCTGATACCTTACGAGATTCCGGTCATGATGGGTAGAAAACTGCAAGTCATGGCCGTCCAATCAGGAGATGCTGAAGGCAGTCTTCTCGTCTCATCAACATTCGAACAACTTTGCGAGGCCAAACTCGGCGCTGCAGATTATCACGCTCTCTGCCGACGAGCAAACACCATTTACCTGTCAGGTCTCCGCCGCTTCCGCCTCTCAGAACTGGATTTCGTTCGCCGCTTCATCACACTCATCGACTTGGCGTACGAGTCCGGCACCCGCGTCATCATCTCCTCTTCCTCAACCATCAACGAAACCTTTGCCGAAATTGTCGAAAACGAACGACAGAGATTGATGAAGAAGCAGGGAGGATTGAAAATGAGTGTCAAGAAAGGAGGAGGCGCATCGTCTTCCATGATGAGCACGTTCGTGAGTGGAGATACCGAGTGGTCAGCGACTGGGTTGGCGGAGGCGAGTTTGGCAACCGGAGGTGCGGGCGAGACCGATGTAGGGTTTGCTATTGGGAGGGCCGTGTCAAGGTTGCACGAGATGGGGTCGGCGAAGTATGGATTGATGGATTGAGAGGGTCGACGCAAGGCATTGACAGAGACTCGTTCGACGGCAGGAATGACGAATAGCTTGATCGCAACCCCGCGGCCCACGGCCATTTTCTTTCTTATTACCTCAGCCGCTGCGGAAGGCGCACTGTTAGATGCGGCGATGGTGGTAGTGTTGGTTCCTTCTAAAGCTTCCACGTGCGCCGACTGATGCAGCGCACGGAAGGCACGCGTTTCTGGCACCACGCCAAAAACACGGCATCAATTGTCACAGTGCCCTCGAAGCCTCTGTATCAGGGTTCATCAGATAGAAGACAGCAGTCTGGTCTCCATGAAACGCATTATCGGAATCATCATCGATTCATTGTACATGATTCATCTCACCCGTCACCAACCCCCTACTGACTCTTTCACCGCAGACTTCCCCCCTCTTCGTGGCTGCCTTGTCTGCCCCACACAATGCGATTATGTATCGTGGTACCGACCCTCAGACCTTCTCCACAATTTCCACTCTCGAAACTTGCACACCCTTCTCTCCCATCACCCCCTCATCATCGACCTTGCTCTGCTCATTCGCAACAGCAGCGACATCCAGAGTCCTATCTTCACCGTCGAAGAATTTGGCTATCTCTTCAAGTGGAGTATACCTGGTTTCGACCAGGAAGAAGTAGATGACGCCAACTTCGAAGGCAAGGAATACACAGTAGCAGATGTAGTATTTCCACTTGAGGGCTTCGAGGGCAATGGCGTTGATGTATTGGTCTAAGACGCCGTTAGCACCACAATCTTCAGCGATACAAACACAGAATACGTACTGAAGAAGAGCGAAAGTGTCACACAGAAGTTGAGCCTGAAAGCAAGGGCACAGTCAGCATGTTTCCCATATGAAGGTGAGAAAGGTGCAGACGACAGTTGAAGGGCCATCTGATGGCCCTTGACTGTACCATCTGTACCCTCGCCCTACGTACCATGTGAAGCCTTTGGCTCGAAGACCGTAGGGCATGATTTCAGTTGTGTAGGTCGCCATTAGACCGTTCCTATGCGACTATTAGCATTCTATCGCTTGACAAAACCGAGCGAGACCACGTACTTGAAGTCGTAGAAGAATCCATAGACGAACAGCATGGCAACGAAAGCGGCACCAATACTGCTGTGAGGGGTCGCAGCATAGCGAGCAGCGAGAATGGTAGCAATGTTGAAGACTACGAATGTACCAATAGTCTTGAGGGCACAATCAGTATGCTGATTGTATATGGGCCATGGTATATGCCACTTACCGAGATGAGGTACATAGGGCGACGTCCCATCTTGTCGGCGAAGAAGGACATACCCATGTTTGTTACCAGTGAGAATGACTTCATTCCTCCGTTGATGCCGAGTTGAGTGCTAGAGTTGGTGATACCAATCTCCTTCATGATCTGGAAGGTGTTAGAGAGAGTTCGCAGGATATTGGCGATGGATACACTCACGGTGGTCAAGTAGTAAGAGATGATACCGTTTCCAGACCTGTTGCCATTAGCGAGCTTCCGATGATGAGGTAATATGGAACTCAGGACTTACCACTGAGAGAAGAAACCGATGGCAGTGATAATACCCATTCTCTTTCGGTTTCCCGGAGTCTTGAACAAGTCGAGCCAGCCAGTACGATTCGCTTCTTGGTCCATCTTGAGAGCAGCAACGATCTCATTGTACTCCAGTTGGACAAGTTTGTCGTCACGGTCGCCAGTCAAGGAGTGGTACTTGGCAATGATATCGAGTGCTTCCTCGGAGCGGTCTTGGCTGATCAACCAACGAGGACTCTCTGGGGTAAAGAAGATGGCGATAGAGATGATGATCGAGAAGGTGCATTGGAGCAGAGATGGTAGGCGCCATGACCAGTTGGAAGGGATCTTCAGTGTGGCAAATGTTACCCAAGAGGCGATAAAGGCCCCAGAATGGTATGAGGCACCTGACAGAGTAACCAGGACAGCTCGATCTTGAGGAGGAGCAAGCTCTGTGATGAGAAGAGGAGCAGATCCAAGCACAATGCAGTCTCCAAACCCGATAAGGAGTCTGGCGGCCACGAACATGCCGAAATTGGCCGCTCCCGTCTGTAGACCAACACCAAGGATCATTATGCATGATCCAACCAAGACACCGGATCGACGGCCAAACATATCGATGATGTAAGGCACAAAGAAGAGTCCAATAAGGGAGCCAAGACTCATAGAGGCGTTGAAAAGTCCCAAAATCGACCCCTTTGGGTGGTTGAAGTATTCTTGCCAGTATGTCAGTCCCTGGAGACCGTTCATCATGCTTCCATCGAATCCGTTGGCCGTATTAGTCTATTTTTGAGGGTTAGAGAGGGTCTGGGAATGTTATGGGATGTTTGGGGGGTGTTGGGGGATCATGGGGGAAGTTTTGGTACCATAATCATGACCACCAACAGGAAGTAAAGCTTTCTCATAGGACCTGAAGTCCACCATTTGACACGTGCAATAGTATGTCCAGCAAAGAAGAAGTGTCCCTTTGGAGGCTTGACTGGCACGGCCAGTTTCTGTGGCTTGGGAAAACGAGGCATGGTTGGGAAAACGATATACCACAGTCGATGGGTGTTGAAGACATCGAAGTAGAGACACAGAGGCCTGATATAGATCTTCAATCGCCTTACAATCAACAGGCTAAAGGAATACCGGGCTTATACGTCGAGGATCCTGGTGGTCTACAACCTGAGTTCGAAGACCAAGCAACTCGGCCGAGTTCATGTTTCCTCTTGCCTCCGCACTCCGCATACCATTCTCTAGGGATATCGTATGTTGTATGAAGTGCAAACTTGGCGAATATCATAGGCTAAACATCAACCAGGATCGCATCGGATTGCCTTGGGTTTTGATGGCGAAAAGGATCGCGGTCGTAGTCGCCGTTGTGGTGGTGCCAAGTGGGCTGAGTGTTCTTGGTATAAACTCCATGGCTTGGATTGAGTGGCCCCTCACGAGATCGTATGGCGGTAAAGGTCTTAGCCTTGGAGATGTCACTTCACAGCAAGGAATTGCCCAAGCTATTGCACTCTGGTTCGCAGTTCAAACAGAGTGCCGTTCACAGTGCAATGCAGCCTCGAGTCTAGATGCTTGACTGATATAGAGACCGTGAGTCAGACGTCTGGAGTGGCTGAAGGATGCTCGTGTTCAGCGGTCGATCACATGTCGTTGTGAAAGGAGTCGCTGGCCGGAAATGCGGGGGCGGGCCACCCTTTGCGGAGCAAACATGCGGAGATGAACCACGCGGGGATGCCTTCCCCGCGAGTCACGACCACATCTTCGGCATTCAGTCCCTGTTCAGTGCGAGTCGCAGCTGACCCTGACTATCGACCGTTCCAGCTTCCAAGCTGCCTCTTCTGTTGCGCTCATGTATCTTCAAGCCTAAATCCCGGCAGCCGGACCGTCTCGGCCAAGGCTGGCTAAAGTCGAGTTGTCGCTAGGCTGTGCCACGAACGTGGGGCATCGCGAGACCTTCGACTTTTACCCGGCCAGCCACATACCATACCCGACGTAAGTAAGCTTTGCTCCCACCGGACTGACGACCAGGAGGTACACTTGTTCATCGTGTCTGTCTCTCGAGATCTCAGATTGTCCCTTTGCCCGAAACCATGGCGTCCACAATCATCAATCCGATCATTCCAGGATTCAGTCCCGATCCTTCAGTGATTCTGATTGGTGATACATTCTTCTTGGTCAACTCGACCTTCCATCTGTTCCCTGGTCTTCCTATCTATGCTTCAAAAGACCTCGTCAACTGGACTCTGATCGGTGAGTTGCACTTTGAGATCCCTTGCCGAACACAAGCTGACCACTCTCAGGAAATGCAATCAACCGCCAATCCCAGCTCTCATTACGTCTTTCCAATACCAAACTCGAACCTCAAGAAGATGGCACAGTCATGCTTGCCACAGGCGGTCTGTTCGCACCAACCATCAGACACGACCCGAAGACAGGAAAATCATACATCATCAACACAAACATCCTACATCCAGAGGACGGCGGCAACGACATACCCGAGAACTTCATTGTTGCAACCGACAACATCTGGTCAGACAACTGGTCTGACCCGACATATCTGGAGTTCGATGGCATCGACCCTTCCATCTTCTGGGACGAAGATGGCAAAGCTTATGTTTGTGGCTCGCATGGACCAGGTCCAATGACAACCATCAGTCTCTTCGAGATTGACCTGGCTACAGGCAAGAAGTTGTCAGAAGAAAAGACCGTCTGGAAAGGCACTGGAGGCATCTACCCAGAAGGTCCCCACATCTACAAGAAAGATGGTCTCTACTATCTGCTCATCTCCGAAGGAGGCACTTTCAAAGACCACATGATCACTGTTGCAAGATCTGAGAACATCTGGGGCCCATACGAAGGACACAAGAAGAACCCAATCCTCACTGCAGCAGGTACTGATAATTATGTCCACTGTACTGGCCACTGTGACATGTTCCAAGATAAGGAGGACAACTGGTGGGGCGTCTGTCTCGGTATGCGCATGCGAGATTCGAGATTCCACATGGGTCGTGAATCGTTCCTGGTCGCCGGACGCTGGGAACAAGGCGGATGGCCAGAACTCGATACCGTGGAAGTGACCTCCTCACACAAGTTCAAGACCGACGTGGTCAAAGCAACAAAGACCGGTTTGGACTGGCTCTACATCCGCGACGCCAACCTTAATCACCACAAACTCGATGGCTCAAATATTCGCTTGACTCCAAGTAAAGTAGATATCTCCCAGTGGCAAGAGCCTGTGTCTTTTGTTGGCAAGCGCCAAAGAAAGCTCGAGGGACATGCTTCGGTGAAGTTGACTCTGCCGAAGAGTGGGTCATCTCGTGCGGGACTCGTCATCTACAAGGACGAGCATCGCTACGCACGTATCTACTACGACAGCAGTAGCAACAACATATGCTTCGAGATCGTGAACAATGCAAAGAAGATCAATCGACATGAACAAGAAGAGGTATCCAAGGACGTTTCCGATATCCAGCTACTGATTGATTATACCGAGGAGAATCTTGTCTTACAGTACGAGGAAGAGCAGGGTGTGACAAAGACACTTGGAAACGTCGACACCGCGGAGTTGTCGAATGCAGACTTTGTAGGTCCCATCATCGGCGTCTTTGCTGTGTCCGAGGGAGAGGGAACCGAGATTGTGTTCACAGACTTCAAGCACGAGCAGTAAATACAGAGCCAACATTCTCGAGAGTACGAAGAGACTTTGTGACAGTTCCTCAGAAATCTATATTATCTTGTCGGGTATCCCCACAGAGGTTGATCGATACTCATACTTTCTGCACGAGACGAAGCCCAACTTTTGCAGTACGCGCAGCGAACAGAAGAGATACGCCCAAGATAAAAGACGTCCCGCCCCAGATTTGCGCAGTCAGATAATTGCCATTGTTATGTGTGATCAGCGCACCAGCCAGCGGTGGTCCAGTCAAGCACGCAAAGCTTACTATCGTGAAGCCCATGCCCATACGCACACCTGCTTTCTTCATATCCGACGTCAAGCTTGATAACCCGGCTGGGAACATGGACTGCAAGCCAGCTGAGCCAGAACCGTAGATGGCGGCGAAGACGAACAGCGATGCTTTGGAGTGCACTCCTATCCATGCGTAAATCATGATACCGCAGAGCAGGGAGAACGGCAACATGACGTTGACCGCACCCATGCGATCGGCAAAGTAGTTGGGTAGTAGACGCCAGAGAAAGCCAACAGCGACCATTGTGAGCAGCAACTCGATGGAGTCATGGTAACTCATACCAATGACATTGCGACCATAGCTGCCCACGAAGAAGAAAGCGAAGTACAAGCCCCAGAAATTGAAAAACATGCCTGCGCAATAAAGCACATAAGGCAGCTCTTTGAAACTCGACCACTCGACAATAGGTCCCGCTTTGCGGGGAGGCAGTCGTGTGCGATAGACAATGTTCGTCAAGATATTCGTGAATAGCATGAGGAAGCCGCAGACCCTGATTGTCCAAGGAAATCCAATGCGAGGGAGAAGTTGTTGCACCACGATGGGGAACACCACACCGCCGGTGCAAGAGCCAATGGTCACAAAGCCAATGGCGAATGAGCGCTTCTTGACGAAATAGGTGCTGACCAGCGACATGACCGGGCAGAACTGCAGTCCACCAGCGATGCCGATGCATAATCCCTGCGACAAGAAAAGTTGCCAGTAATTCGTGGCGGCAGACATAGAAAACACGCCCAGCAGCTGAAACACCGTCCCAGCAAAGTACACCGGTCGGAAGAGTCCAGCATCCAGTGCCCTTCCACTGAAAGTCCCCAAGAAGAACAGCAGGAAAATCTGTACACTGCCAATCCACGAGATGGCAGAAGGATCCAAACCCAGCGACGTGCGATAGTATTCCTGGAAGACGCCGTAACTCGTGACCCAGCCCCAGGTGCTGAAGATAGTCAAATGCGCCATGGCGACTTGTGTCCAGGCTTGTAGTCCACCATCGGGAGCTGGCTCAACACTCCGTATTGACACAGCAGGGTCGCGTGAGAATGTGGTCGCTAGCGGTGGAACTTCTCCGGGCACTGGTTCGAAGGTGTGCAATTCCTCTGACTTGTATGATCCTTGCCCTTGCTCATTCTCCAGGTCCTTGAAGCTTGAGATGCTCTCGTGGGCGCGGTTGTTCTTGGGCTCGTAGGACGTCATATTTCGTTCGTTGGCCGGGCGCGTTCGAGGTGATCAATGGTTCGTAGAGGTGGACAACACGATCCCTTCAACACAATCACGTCTAGGAGGTAGATATCGTGGACTCTGCATTGCAGATGGTTGGCTCAGTCCATCGCAAAAAATACCTATCCTCGGGCCTCCTCTTTTTGGATGAATCATTGTACATCTCCGCCCTTCGGGCAACGACCCCGATCGCGTGCGGCGGGAAAATTAGTGATAGGTGGAGTTGCCCGCTGTCCTGGCCATAAGTCGTGGTCACCCGCCTTTGCCGTTCGAGCCGATTGATTATTGATCGTGGTGTCTTGATTATACACGCGTATCTTTGCACTCGCATCTCAGTCTTCTTGTCAGGTCACATTATACGACAGATGAATCACGGACGATACTGTGTATTGAGTGGGTTTGTCACTCAAGCGGTGGCAGCGAAGGGTCGAAGTTCGGAATCAAGCATTGCCCCGATCGGGTCAATCCTTTCGCAGCATGTGCTCATCCATCCATCGATAAAGCAATGGCTTGACACACCGGCGTGACAAGAACCAGGTCGGTGCATAAGCAATAGGGACTGACTTCGTGAAAATCATCTCATGCTGCATTAGGGAACACAAAGTTACGAATTCGCGACAGTACGCGTGCCAAAAACGTCCGCCAGCCCTCTCTGAGTGAGAACGCAACTTCTCATTTCATGTCGAGGTGCCATCATCACGCCAACTATCATTCTTGCTCGTATTTCGCCACCTCCTGCTCTGTGGTAACTTTCACCGCTGGTCGAAAAGGCTCGCTATCTCCGAATCTCTCGGCAGTCAATCCTGCATATCCCGGCCTGGACATGCCTCGCTCGAGTTGACGTTCATACGATACTTGACGCAGTCGATTGGACTCTCTGGGTGTAAGTCGGAGCTGTATTGAAGTTCCGTCAGCATGTAGCTCTGTTACTACCTGCAGGCTGTATGGCACTCACGTAGCATTCAATGGCGAAGGTGTGTAGCAGCAGAGCCAGCCAACCTGCTGCTCCAAAGGGGATTCCCAGTGCAGCGGACAACTCCATGCTGTTCGAACTTGCAAAGTCGGCTGTGACTATGACGGGGAGATCTGGTGTGTTGCCGATGAAGTAGTCGATGCATTGTGGGTATGCTGCAAGGGTGTCGTTCTCCCCAAGAGCGAACGCGATCTGAGCGCAGGGTCGGACAGTGTACCTGAAAATGACTGTCAGGGTTGTCGGGTCATTGTGTTCGGTTTCCTATATCAACTCACCAATTTCTGCCCATACTGATGATTTGAGCTGAGATGATCATAATGATGCGAATGGTGATGATAGTTGAGAACTGCAAATTGTACTCGTAAGTTTCGAAAAGTCTTGACAAGTGATGCTGAGAAACAACACGTACCCAAGCCCACACTCGCAGCATCCATGCCCGGTGTTGATCAATCTGCAATAACTTTATATTCACCCAGGCCATGATGTAGCCTAGCGTTGTCAAGACGACCATGGCTCCTGTCCAGGTTTGCGTGGAGAAGTCGCCGCCGAATGCGTGTTTGGTGATGATTATGGTCCCGGCATTGCTGATCAGTGAGAGGATGACTACAATGTAGCCGTTCATGCGGTGGAATAAGAGAAGTTTGTGGCGTATCACTGGGATGAATTGGAGGATTACGAGGAGGGCGGCGGGGATGATCGTGTAGAGGTGTAGTTTCATGCCTTTTTATTTCTATCAGTACCTGTATCAAGGTAATCAGGGTGGGAGGTAGAAGTGGAACGAACCAATTTTGAACGGCACTTGAAGATAGTAGTAGCATTCTCCTGGTGCGGCGCCAGTGCCTCCTGATGCGTTTGGGTTGCAGAATACGCCGTTGAAAGAGAGGTATTGGAGTCTGGCGAGGGTAAAACCCAGGAGGTAGCCTAGCGCGAGGAATGCTGGACATGTTGGATGAGTATCTGGGTTGGATGGAAGATGATAGAGGGAGAACGTACCGAGGATCGCGTTGTAGCCTTTCGAGAAGCCTAGTGGGTTGTATACACGTCGCATGGTGCGGACGAAACCATTGGCAGGCACCCTATGATCTGTCGACGAAGACGCCATAGCTGGAAGAGATTTTGTCAAGGTTGGCTCTGGATTGTGTGGTATTGAAGGAGTGTCTCGACAGAGAGAGTAACGGTAACAGAGTTTCGTTGAGAGGTATTCTGATAGGAGCTGAATGAAATTCGAATGGATTTTCGATATTCGGATGCTTACTCCTGGAGACAGAGGCTTCCTTTTATTACTTACCTTGCCTTCGAGCTTGGCTATCATGGTAGTTGATTACAATTGGTGAATATGCCGAAAAGAGATGGAGTCTGCGACTGTACATCTCACATCCCGATCGGCAGGATTTCTGCGTATAGAGCTGTGTGCATTTCCAAAGCAAGTGGTTGTTTTTGCGGATGGAAAGTCGCGTTTGTGATGTCGACGGTCGCAGAGTCCCCCCTCGAAGCGGTTAGACACAGCGAGGCAGAAGGATGCGGCCTTTTGTTACGCCGGCTCCCAAGCTTCCAAGCCTCCTGGCCAACACCAATCAATTATGGTGGAAGGATTGCAGAGATTGATCTATTGCAGATGCGGTAGATGCACGTGTCGGGAGCTGTAGACTGACGCACTGTAGCTTGCTGGCGATCGGGACGTGAACCAGTGTCGCGACAGACTTTGTTGTTTCCCAGTCGATGATGGTCTCACATTTGACGCCTCTGCGCTGCAGCATTCTGACGATCGCGAAGCAACACACAAACCTCGCTCTACGATGACACATGCCAGGCCCCAAGTATACGACATGTACGTTGTCATGTATACTCTCAGAACACAGCTGGCCCGATGACGCCGACATGTCGAAGGATTCTGCGAAGCTTATCGGCAGTACCGATAGATAAGGGGCTGGATCCGCTCGCAAGGCATACAGGCTCGTAGCCTCACCGTGTGCTGCATTCTGTCAATTCCACTTCGCTCTCACAATGACACACAGACGGAGCTCATACCATAGAAATACACAGTCCTTTCCAAACGATAACGAAAGCCACAAATAGCCGGTAACAGCACGACTCTCCCTGGACAGCTCCTAGTCGCTGATGGACTTGTGCACTCTTATCGACCAGCGTGACATAGTGTGCACGTGGAGGAAAGTGTTGATCGCATATTGGAAACGCACCGGCTGAGAGACGACGAGCAACATGCAGGGCGTGCGAACCACAAGAGGTTGTGTCAACTGCCGAGCCAAGAAGAAAGGCTGCGATATGAAGAAGCCGACGTGCGGTCGCTGCTCAAGATTGAGAATACAATGTACATTCGAGGAGAGAAAGTACGTCTTTGTCAGTCAAGATGGCAGTCGCAGGCCAGGCAACTTCTTGACATCGCCTTCAGCGGTTTCGCTGGCCAAGACCGACTCTTCGCTTGTTGTGGATGAATTCTTTTGGACCAATTACCTTCCGCAAGAAGATGTTTCTCTAGATGGCAGCATCGGCGGAATATTGTCGGCGCCTTGGATACCTGGTATCCGAAAACTGGCAGACACAGACAAAGATGTCAAGAACGCCTTGCAAGCTTGCGCACTAACCGGTTTTGGATGGATGAACAACGATCGTACACTGGTTGTACGAGCTGTATGGTTCTATGCCCAAGCACTCAAACAGACCAATATCGCCCTAAAAGATCCCGTCGCAGCACTTGGCGACAGCGTACTTGCCTGCTGTCGACTTCTTGTCCTGTTCGAGATGCTACAACGGATATCACCTGAGCCCACGGCCATGGATCCGAAGCGTAATCAGATAGCCGACTGGCGAATGCACGTCGAAGGCACGTGCCGCCTGATCCAGCTCCGAGGACGTGATAGACATCTGTCAAGCCTAGGCATGGACTTGTATGATGGAGTTCGCTTGCCAGCAGTCATACAAGGTCTCTCAAAACGTCAGCCGAATGCGTTCACTCAGCTCGATTGGAAACTCCCCTGTCTAAATATGAGAGACAGACTGTATCAACTTATCAACCCTGTTCCGCAGTTGCTGCAAGACTTCGATATTTTCCATGAACATGGAACTCGCATCGACGATGGTCTGGTGAGCCAGCACATCGCTTATGGTATGAAATTGCTGCGCAGCGCTCTGACTATCTGCTATGATCTGCAGGCCTGGGAGTCCAAGGTCCTGAGACTATGCTATGGGAAGAAGCCCCTTTGTGACCTGGGTACTGATCCTTTGAGCTTCATGCCAGGACACGGTGGAGAACACAACACACTCTACGATTTCTGCCGACTTCACGGCCATGGATTCTTCTCGACCTGCACACAGTATTGGACCATGTGCAACATACTCTACGGCTCTCTAAGAAAGTTCCACCAACAACTCCAGGATTTCATGGATATCTGGGTCCTTGAAGAAGTGCTGCCCACCATACCTGTATGGGTAACTCCAGAGCTACCAGCCTTGAATATCGCAAAGGTAGCTGGTCATTTCTTTGCCCCAGGGATGGGTCTCTGGGCTGCTCATGGGGCAGTGTTTCCTATCAGTACTGCACTGTGGCACTTTGCCAAAACTGGCAGGCGAGACTCGCCGGCTTTCAAGTCGATGACGGAGGCTTTCACAATCAGCAAGACCGGTGTTATCATGCGGGACTTCCTCAACGCGATCGGTGTGGTGTGGCAGCTCGAGGGTTGACGTCTCAGACATTGGTCTTTGTTGCCAACCACTCTTGACAAAAAGGATCGTTGATCGACCATCCGGGACATAGGCTTCCATTTTTTTCTCTGGCAAACAAAATGTTGGTTGTCCTGTTGACGCTGGGGCTGAAAGTTTTCGGTCTACCACAATTCTATCATAGACCCCCCAAGCAGACAGTACGGCCGTGTTGATCAAACTCTTCAGAGTTCAATAGTGGTGGCAAAAGACAGTGGAGGAGGATGGAGAACAGCATGTGCTCGTTGGAGATTGTCGATCTTAGGTCATACAGATCAGTGTATGAGGCATTTCCATGCACGAAACAGTAGCCCCAGGCGGTATATAAGAAATGTGTTTGCTCCTTAAGGCTGGCAATCTCTCACATAGCATGTCATCAGCTCGCTCTTCTCAGAAACTCGTCGTTATTGCCAGCGGCCTCCTTGCGCAATATGTGATTCATTGCTTTGGTCTCGGCCTTGTCGCTAGTGGCCTTGCCCTTATCACCAGCGGTGGCGCTTTCGCTGCCGTCCGCTTTCCTCACGAAGAGATCGACCTCGATCGAGGGCAAGGAGACCACAAACTATCAGGCCGCAATTAATCTGGACGACGGTGTCCCAACCGGTCCCCCGGAGTGGACTACTGGGACCAGTTCTGCCCTCGAGCGCAGTATGGTTGCCGATGCAAGTCCTTCGATGATCGCTTCTTATCCTTAATCTGGAACTCCGAACAAAAGACACAAACTTGATGCAGCAATATGGGGGTATGGAGAACCTCGATATGTGGAATCTTCGGAGAAATGTGGATGACATAATACCTGGTGCTCCTAAGCCTTACTAATTTTGTCGTTTAGCTTCAGCAGGTGCATCGCGAGACCCTGACGATAGCTGCCCTGGTAGTTAGACTTTGGCAAATAGACCCGAATGATATTGATATAGCCCTATGCTCTCTTGTACGCACAGACATTTGGCTTAGAATCAGCATTCCCGACATTTCCATCAATTAGCGCCAGGGACAACATAACGACCATTACGCGTCCTCGGAAGATTGCTTCATACCTAGGTTATGACGGATGTCTACTCTGTACTAACCTTCCACTATCAGAAAATTCTGCTCTACAAAACAGCGGGATATCGTATACAAGCATCAATGCTATATAGTCCCCTCCAGATTCACCAACAGATTTAAGAAAAACCAATTGATTTCAGTCGTCAATTCATCGGACTGCTATCGAACATCTTTCAAGTCATTCCAAGCATTATCAAACCCAAGACTCTCAACAACTTCAAACATGCTGACCAGATTTGTTTACAATGGGCTGTTGGCAGCACTCGTTGCTATTGCCGCACCTGTGATCAAGGAGGACCCTGCGCTCAAGGCTGGGGACGAAACCATCAATGGAACCTTTTATGCGGTAAGTGCAATGTCAAACATGGGTATTGTCCAAGAACTGACGAGCCACAGGGCGCTGTGCACTCTGGCAAACATTTGCGGGAGGTCAGTGCCGACATCGTCCTTCCCAAATGTAGCGTTGGCCTACCATATAGTCAGTACGACACGTACGAATCTGATGGATGGGTTGGCATCGGCGGTTACTCAGCCGGCGGTTTGATCCAGACTGGTGATTAGACTCCATATCATGGCGTGTCCCGTACTAAGCAACATACTGATCTGCTCCAGGTGTATCCTGCTATGTTCAACAAGGGAAAGATCCGTACTACAAGATGTGGACGGAATTCTACCCTGCACTCGAGACCTTCTATGAGGATGAGAACTTACGAGCTGGCGACGTGATTTCCGCTCGTGTGGTAGCGCACAGCGAGTCATCTGGAACTACATATCTCCACAATAAGCGAACAGGCAAGAAGTTTTCGAAGACCTACACCAACGAGACGAGCGAGTTGAACTTTGAAGACGTCGAGTGGGTGACCGAATCGCGACTCTTTACAAACCAACTTGGTCCGCAAGGTAGTCCCGATGCCAAATTCACACCTTGGGAATTCCGGAACGCCGCGTATGCCCATAAAGGTATGCTGAAGTCCATCGAAAACCTGACGATTTTCTCTTCAACTAACGAAGATAATGACAGGCGGCAAGAAGCAGAAGTTTAGACTTGTTACAGGCAGTCACATGCTTGATACTGTGCTAAATAACGCTACCATTGCTAAGGGTATCCTTATTAGTCCAGGACATATCCAAGTTAACGACACAACCCCTACAAACTTCACTGTTCCTGGATTCCCCTAGCTATCATTAAAGACATTATCTATAGCCTTACGTTACCGATTGTCTCCAATCAATGTGTTGGGAGCCTCGAATATAGCTGATCCAGGATCCAAAGTCGACTGCGTTGAATTGTGTGATCTGTACGGAGATGATGACTTGGCTGATCTGGATGAAAATGACTTGCCACAAGGCACGGATTGATTGGAAGGAGAAGGAGCGAGCGGTGACTAAAGCACTTTGTAGAGGCGGAATCCTTGGATGATGTAGAGCAGCAGACAAGACGATCCCTACCAGCAACTTCATCTATGGGGATCCTAAAACCCAAATCCATCTAGCTAGAGTTCTGAAAGTGATCTAGGAAGTGATTCGTGAAGCCGCGATGTCGTGTCTGCAAGAAGCTGTGAAGGAACATGCAGGATATTCAGAGCTGTCAAGTCATGAAAAGATATCCTTCGAAGGCACTAATTCCAGAACGCTCTTGGAGGCACAATGTGTAAGTGTGATACTCGCAATGTGTTCCTGACCACGCGTAGCGCTCGCTCGAGGACGTCGACGCTAATGAGACTTTGGGATGAAGCGCTTGGGGTGTCGCAATCAGGTTCTGGCATAGGATCATCCTAGTCTTCCTCGAACGATCTGGTCCAGTAATCATACTCCAATTCTTGCAGTCCTAGGCAGGCGAGGAGAAGGCGATACAGAGAATGCTCGTTCATGCGATTATAGGCTAGGGTCAAAGAAGAGAGTCTTGGTCATACTGGTTGTTGATCAAGGATTGATTGCAGATAGTTGTCGGTAATGCTGTGGATATTCAAAGACACATGGCGTACTGCTGGGAGAAGCATGAATAGAGCCTGAGGAGCATATATTGCATGATTGAGCGGTGGCCTACCTCTGCCCATCCAGACCTTGTCATTGAATGCAACTATCGATATAGTGTGTAAGTTTAGGAGCAGCCTCGACAAGTGTGAAGCAGAGCAGAATCTCAGAGAAAGATCTAACGTAACGTATCGGTTTTGCTAATAGACCATGCGACATATCTTTCAATCATCTGACCACTCTACCTGATCTTTCAGATGCTTCCATTGATCTTTCGAGCGCCTCTCACGTACTTGCTCTGCACCACTCTACCGCCGACAGCACTCTTCATGTAGCAAGCAGTTCCAGACATGGAAATGTCGACGCATCCCGTGAGAGCGTCGCACTTGTTGATACAGTCTGCAATGCGATTGCTGGGGACGTTGACAGATGCCATGTCGTGCCCGGCGCGATCCATATAGCACTCGATCAAGAAGACTGCGCCACTTTTGGCAACGAAGGTTGTACTGTTTGAAGATGGGCAAGTAGGGTTTGTCGGATCCGCGGTGTTGGAAGAGGAAGTAGTCGATGATCCGACTGACGAAACAGATGAAGAGGGTACGACTGTGCTGAGCGTAGTGGCAATAGATGATGATGACGTGATTACATCGTCGCTGGATGAAGTACTGACCGAAGAACCCTTGGTCGCGCCCAGGACAGATGATGTCGAGAGAAATGATTGTTTCGGCAGAGCAAGTATTCTGGCGGCAGCAGCCTCGGCGGCAACCTGAACGGTGGCTTGCAAGTTTCCTGTAGGCAGATCTGGATGCATGGAAGCGTCGACCACGAACAGATTGTCGGTGCCGTATATTTTTAGCTCGAGATCAACGACAGATGTTCCGTTGTTGATACGGCCGTCGTCAATACCCATCTTGGCGGTTGACACCCAGTGGCTACCACCTGTGAAGACTTTCGACAGCGAGGCGCCGGTATCGGCAGGAGAGCCAGCATAGATCAAGCTCGAGCCAGTCTTGCGTGTCTGAACGAGTAGGTTGTCGATGAAGGAAGCTAGGGCATACTTATCTTCGGCAGTGTTGAGGTAGGGATCGACAGAATAAACTGTGTTACCGGCAGGGGTGATACTAAGGACACCACTGGATGTGATACCGTGAGTGAGATAGAGCTTCATAGACACCTGGTTTTGGCCGCTTGCGTAGCACGTGCCTTGGAAGAAACGAACACTGCCGTCAGACGTGGTGTTGGATGTCCACATCGTGAAACGCTGGTAGCCCTGCGTGAGAATGCCGGTTCCGTGGCTGTACATGTCTATGACATTCGATGATGGACTGATAAAGTAGGGCGTATCCAGAAAGTCGACGAGTCCAGTGGTATTGAAGTTCAGAGTCACGATTGCGTGGTCCTTAATTCCTTGACCGACAGGGAGGTTGATCCAATCAGAACTTGGGGGTAGAGTAACGTTGTTAGTGGACGCGCTGCTAGCAACGATCTGCAGCTGATCATTGGGTCCGATACCACTATTGAACAAGATACGGGGAGTGGAGAATACGCCGGATGCCAGAATGACCCTCCCGCTAGCGCTAACGTTGATAATTTGACGCTGGCCAACGACCTCAACCTCAACGCCAGATACAATGGATCTCTGTCTGACGACACGGATCACTTTGGTGTGAAGCTGCAGTTTGAAGTTTGGCAGTGCTTGGGCGAGCGGAAGATAAGTCAAGACAGGGCCGGCGACGAGACCATCTTTGACACTATATGGGGCATGGCTGTAGACGTTGTGCTTGGAATTGGGCTCAGCAATAGCATCGACAGATTTGTAGCCCTGGGTGTCGAAGAAGTTGGCGAACGCGGTGTATGATGTCTGATCGTAGTGGACGCCATCCGCTGAAGGACAAGTTGATCCAGGATTGCGAGCATGGACTCTCTCTGCCGCACTTGCAACATCAGCCCACTTCCAGCCAGCAGGCCACTTGTCGTCAAAGTCGAGGTTCTGAGGCGGAATGTACGCGAGCTGATTGACCATGGTGCCGCCTCCCAGGACACAACCTGCGTTGCCAGCCGTATCTGTGCAGTATTCGCTTTTGTCGGCAAAGCTGGTCTTGATGTAGTGTCGCACGCCAGGCACATCGTACTGTGTCACCGTGTTGTTCCATGGTAGGATGTCACGTCCTCCCCGACTGAAGGTTGATGCGTTGCCTCTTTCGAGTAGTATCACGCTTGCTCCGCTCTCTGCAAGTCTCTGGGCCACGATGATACCAGCAGGGCCAGCTCCGGCGACAATGTAGTCATACGACGGGGATGCGGTCTGAGCCGAAACACCGAGTGCAGGCAGTAGCAGAAAAGGAAGGAGCCAAGACATGAAGGGCTGGATGATCTAATAGATCCAGTAAGGAGACAAAGATCAGATAGGATCGAGTGACAAGGATCAGATAAGATGGGCACTTTGCAAGGTAGATATACTCTCCACTTTTCATGTTATAACACTTGCACGGCCGATTCTCGCCAAGTCCCAAAGGGCATGAGCGTGTTCTCGCCATGTTGGGGCGTTCGGAAACAGTTGTGATTTGTCAACAGAGATGAACCTCGCATCTCAGACGGTGAGACGGCGCCATGACCTGAGGCTAAGGATGATACGGAACGCCATCTACCAGGTCGACAAGACGACCCTGAACACTTGTTAAAGGCGATGTGCTTGATGCTTTGCGACATCGCGTGGGGACAGACCTACCCCAATGGAGCAGTTTCTTCGAGCCTGTGCAACGTAGAGCAGATTCCTAGTGAGCAATGATGATCGATAGGGAGGGCAGTACAGAAGAGCCAAGACGGCGCGGATGCTTGAAGGAGCTTGAGCGCGACTTCGTCGGCACAAATTTCCATCACGGGAGTGGACCCTAGGATCTAATCAGATTCGGAGATGAAAATTTTCCGATTAGAGTTTGCTGTTGGCAACACACGAGAAAGGGTCGGTCGCAGTCGAAGAAGGAGCGATCGCGCACGCCCAGCAGACCTGCTCCAACTGATATAAGTCACCATCGCAATAACCATGATACTAGGCGGATTCTCCAGTTCCCTCACTGTTGAGAAGCGCATGAGCCTGACGTTGTCGACAAGTCGACGCCTCAAATCATGGCTCATAGCCTTGCCCACGACCGACAGATAGTCGCGCTCCAAGGAACAATTCGAAAAATCGGCATTCAATGTGCTCGAAAAGCTTGAAGAGCAGAATCAGACTTGAAATTTCTAGCCTAATGGTACCCTGAGTACAACCACCTTCGCTGACCCGCCGCTGTCACGTTGAGATTGGTATACATGTTCAGCCTGTCCGGACCTCCGCAATACTCAGTGCTGTTCCCTTGACACACCATATTGCAACCTGTCTGCGATGGCGTAGACCCTTGCACCAGAGCAGAGCCGGTGTGGATCACATTGCCACAGAAGCACTGGGACGCATACTCCAGACCCCAATATCGATAGCCTACGCAAGCCTTCATGCATGCTTCGACTGTGACGTTTGCAGCGGGTACTGCATACTGCTTGTCGGTCAATGCTCTACTGTTGGTAGCTTCAGAGTAGCAACCAAGATACTGCACGCCAGTCAAATTACCGACAGTCACGGGCTGTACTGGTGGAGAAGATTGCGACTTGTAGACTGTCAATCTGTTGCCGCCACCACAGGTTTCTGCGCTGTTTCCTGAGCATGGCATATTGCAGCCGCTGGACGCAGGTACCGAGCCGGCGTTCAGTTGGTATCCGCAATAGCACTCTGATGAGTACTCTGTTCCAAAAAATGTGTAGCCAGCGCATGCTTTGGCGCAGTTCTCGTTGGTGATATTGTTTCCAGAGATTGGGTTCTGCAGGTCAGAAAGCGCACGCATGTTGGTTGCTTCGGTGTAACATCCATAGGCAGTCCATCCTCCAGCAATTGTCGCAGCCGCTGACGAAGAGCTAATTAAACTAGAAGTTGTGCTCACCGCAGGCGACGAAGCACTGCTCGATGTCATGGAAATTGATGGTGTTGGCGTGGCCGAGGATAATGAAAATGAGGGACTCGAGGTGCTAGTTGTGCTCGAAAAGGAGGGGGATGTGGAGCTGATACTTGTTGACGAAACATAGCTCGATGGGGATGATGTCGCAACCTGGCTGACAGAGCCACTCGAAGCGGAAGCAGATCTTGATGATGACCCAGAAGGCGAGCTTGGGGCGGACGTACTTCCCGCCGGATGATTTGAAGACACTGATGAAGATGACGTGGCCGACGAGCCGGCAGCGACAGACGAAGTGGAGGGGGTTGACGTGTTTGGTGAAGCAGACAAGATGGTCGACGCTGACACGCTAGACGATACAGTCGATGCTGAAAGACTTTGTGTAGAGGGTGAGCTTGTCGAGATCATAGAGCTCGACACTGTTGACGAGTTTGTCAACAAGGACACCATGGATGATACGTTCGTGGTTGAAGCCATAGACACCGATGAGCTTGCTTGCGAGGCTGAGCTTGACGTCGAGATAGAGATATTCTGCGACATCGAAAATGAGACAGTCGACAGGGAAGAAGACACAGCAGTCGGCTTGTAGCTATTCGAGGTTGAGATCTGCGATCCTGATAGAACGGAGCTCATGTTCGGAGAGACCAATGATGACGAACTCGAGGACAGCGCAGGTATGGTTGTGTTGGAAGGAGAAATTGCAGATGAAGGCGAGGATGAGGCCAGGGACGTAGACCATGCGGAGCTCGAGAGCGAGTATGGTCCAGTACTTGACATCGACGCTGTCGATCCAGATGATGTATTGCTTGGATCATTCGAGCTTGTCAGACTGGAGGACGAAGTAGCGAGGAGTCCGGAGGAAATGGTCGATTCTGACGAGGTAGTGGAGCTGCCCGACGAGCTTGCAAGTGCACCACTCGAGCTCAGCGACGTGGGTGGTTGCATCGAAGAAGTACTGGACGGACTCGATGACGATGAAGAGCTGCTAGACTGCACCTGCTTCGCCATGTAGAGGTTCAACCTGTTCGGACCACCACAGTACTGAGTAGAATTAGCAGTGCACAACATGTTGCAGCCAGTACTAGCTGGAGACGAGCCAGCCACCAGATTCGAACCAGCGGATAGGAAGTTCGAGCAGAAGCACTGCGACGAGTACTCGACTCCGGCGTACAGATACCCTGTGCAGGCAGCAGCACAGTTCTGCACTGTCATATTTGAGCCTGAAATGGGCATCTGTACCTGAGACAGCGCCCGACTGTTGGTGGCCTCTGAGTAGCAACCTTGGTAAGTCCAATTGCCGAAGTTGCCAACTGTGACGGGATCAACGATACGAGTGACGTTGGTGTTGGCGTTCAGACTGTACACGGTCAAGCGATTGGGACCTCCGCATGTAAAGTTTGAGGGTCCTGCGCATGCCATGTTGCAGCCATTCAGAGCTGGGTTGCTCCCTCCTGGTGCGACCGTAGAGTTGCCTCCAAGAGTATTGCCACAATAACATTCGTCCGCGTATTCGAGACCGGCGAATTGATAGCCCGAGCACGCTGCGGCGCATGAATCCGGACCCACGGTCTGCCCGTTGAGAGGATTCATCGCTAATGCTCGGCCAGCAACGTTGTCGAGCCAGCAGCCGAAGTAGGCATAATTGCCGTCAGAAGTCATGTTCTGGATGCCTGTAGTGGCTGCGGGTCCAGGATTCACATTGTTGTTATTATTGTTATTGTTGTTCCCGTTGTTACCTGCCCCGTTGCTCGAAGAGATCGGTACTGTGCCATTGTATTGGAACACATTCAGACGGTTTGGTCCACCACAGTACTCCGATGAGTTACCTTGGCAGAACATGCTGCAACCATTGATGTCCGGGTTTGTGCTCGCCTGAAGCACGGCGCCATTGGCCATTGAATTGCCACAGTAGCACTGGTTGGCATATTCCAACCCAAAAAATTCCCAACCGAGGCAAGCGGCGGCGCAGCTCTCATACGTAGTGCCGGCAGCAGGAGGGTTAGGAGCAAGGCCGCTCAGTGCTCGACCATTGACATTATCTGACCAGCAGCCTGCATAGGTAAAGTTACCTACGCTCGACGGGATGGGCAGACCGCCAGGTCCTGATGTTGCATTACTGCCCGGTGTGAAACGTGTAGCGTCATAGAACACCGAGATGAGTCCTGCGCCGGTATTACCTCCACAAGTATCATTTTGATTGCCGGCGCATGCAAAGTTGCAGAGCGAGTCTTGAACTTGTAAGTTGAGCGGAGGCGGAGTGTTGCCAGCGTAGCACTCGATCTGGTACTCTGTACCTGCGAAAACGTAACCTCCCGGAGTTGCTAGATTCTGACATAACCCATTGGTGTTATTGTTACCAGCATATAATTGGTTCGGCAGGATCTTTCCATTGGTATTGTCTTGGAAGCAGCCTAGATAGGTGTAGACCGGGTTGCCAGTGCTGTTCTGTGGGCCAACGTGAACACTTTGAATGATGCCTTGAATCTGAACAATATGGACACCGAAGTTTAGATCGTCGGTGTTGAGCGTCCAAGTATTGTTGACAGGCTGATCAGGCTGGTTGTAATGCTCCGTGGGCGGCGACATCAGCACTGTTCCATACACACAACTATTTGGTGCAATCTGAAGCTCTTCGTGAAGCTCGGCTGGGTCGTTGATGAAGAAGATGCCGTTTGGTGGCTTGCTTTTCGAGATATCAAGCACTGAGCCGCCCTCGTTACAGATCTGTATCTGCAATGATTGAGTCGTGCCTGCTTGAACATAACCAAAGTCCATGACTGGGGCGCTTTGCGTTGTCACGTCAGCCCAGCCATGTTCACTTGTTGAGATAGACATGTTGGCTATTGGTGCCGTCGATGCTGACCCTTCCAAGATCGTATCGGTTGCACCACCATTTGTCCAGATGTTGAAGAACGAGAAGTAGTTTCCGATGCCATCATCAGGCGCAAAGACTAGATTCACGATGATCGACTGCGATGGTTGAACAGTGGAGTTCACGGCGGGAAGATTGGTCGCATAGAATCCTGGGCCCAGGATAGACGTTCCGTTGTCTGATTGAGTGACATTGGTCCATTCAACATCATCGTCGTCGATCTCATTTTGCGTCCAGGCGTAACCAGTGATCAGAAGAGGAGCAATACCATCATTGCGAATGGTCATGGTGGAGCCGATAGTCTTGCCATCAGAATCCCCGGACGAGCCAACCAGGATGACTCCGCCAAAATCGACTGTCGATGGTGTCGTATCTAGGAACGGAGCTTGGCTCACTTCTTTACCGGTCAGGGAGATCGGGAAGACGGTTGCGAAGCCTGTTACAGCATTGTTCGTCGTGATCGTCAAAGGTGTAGACTTGAAACCCGGGCTAGTGTTTCCAAAGGACGCATTGACAGCGTTGGTGACAACAGCTTGAGTCAGATTCCAACTAACTGGAAAGCTGAACTGCTGTCCTGCGGCAATGGCACCCCTGGGCAGATCGGCCAGATGAACAACGAAGTTGGCGTCGGCAGTCTGAATGTTGACGATCTGGTTGATGTTGATCAAGGCAGTGCAAGTGACGGTCTGTTTCGAGAATGATCCGAGGGACACACTGCCAAAGTCGACAGGAGAACTACAGTTCAGTGGCAGATTCACTGGGGAACCAAGACAATAGAGATTGCCTGTCGCGTCTGTCGTGTACAGTCGAGTGTCACCAAAGCTGGGTCGCTGGAACTTGTTCACGCCCTGGATTTGAGGCATAGCGATGGACTTCATGGTACCGTCGGACTTGGGTACGGCATACCAAGCACGGATTCCAGCGTCCGGATCTGTCATCCAGAGGATAGCAGTACCAGGCTGCCCATCTAAGCTAGTGACTGTAGGTACACCAACTCCGACACGACCGGCCGAAACCTCTTTGGTGGTGGCGACTTGCGCAAATTGAGGTACGCCGGATCCGTCGAAGCCCAGCTGATATACGTAGGTAGGGTAGCCCACTGGTGTCGAGTAGAGAAATCCACCTTCGAGGGGATATGAGCCGGAGCCACCAAAAACTGCCTTCTGAGTGTTGATGGTCTGGAGGATGCCATCACTGCCGCCTGAGCCTTGTTTGTAGCCGCCCAAGTTGTCCGCGTTTAGAACGTAGATCTTTCCATTCTTGCCCGCACCGACAGCCATACGACTGACTCCTGTGCCCTTGAAGACAGTGGGATCCAGCAATGTCACGCCACCGGATCCAAAATCTTGGTCACCGCCATCCATATTCTCGTAGTCATAAGGCTGGAAGTAATCTTGAGTGCTAAGCTTCCCTGTCGATGTGTCGATTGCGAGGTTGACCACTGATTCACCCAGGGTTTGGCAGCCACTGCGTCCAGAAGCGGGAACGCCTAACCAGAAGTTAGCAACGAAACGATAACACCAAGCCTTCTTGCGTCGAGAATGTTCCGGATCGAGACAGATAGGTAGACTTGCCGTTGTTCTGATCCGCATTGCCATTTCCTGTCGCGAAGAAAAGCCGACTGCCATCAGTAGAGAGACCAACGCCAGATTGCCAGATACCACCTTGACCACCAGCTCCATTCTGCAACAGACTGTCGCTGTGGGGTGTCAGAGGGCCGACACTCACAGCCCATTGTGAGGCGATGTTCTTGTTCACGATGTCGATGCCAACTACCAGTCCAGTGTAGTTGAACAGGTCGCAGTGCCCGCCAAACCCTCCATAAACATAGTTGCCGACCTGCACAAGCGATGGACGTTGCAAGATGACTCCACCGACAAAGTAATCTTGGGCATCGTTGTCTGCAACACTACCATCGATCAGGATAGGATAGCCTGGGACATCTTGCAACGTAGCAAGAGAGACGCCGTGAAAGTAGTAGACACCATTCGGAACGCCAGTATTGCCTGCGACGCGATAGTTGGGAATGTATGTCTTTGAGAAGAAGTATGCAATCTCTGTGGCCGGATCGATAATCGGTGTGCCAATGATACCAATGGTGTTAGGGATGTCGGTGCATCCAATGTCAGACTGCAGGAAAGGAGTATGTACTTGACGTGTGTTGATGATGGCACCAGTCTTGGCGTTGAGGGTACGGATGTAGTTTTGAGACGAGGCAAGGAACAAGATTTGGACGCCGGTGGCTGCTGGTGTAAAAACCAAGGGTTTGGCATAGAACTGTTCTTTGGCATTGAAAGATACCTTCCAGAGCTGTCCGAATTGTGCGCTATCAACAACGGCCGGGTCCTGACTGATCAGCGAGGCTCAGAGAGAAAGAGGGCAAATTTCGTTCTTACCATGTTGTGGTTCGGCAAATAGCCCGTTTGTGCAACGTCCGCATCTCGGTAGCTGTCAGTTGAGGCGACCGCTGCGGCATGTCCGATATAGCACGTTATGGTCCAGAGGACAGAGCTTGGCCAAGAAAGCTTCATGGTAGCTGGAAAAAATAGATATGAGTGTGTTGTTGACAAGGAACTTGTAACATGTACACCGACCTGGCTATATGTATAGCGTAGACACATGCAAACTCGGGTTCGTCCTGGACCGGTTATCAGGAACAGGTACACTCGCTTGGATACTTGTGCTCGTTCAGCGCTGATGCTTGCTTCAGCTTGCTGTTCGAGCGGTCGAGATTGACGGTGATGCCGTGAGATCGTATCAGCTCGGTGCCATATGTCAGCTGCCATTCAGCGCAGTATTCCCGAGTATAGATACCAGATTCGGTACAGACATCTCAGGGTAATTCCTCGGCTCTGTCACGCGAGACTTCTCGCCTCCGGGGTGCATGAACCTTGAATGTTTTCCAAAAACAGCTGGGCGACATTCCAGAAACAGATGCGTGTGGAAAGTTCAGGCGACTTCATCAAGAATACGATCGAACCTGCGGCACCCAGATATCACATCACACCTCGTGACCTGAAGACTTCTGGTCGACATAGCTGATGTGCAGGCGTTGCTGTCGACTTTCCGCGCATGTGCAACGAATTGTCAACCTGCGCGTGGCTGTGATGGCGGCCTGGTCTCCGTATGGGACGGTAGTGATGTCGAACCAGATCCTCAAGCAAGCAGAGCTTAACACCCCATTTGGCAAAGCCTATGTCTCGTGATGTCTCTGAGGCTCCGATTGTTCAATGGAGGAAAAGGCACAACTTCCGTCCGCTGATGCCTGGATGGTAAGTTCCATGTGAGTGCTACAGGCCGGTAGCCAATACACTCTATCTGGAGGGGGGCTGCGAAGCCAAGCGTACTCAAGCCTCGCGCCTAGTGCTTATACTTGTATACAAGTATCAGGCTGGCTCCTGGCGCAAGCTTCGAAGGAATGGCGGTGACGCGGCCGTTGATTGCCGGAGCAAACGAGACAAGAGAAGGCATGTCTATCGACGGGGAGCAGATTTGAACAGGAAAAGTCGAGCAAGACTGTCACAAATGCGCTTGGATGCGTGAGAATAGCTTCTGTCCTGTAGGCCAGATTGTCGGTGCCAGGATGTTGTTGCACGAAGGTCATTTGGCGAAGGAAATAAGCGGGCGTCATGTGTGGCGAGTGAGACAACCGCTCTGACCCCGCGATCTTGCCACTTTTAGTTCGCGACAGCCATGGTCCATCTTGCGACCAAACCGAATCTGCTACGCAGGTCACTCGTGACCCTCGCAATCCGAGATCCAGTTTTGGAACATTCATCTGGAGGTGGTCGAAAAGTGCAGGAAGCAGGGTCTCGACGTATGGATGACCATTGAGTCTCGTTGTAGCCAACACCCTACCGAGGGCTCGTGCACGCAGATGCTCGGCCTCCTTCGGGGTGCTCTGAGCTCTGCCACTCCTTGAGGACAACAAACATCTCTCGTGACAATGGACTCACTATATCGGGCTGGTTTCCACATCCCGGACTGGCTTAGAGAACGAACATATCGGAAACACCTTGAGCCTAACAAACAATTAGCAGCCGCGGGGAGGGATACCCTGCGTGAACCGAAACGATGCCGAAATCCGCGAGATCGGAAGCGGCATAGCGTGGTTAGTAACAATCAACATGTAAGCATTGTTATCGACGCGACAGGTTTCGCTTTTGCTCCGCGAGTCTCCCCGCTGTCGATAGGTGGTATCGACAATTGAGCAGAGAAGAGCCACATACTTGACAGCCATATCGCAGCTCAAGTAATGACACATCTCCAGAAACTAACTCCGCTCATACCAACTAGTGTCTTCAGCACTGCATCCAAACGACTCAAGCCTCTACTCGCAACTCAATACGATGGCTATCGGCAACGCCGCCACATTGACCACGCAAATTGATGTGAATAAGGGACGAGCTGTTCCGGTCATACAAACTTTTCCTGTCCCCGCAGGCGACGCTGCTTTCGAGAAAACTCGCCGCCATCTCATCAATCAATTTGATGCAAAGATACCGCAGGATTATATCATCGCACGCCACGTGATTGACAAACCGCCAACGGACGTCACTGAAATTCCTCGGTCATGCGGCATTCTCAGCGCCGAGGAGATCGCTATCACGGAAGACTACGATGCAGTCGACCTAGCAAAGGCTATTGCCCAGCGCAAGTATACTGCGGTAGCCGTTGCGACTGCGTTCTCAAAGCGAGCAATCATCTGCCATCAAATCAGCAACTGCCTGACTCAGTGGTTCCCTGAAGAAGCGATCAAGCAAGCCAAGTCACTGGACGACTATCTCGATGAGCATGGACACACCGTCGGACCATTACACGGAGTTCCATTAAGTCTAAAGGAACATATTGCCATTCGAGGAAGAGGAACGTCCTACGGGTTTCTTGCCTCAAATCATGTCAGCGACAATGATAGCTTGCTGGTGTCCATACTTCGGGACTCCGGAGCTGTCTTTTACGTCAAAACAATGCAGCCTCAAGGTCTCTTGCATATGGAGAGTGACAACTATATGGGACGAGTGTTGAATCCGTACAACATTCACTTGTCAGCTGGTGGTTCCTCAGGTGGTGAGGCGGCCCTCGTCGCACTCCGCGGATCTGTTCTGGGCGTGGGCTCAGACTTGGGAGGCAGTATCCGAGCTCCATCTGCCTTCTGCGGTCTGTATGGCTTCAAACCTACAGCGAATATCTTGCCAATGCAAGGCCTTCTGCCCCGAGGATTCGCAGCCGGCCTCAATATCCAGCCATGTGTAGGGCCAATGTGTCGATCGTTGAGAGACATGGATCTGTTTATGCGCACCGTCATCGACTCCAGACCATATCTTAAAGATCCGCTTCTAGTACCTATTCCATGGACAGGCACAAAAACATCAACCGCGCCGAGACTCAAGATCGGTATCATGGCCATGGATGACATGATCACACCAATGCCGCCCTTGACCCGTGCTATCTCATGGGCGCAGCAGAGACTGGACGCACGTCCGGATGTCGAAGTCAAGAAATTCACGCCATACAGAGCCCGCGAGGCACTGGACTTGACACGCCGCATCTTCACACCAGACGGTGGTGTTGGTTTTCGTAAGCTTCTCGCTGCATCAGGCGAGCCAGAGCATCTCTTATCTACAGCCGTACTCGACAAAGCCACCGACTCTAGTCATGTCAACCAGATATCCATGCTGCGAGCAGAGCGAGACGACTTCCGCCGCGAGATGGCAGCACACTGGAACGAACAAGATGTAGATCTGGTCTTGATGCCTGTGTTCGTTGGACCCGCTCCTGCCCATGACACAGCTATCTACAAGGGCTACACTAGTGTATGGAATCTGGTTGATTATCCAGCCGTCGCCATCCCAACACCACTCGTTGCAGAAGCGAAGGGCGTGGAGAAGTATGCTGATCAGCAAGACATTGGCGTTGAGGACCAATATGTTCGTCGTATGTATGAACGTGCTGATTTCGCAGGGGCGTCGTTGGGATTGCAGCTCGTCGCGCGCAAGCATCATGATAATCTCTTGTTTGGGGCATTGAGATTGATTCAAGACGCGCTTGAGCTCAAGTAGCTAAGCTGGGTTAAATTCGATGTCGATGGGTCGTACAAATTGGAAAACCGTCTCTGTCTCCGTTGTCCCGCTTGCACATCTCCTGTTGATCTGGTTTCATGACAATTCGTCCAAGATATGTTTCATGAAGCCCCGCTATCGTCCTTTACCTATTCAGATGATTACGAGACGGTCAGCGTGTCAATGACGTACTGACTATGGACCGCTATGTACGATATTCCAAACTTCGATCCCTTGCTCCCACATGTCATCTTCCCATATATCCGTTTCACCATCGCTCCTCCACCTCCTTACATGTTTCGGCGATCCGGTTCCCCAGGTCACCTCCTCACCATTCACAAACCTCGCAAACTGTTCATTCCAATCTCTCAACCACACCTTCTCTTGATCGGTCAAGCCGCCAGGAAAGTCAGAGCCCCACAACCAGATTGGCACGTCGGAGGAATGTGTGACGCCCCATTCTGGTGGCAGTGTTGCGTCAACGCACATCAAGCGTCGGTCGAACCGATAGCGCAATACATCCTTGCCTGGACGAAGTCCGTGTTGAAAGAGAGCGTTGAAGAAGCCTCTCTGGAGGTGATGGACTTGTAGGTCAGCGTAGATGCGGCCAAAAAGATCTTGCCAATTTTCGCAGTGCGAAGGAAGCTCTTCTTCCAAGCCGCAATAGTGACGTAGAACCTTGTCTACATCGTTTCTGGGGTATTCTGCATAGAGACGTGTACGCAGTGAGTCGAGTGAGTTTCCTGGTGTGCGCCAGTTTCTGTAGACTGTGTGCTCGTCTCTGCACTCTCCACTGAGAATGGTGATCCCACATTCTTGCATCCTTCGGGCAAAGTCTCCTTCATTGATCCTAGCAAACAGGTCTTCTGGGTAGAATCTACTGTCAGCGACAGGCCTGAACTCTGATATCTTCATCTTCTGTTGCACGTCTACCAGTTGCTGATAGGGTAGTCCTCGGAGCTTGGCTAGCTTAGCAGAGTCCTCGAGGTTGGAGGGTATGTCGAGTTTCTCGACAAACTCATCAAATTGGGCCTGATGTTCGCTGAGAGTCTTGGGTTTGAGCCCGGCACCATTAGACAGCATGATGACCCGCCTGATGATACGTTCCTGAGCAGGAACTCGATAGAGCTCGTGAGCCAGCTGATGGAAAGTGGAGTATGCACCTGCCGAATACCCAGCAACAGTAATGTTATCGGCATCGCCAGCAAAGTTTGCGATATTGCGACGAACCCATTCCAACGCCGCTCTTTGGTCCCAGAGTCCCATGTTACCAATACTCGCTCCGTCCGTCGATTGCTCTTCCGCAAAAGCCTTCCCTGTCAGGAACCCAAACGCGTTCAACCGATAGGCAGGAAGGACGACTATGGCACGAAAAGCGGAATCCCCAAGCAACGGCACAAGAGAAGACGGTTTCCAGTTCGCAGTGCCCCATTGCAAGAAACCGCCATGCAGGTAGAAGAACACCGGCCAGCCATCTTTTGGTGCCTCGCCAGCTGGGATCCAGATGTTCAGCTGCAAGCAATCCTCATCGAACAAGAACAAAGGAAGCGGGAGTCGACTTGGTGGCTGTGGACAGAGGTTGGTTCCTCCGGTGTGCTGGCCTGGAGCTTCTTTGGTGCCATAAATATAGCCTGGTGGAAGTTTACGAGGTAATCGAAAGCGATGAGTGCCCGTTGGAGGCAAAGCATAGTGAAGGCCTCCAAAGTAGTGTAGACTTGGCGTGTTACTCGATGAGATTGTGAGACCTTCCAGATAGCCCAGAGGACCAGCATGTAACACGTGCGACATTTCGGTGTACGCCATGGTGTCTGTTCGTCGAGTATACTTGCAAGCGTATAGCAATGTTGTTGTGCTCTTGGCGACAGCAATGACTATAAAGACGTACTACCTAACATTATGCGACTAGTCCGGATGCTATCGCTCGTCAGCCGATACGAAAGCTTGATGCGATGATCGCTCCCAAGCTCCCCGGTTGCGGATCCGTGTGGCGGGGTTGAGGGTTGGAGTCTCTGGTTGTTCCGGTTTCTCCCCGGTCTCCCCGACGGTACACTGCAGCTGCCCTTCCAGTCATCGCTATACTCGACCAGGTGGCAGGATGGAGTACTACAAAACAAGCAAGAGATCAGGATGGGATTTGGTGTCTCGAAAGCGACAATGGCAATCAAACTCCCAAGTTCCGTCCTCTTCGAGGCACTTCGTCGTCATGACAAGGCTTCCACGGCAATTGTAGACTCTGCGTCTGGGGAGATTATCACTTATGCTTCTCTATTGCAAGATGTATCAAGTTTAAAGCATCAACTACTCCAGGAACTTGACCAGGACGATATCTCTGGCGAGCGCGTGGCGTTCATCGTGGAGAATGGTTATAACTATGTTGGTCAGTGATGTCTGATTGACTGACTTTCGATTGTGTTCATCTGCTGAGATTCAATCCTAGTCACGCTTTTGAGCATTCTTGCATGTAATGCGATTGCCGTGCCTTTGGCACTCTCTTTTCCTGCATCTGAACACAGACATGTCATCAACCTCAGTCAGGCAAGCATCTTGCTTGCATCAGACAAATCCTTGCAGAAGGCCAGGGAAGTGATAGCCGAAGGTCTCGATGTGATTCCAGGTCTTCACAGTGTAAACGAGATGCTTTCTCGTTCTCGAGAGAACGACATCCCGTATCCGGACGTACTGTATACTGCAGACGCGGGCATCATGTTGTTCACCTCTGGCACCACAGCCAAGCCCAAGGGAGTCATGTTGTCTGACGCCACGCTGAGTGCTCAAGCCCAGAGCTTGATGGAGGCATGGGACTATACGTCTTCGGACCATTTACTGCATGTTCTGCCACTCCATCACATACATGGCATAGTCAATGCTGTCCTGACACCACTACTCAGCGGCAGTTGCATCGAGATCGTGTATCCCTTCGATGCCGATGCTGTCTGGAGACGACTCTCTGTGCCTTTCTTGGAAAACCAGGATATCAACAACGACAAGGAAAAGTCTCTGTCTGCAAGGAAGATGCCGCCAATCACGTTCTTCACTGCCGTTCCCACTATCTGGTCGCGTATGCTAGAGACCTATCCGTCGTTGTCGCCCGAGATCCAAGCCGCAGGCAAGGAGGCCATCTCCCGCAAACATCTCCGACTCAACATCTCCGGCTCTGCAGCACTACCCAAGCCTATTCGTGACGGATGGACTGAGCTCTCGGGTGGCAACGTTCTGCTTGAGCGATACGGTATGACTGAAGTCGGCATGGCACTCTCTTGCGGTCTAGACGACAACGACCGCATTGATGGGTCTGTCGGCTGGCCTCTTCGATCGGTGGAAGCTCGCCTTGTAGAGACGAACGCTGCCGGTGTTCAGCAAGTGATCGAGCATGGTGAGGAGCTTGACGTCGTGACGGGCAAAGAACGCCAAGGTGAGATCCATTTGCGTGGTCCCACTGTATTCGATGGATACTGGAGAGATCCAGTCACAACAGCAAAAGAGTTCACTCAGGATGGGTGGTTCAAGACTGGAGACATAGCAACTCGACGCCACGTAAACGGCTCAGGACAAGGAACGTCCGGCTCTTGGGCAACTGGTCCAGCCTACTTCGTTCAAGGTCGCCAAAGCGCCGACATCATCAAGACCGGTGGCGAGAAAGTGTCAGCACTGGAGATCGAACGCGAGATCCTTGCCCTGCCAGAAGTCAGAGAAGTAGCTGTACTGGGTCTCCCATCGCAGATGTGGGGTCAAAAAGTTGTGGCTGTTGTCGTGCTGTCGGAAGGGACGGACAGCAAGCCATCTTGGGAATTAGCAGATCTGAGAAAGAGTCTCAGGAATCGTTTGGTCGGTTACAAAATTCCTCAGGATCTTGTGGTTGTACAGACGATCAAGAGGAATGCGATGGGAAAGATTAACAAGAAAGAGCTTGCTCTGGCCGTGTTCGGCGATGCTGAGAAGATCAGGAGAAGAAGTGTGATTGTGCGTGAGGAACGGAAGTTGCTGAGACAATCTGTAGCATAGGTATCGAAGTCTAGCTGTTATCAAATTATACGCTTGGAAGTATGCTCTCGTTGAGTGCATGGCAGCTTTGCAAACGACCGCTCATCATCTCAGTCGTGTGTACGCTTCGTTATGTTTCTGATTGTCTTCCACGCGTTCACGTAGCAATTGCTCGACCTGTTGAGCAGCCCCTAGCACTTTCTCCTCCTCGAACTTCCGTCCCACAAGCTGCAGACTAATATGATGACCATGCATAGACTCGAGATCATACTGCTTCTGATTCCAAGCATCGAGATCGTTACGAGGCACATAGCTTTCGTCTTGCGCGATATCGATCCCTTTGTCGACTTTGCCTGCAGGGAAGGACAGTGCGGTGTAGTCGAGGAAGTTGAAGACTTTCGTATAGCCAACCCAGCGACAGCAACGATGAGCTACGGCAGTGTGTGGCATTGTTGGGATGAGCAGAACGTCGACAGGTCTTCCTGAGGCAGATCGCGTGCTGTTCCACTGATCGTGATACGCCTGCTGTGCGGCCACCTTTCGCTTGTTCAGTTGCCAATATCGGTATACTGAAATTGGTGGGCCACGGTCGACAAAGGCTTGCACATGCGGCACGAATGGTTCGCCTCCTTCTGTCACAGCTGAGCGGACATCTTCGCCTCCGTCCGCGCTGTAGTATTCGTCCTGCTCCCTTCAATACATGTATCATTCCAGATATTTTGGTCAACTTACCATGATGTCAATACATGCGCGATGGAGCGATGTATCCCATTCAACGATCTCATGGCCTGCACCTTGTAACTTCGTTACCGTTTCACGGAACACGCGTGCAATCGGAGGGTGCACTTTGACCACTCCATCGTCTGGTACGATGCCAATGACAAGAGGTTTCGATGAGAATCTCCCAAAGACATCATTTTTCCAGGGCATGGGAGGTAATTGTGAATCGGATAGCCAGGGCTCGGCTTCAATTACGAGTTTGGTGACCAGAACCAAAGAGCTCAAGGAGCGAGTCATCGGACCAACAGCCGAAGGTACGTGCTGCTGACCTTCCAGGGATACTTCAACACCTTGATAAGACATACGCCCGCTCTGTCATGGAATGTTAGCCATGCTTGATTTAGGTTAGGACACTTTTGCTCACACTAGGTTTGAGACCCCAGAGGCCATTCATATGGCTGGGTATACGGATGGAACCACCAATGTCAGTACCCCATCCAAGCAATGAGCCATGCAAAGCCAAAAGAGCTGCTTCACCGCCCGAAGAGCCCCCAGGAGTGAAGTCGGGATTCATCGGGTGAGTTGTCAGACCCCAAAGCGGATTTTCGGTTTCGCACCACTAATCAACATCAGCACTCAAGTAGTGTATAGCGGTCTTTCTTCAATACCAGAATGCTCTGTGGCAGGTTCGTCTTTGTAAGCACAATCGCACCGAGGTCCTGCAAGACATCCACGATGAGAGCATTGGAGCTTGCTGGTTTGCCTGCGCGCCCGACGTATCCGAGCGTCGAGTCAAGTCCTTTCACATTGAATTGATCCTTGAGTGAGACGGGAACGCCGTGAAGTGGACCAAAGAGCTCCCCGTGGTCCTTCAGATAATCATCAAGACGCTTTGCCTGTGTCAGGGCGTCGTCGAAGCACAACTCAGTCAGGCAATTTGTCTTGCTCGCCGTGTCAATACGTGCGTTTGCGAATTGGTGTCCCTCTCACTGACCTGTTGTTGTGCTGCACAAGCTCTTGTCCAACATGAGCTTCGTTTGGAAATCAGATGGGGAAGACTTACTGAGAGATATAAGCACGAACAACGTCTTGCGCCGAGATGTGGCCAGACCGTAGCTGCTGCGTCAGCTCCGTAATATTGTCAAGAGCCGTGATGTGTGAACACTCGACTGATTTGTTTCGGGAGTGCTTCTGAATCATCGCATCGCGTGTCACGAGTTTTGCCGCTACAAACTGCTTCCACGACTGACCCATGTTGCTGCAAACGAAAGTTGTTGCTTTGTTGCGATCTCCTCTTCAATCCTTGTTCTCGTGGCTGATTGTATTGAGTGTCTGAGGGCGAGTGGGCGGGTGCGAATACGTGTTACTGCGAAGAGGGTGTGTTTTTCAAAGAAGCCGTGACCTACTCTCAAGCATGGTACTGCCAATAGGCTTGACACCTCACGCGATATCGGACAGGATGGAGTGTCGGCTGCGTAGACGTGGTGCACGTCGCCGATCTGTCGAGATAAACGTGCTTCCGGGCTCAGCGTGTCGCGGGGCGGAATACCCGAGGCACATCCGACTTTTCCGCGCTTGCAACTTGTCCTTACTATGTCGACCCGACCAAACGACTGGGCCCCCGATCAAACTCGACACTCATCAGTGTTTTGGCTATCTTGTGTCGTGTCGTCGAGGTAAGCGCTGTGGCGTTCTTGAGCAGCTGCAAGGCCACGCGTTGACTCATCCGGATAAAAGCACGAAAGACCGCCGATAAGCCTTGATCTTACCCCCAGACCCTGTGAACGACTCCGATCAGTTTATATACCTGTCATCCCAGGCATTCCGACAATCTTGGGGTGTTACCATCATCTTTGATTCGATCAATTTAATGGATCCAGTTCTCGCAAAGCCGACCAGCGCTTGCTGCCTCACCGACGGCTCGTCATATCAGTCAAATGATCCCGAATCCAAACTCCAACAGCTTGGAGGAATAGAGACATATGTTTCGCAACCGGTAGCTCCTAACGCCAATGGCAACATTCTACTGTTCTTTCCAGACGCCTTTGGGCTCTGTGCAAAAAACTACCTCTTGATGGATAGGTTTGCTGCTCTCGGGTATCTGGTACTGGGCGTCGACTACTTTATGGGCGTATGTACAAGATCCCGCGCGTTTGATAACTCCTCGCTCACAGATACTGCGACTACAGGACTCTGTGTTGAAGCATACGGCAAACCCACTAAATGATCCGACTTTCGACCTGAAGGCGTGGAGCCTGAAACACCTCAGAGCTTCTGAAGAGATTGCTGAGAAGTGGATTACAGAGGTGTCCTCCAAGTATGGAAGCGTAGAGGGCGTGAAGTTTGCATGTGTCGGTTACTGGTGAGTTCTTCATGCCGCGCGAGCCAGTACAATCTTCTAATTTGGTTCGAAAAAAGTTGGGGTGGTCGTTTCGTCTGCCAACAACTGTCGAAGAATGGTATCTGCAGTGTAGGAGCTATGGCCCATCCGTCCTTCATGAACGAGAGCCATGTTTCCGGAGTCAATGGTGAGTAAGGCGATCAAGAAACTCCTTCAGGTCACTGAGTACAATCGTAGCGCCTCTGTACATCGCTGCTCCGAGCACGGATTCGTTGTTCATGCCTGAGCAACGCGCCAGAGCTCTTGAGATTTTGAGCAACAACGAACAGAAGTTCAACATGCAGATAATTTCTGGAGTCAGTCATGGGTTTGCAGTGAGTTTTCCTTGTATATGTGCACCACATTTGTGCTGATCTCAGACACAGACGCGCAGTCATCCTGATGACCCATATGCGGAATCGGCGTCGAAGGCAGCTTTCAAAAGCTTCACCGAATGGTTTGACTTCTGGTTATCGAAGCAGGACTGAGCGTGATCACGCGATCGCTGCTGCGCGACGTTTGAGTTGGCTTGGGCAAAGGTCGCCGTTGACGCGACGCGCAAAGAAAATTTGGACAACGAATCAACCTTTCGCGTGTCGGAATACCGAAGGCTTGTCTCCAAGAAACGACATGGAAGACTACGCGTCACTGGCCTTTTCTATCATTCGTACCTCGACTGGTAATGCGGAAATTCACTTCTTGTGTTGTCGAGACAGTTGACTTGAGTGAGCAACGGGCAAGCTGAAGCGGAGGTATCGAGTAGCTCCTTATGTGTCTGCCGCGATGGACGATGCGAGCGTTAGGAGCAACGGCTCGTTCAGACCTGGTCAAGCTGAGATTCGGACAATAAATTGGTTTGGCAGCAAGGTTTCGGCGATATCATTGGTACTTGGCGTGCTTTCTGTGGCCCATGGATTTCTCACTGAAAACCGTAATTTATCGTGATGTACCGGATACAGTAACGATAAACTGACCAATTCCAACGCCTAGTAAGAGCTTGCCATCGTGGCAAGCTTTTGCCAGCAATTCCTAGAGGATGGTAGAATATCGGTATAGATTACTATCTAACGGATTAGCATTTAAAAACGCAGCATAGGTATAATATTAAGTATACATATATATGCAAAAAGCGCCAACTAATATAGATGCTCCCTATGAGATACACTGCGATAGGAGCAGCTAAACGACTTTGCCAAGGTATGGTCATATAGCTTTAGAAGATACGTCAGACTGAAGGCGCTACAGCAGCGTTCGTAGTGGCAGTTATTAGCTGCCAAACCAATCTAATATTTGATCCTTCCAACGGTCCATGTCTTGTTTTTGCGCGATGACCAGCCCTGCCCGCCGAGCCATGACTCCGGGCGACATCATCGCAACCATCGCCCATGTCTGTCTGGCGTTCTCGTGCGCGTCTGTGTTGTTGAAAGTAGTAGTCCGATACAATTGGCTGGACGCTGGCCTCAAGTTGGATGATTGGTTCATGATTGTCGCGCTAGTGAGTTCGTCGTTCATTCAATTTTCTCATTGATCATTGCGCTGTTCGAACCACAAACGACAACTGCTTGATAGTCTGTGAGAACAGATATGGTACATAGCCTTCTGCGCAGCCATCATAGCCTTTGCGATGACCGAGGATCGGAATCCTGTCCTCACTGAGGCAGTCGCTAGCCGGCTCCTCCTGGTAAGCATCATATGAGTGTCTGTCCTTCAGATTCGCACTGACAGAACGATTTTGTAGATTCCCGCTTTGGGCGAAGCTCTTTTCATGCTCACGTCCATCGCGCTCAAGTTGTCGCTGTTGATCTTCTTTCGCCAATTCGTTCTCGAACGCAAACAACGCAATGTCATGACATACGTGACGGCAGTCTACTGCGTCATGTCAGCGATAGGCATTTTCCTCGCTCTGTTCCCCTGCGGTGCGCTTGTTCACTTGGCTAAGAAACGAGTCAACGGCCAGTGCATGCCGACGGCTGTATGGAACGGTCTGTTATACACCCACGGTGCCACTTCAGCACTTTCGGATTGGATCTTCGCCCTCTTGCCGAGACTGGTGCTATGGAGATCATCCATGACTGCGAGGAAAAAGTTGGGCGTTTCATTGCTGATGCTCTTCGCCGTCTGTGGATCGCTGTGCGCGCTCCTGAGGACGATATACACTGGTACCCTACACTTTGACGAACGCTACTACGACGCCAATCACAAGCCACACTATTATCATGTCACAGCTCTGGTCATCAATATGGCGATACTGGAGATGGGTATCGGAATTACGACAGCTTCCGCAGCGTGTCTGATGCCTCTATTCAAACGGTGCGCGGGCTGGGGCCGGCGACGTCTAAGCGCAAGAATCTCGAGGCATGACATCGAGGGGAGGAGTTGGGGAGGTGTCGTGACCACTACAAGCGGCACGAGCGCGAGACGGGGGAAAAAACTTGACTACCTCCGTCCCCGCGTTGCATAATTACAGTCTGACAATCTGGAGATGGAGATGTTGGGTATCTTGCCCTCTCTAGATACAACGACAGGACATGTCAAGTGTGGAGCCCCTCCCAGGGTCGAAATGCTTGAACAGCAGAAGAGTGGTTTTGTAAACGCAAGAATCGCTCATTAGGTCATGATAAGGAGTGACTTTGTAGGAAGCGATCTTCGAGGTCCATGAATTTCCCATCACGACGTGTCAACTCGTCAGCTTCCCGCCAATGACACCAAACGTCAGGCCCCGAAGAGGCACCACAAGGCTACCGGGCAAGTGACAGAGACTAACAAATCGGCCTATGAGATCCTGCAGTGGTGAAAGGCTTTGTCTAGGATGAGCGCAATCATCTCGTTCAATCGATTTGGCCCGATCAAGTCAAGCAGCTTTGTTGTCTCGAAGTAAAGGTTGTTGTCCAGTCATTGATGCATGGGTCCATTCTCTCAACGTGGTGACTCCCCATCAGAGGCTTGAATATCATACCATAGTCGTGGTATTCCACTTAGCTCCTAGCAGCTCTAACAATACTGATTCCCTCTCAGACATGGTTCTTTCCCAATCTACCGTCTGCAGGTAGCTCCTGACTTGTTTCTGGAGACTATACAGACTCTCTTGGCTCCAGTCAAACCGATGCGATAGTATGTCGTCCTCCCAACTCCTGATTGCTGGACCAAGTCGATCAATGCGATTATCAAAGCCTTCGGAACCTCCCCCACCTCCCAAAGCATTCGTTATGATGGGACCTGTGAGTGCCCAGCGCAGTCCAGGTCCCGATGTCACTGCCGCATCTAGATCTGCTGCCGAAACGATGCCACGACTGACTAGGCTGTAAACCTCGTTGTTGATTGCGGCCTGAAGACGATTTGCTACAAAGCCAGGGATTTCTTGATGGAGATGGATAGGTCTCTTGCCGAGAGACTTGTAGAATGCCAAGGTAGTGTCGATAGTCGTTTGGCTGGAACCAGGGTGAGGGACGACTTCAACCAATGGTATGAGGTGTGGAGGGTTGAATGGGTGTCCGACGAGAATTCGACTCGGATCATGTTGGCAGCGTCCGATGAAGGCTGACGATGGGAGACCGGAGGAAGACGAAGCGATAACCACGCCCTTTCGAGTATACATGTCGAGGGTCTCGAACAGACCTTGCTTCCAGTTCACACGCTCTGGGCCGTTCTGTGAGGAACATGATATCAGTCCCGCATGACCAAGACCGTGATCAACATCCCAAAAAACTTACTTCTTGCACGAAATCGGCCTCGGCCAGTCTTGGAACTACATCTTCGACGAACTCGTAATTGTCCGCACACTCCTTAGAAAACCCTGCTGGCAAAGAAGGCCAAGTATCCGATAGGTACTTTTCGAATCGTGCTTGCGCGTCTTCAGCAGGGTCGGTGATGATGACCTTAAGGCCTCGTGAGAGAAACAAGACTGTCCAGCTCATACCAATCACGCCGCAACCAATGACGACAACGGTACGGATCTCTTGCGACATGGTTGGGATGTGTGACGCGAATTCTTCAGGGATTGCCGAACACATTAAGCCATAGCAAAACTGGCGCAGTGAGTCTATATTTCTGCTTTTTAACATAAATTGTGTTGTTCAGTCCGAGCAGTCTGCTCGAGAGGCATTTCGGGAAGGCGGAAGTAGCTAAGCGTGAAGTCACAGCCGTTGTCGCAGCAGTATCGTCTCGGCTGAGTTGCCGCGAGCTCCCCGGAGGGGGCTTGACCGCGGCACAAGCAGGCAACTTGCTGTGGGGAGACCTTGGTGGCGATAGACCTACAATTTGGATATCGAAGTTATCGATAAATCACGCTTAGGAGCGCTAGAGAAACACCTTGTCTACCAACCATCCAGTATCTTACGGCATAGTCGATCTTACCGTTGCTTCGAAATTTCGCCAACGGCAACTCCCAGCGACCATGGCAATCAAGACAACTACAAATGCTACCCCAGAAAGCTATGGGCCTGGAACACATGTCGAAGAAAGCTTCTCACCACTGCCTGAGGAATGCAGACGGCTTTTGCGCCTCTTCGCAGCGAGAACACCCGGATTTACCAAGGACGAAGCTCTTCTCAACGGAGTACAGTTCCACGGAGATGACTTGCCTTGTATACCTGGTCCGATCAAGTCGCAAGCTGTTACCGCAGTTCTGCATGCTATGGTCGGCATTGTTGGCCTCGAGATTCTGCATCTTCGTGGTACTACCAATAGCACCATCACTCATGTCGATACCAATCACGCTGGGCTCTATCCAGCGACACCAGCTCTTGTCCACGTCGATGGGCAGACTGGACCTGCTATCATCAAATTGCCCACGGTCCCACAATGGGACAAGGATCGTCAATCTAATTCATCGCTGGTCTACCGAGCGACAGCTATCTACGAGACAGCCGAGAAAGGTGTATGGTACCAACTTCATGGGTCGCTTGACTCCTGGAAGATGCTGGCTCTCCTCGGCATTAGCAGAAGCCTCGATTCGGGCATCAATACTGATGATGCGGCTTATGACTTGATCCAACAGCGCGTTCGCACTTACAGAGCACTGGAGATTGAGCAGCTGATGCTCCAGAACGGTCTATCTGGAAACATTGTGCACTCTCCCCAAGACTGGCTCAACACCGAGATGGGAAAGTCTCTGGCTCGCCATCCGTTGATCAACTATTCGCATCAATTGGCATGTCCAGCCCTTCCGCCAGCTACGTTCACCACGGCCACCGATAAACGACCACTAGCAGGAGTCAAAGTGGTGGAATTGACACGAATCATCGCAGGAGCCGCTGCAGGTGCTGCTTTGGCATCTATGGGAGCTGAAGTGATACGTGTGAACTCTTCTAAGCTCAAGGATTACACTCCAGCTCAACCGTCGTCCTTGATGGCAGGCAAGACAACCATTGACCTGAACCTGGACGAACCTGACCATCATGCCAAGCTCATTGCACTCTTCGAACAAGCAGACGTTATTCTGCAGGGTTACCGCCTCGGCTCCTTCAAGCGTCGTGGTTTTGGTCTTGACGCCGCTTTGGAGATGGCCAACAAACGCGGCAAGGGTATTGTGTATGTCGATGAGAACTGCTATGGACCCGATGGATATTATGCAGAGCGACCTGGGTGGCAGCAGGTCGCAGACGCCGCGGCAGGAAGCTCGTACATCATGGGTCAGGCTTTCGGCTGCCCGCCCGGCCAGGGCGTGCTACCAAGTCTTCCGATCTCGGATATGTCGACAGGTATCCTGACAGCTTTGACTATCATGTGTGCTATCAGGGATCGTGCTAGATGCGGAGGTTCCTATCACGGCCATGCAGCCTTGACTGGATATAACATGGCAACACTGGACCCAGAGGTCGGATTGTACCAGCGAGACACCGTCCAAAAGATTCAGGACAAATACCAATTCGCTCCCTGGTCAAGCGATATCCACGTCGCACCTCTGTATTACCAAATTCTGGAGGCTTGGGGCCAGAAGAGCGACTTGATCAAGAACGAGAAGTACTATGTCCACTTCTCAGATTCTGTTTTCGGGAATGATCTTCGCGTACTTGCACCCATAATCAGATACCACGAGGAAAAGATTACGCCGAAATGGACATCGCCCCCAGTACCCTTCTGTCATCACAAGTATAGGTCTTTCTCGGCACAATAAGTGCATACTTGTGAGGCTTTCATGTCACGAGGAGATAGTGCAGTGGGACATGATAGGCTTTGCTTATATTCTAGACTCCCGATCACAAAAGAATGATAGCTTGACATAAAACCTCGTATATGTATTGCCTCAGCACCATATCCAGGTGCCGCTCAAGGCTCTAGAATCGTCTTCTGTTCGCTCACACTTCTACCAACTCGAGTGGAGCTGACACGCTGGCCAGATGACCGCAAGCAGACGGTGGTAGAGCAGGGACTAGACAGAAATTCTCATGAGATGAGCCTTTTTCCCACCAACATGTTTCGATGATCAAATTCCGCCCAATGCTCAGGAATCGGCTACGGTCGTTGAAACACATGGTCTGCATCCACAAGCAACTCTGGCGTTTAGGGACTGGGAGTCGTCCAAGTTTCAATCACGTTGGTGTGAGATTCTGGCGCCATGTCTACGCGTAGGATCGAGCTATCAGGACAAGCCAAGCAATGATTGATCTTTGATCCGACCCATACCACATCACAGCTGTCTCACTCATTTGCCTTGGACCAGATGTCAGCGAGCAGTGACATGCTTGGCTCCTCAAGTCGATGCGGGGTCACTCCGGGGACTTCGGCTTGGGACCGGGGACGCAGGCCAGAACTAAGTTCGAAGGATGAACCAGCTATCAACAAGGCTTAGTGCATCGTGGGGGTAACGATTGATAGCGCGAACAGTCATCATGGGCTAGTCTGCTACTCGTGTCGAATCGGACTTGAAGATGAGATAGGCTCGCACCTACTCAGATTCTTAGCTAACAGATTGTACTCTAGTACCTCCGCGCGGGTTCCCCGGACAAGCCACGATAGCTGGACTCCTCACGATAGAGACGACACACTCCGGCAGTCACTTCCAATTGGGCCTCATCGACATTGAGAGCCAAGTAGAAACCACTCTTGGAATCCAGGAGTCTGATGTATACTCAAGCGTATAAAGACACCCTCCTATCTTCTGTGATCAGCGTCCGCACTTCCAAATCGCAACAACTCCTCAAATATGTCTACTCTCGAACATCAATCACCACACTTTGCTGTGCCTGGTACCGTTCAGCTCGTCGACATCGATCATACACTGAACGTCAGGCATGCCGGCAATGGCGACGTGGTTCTTGTACCTGCTCCCTCAGATGACCCCGAAGACCCGCTGAACTGGTCACCCCGACGCAAATTGCGTTCGATCGCATGTGTGATGGCGTAAGTATCTTCGTTACTCGCAACATTGAGCAACGAGCTGACAAGGTCAGATATACGTGGTTCAAGGGCTTGTCCTCTGCCACTGTCTATGCAGTAGCTGTACCTTTGTCCAAGGAGACGGGCATTCCTGTCAAGACTCTGAACCAGGGTACCGGTTACATGTTCTTGCTTCTTGGCTGGGGTTTGTTGTTCTGGCAGCCCTTTGCTCTCCGATACGGCAAACGCATCACATATCTTCTGTCTATCCTGGGCACCATCGCTACTGGTGTATGGGCGTACGTCGAACTATCATCTTGTCGTGTTCTTCTGAGCTCTCTTTCTGACGCACCACAGCCCTCACATCAGATCCGAAGGCGAATGGCTAGCTAGATGCGTCATCCAAGGATTCTTTGGTGCTCCTATCGAAGGTCTCCCTGAAATCTCAGTGACGGACATTGTACGTATTTCTCGCTATCGACTCTGGGTCGGGATACTGATTTGGCTTCTCAGTACTTCACCCATCAACGAGGCTTCTACATGGCGTTATACTCTCTCGCAATCGCCGGAGCCAGCTATTTCGGGCCCGTCGTCAGTGGTTTCATCTCCCAATACGCCGGTTATGTATGGGTCTTCTACATCCCGGCCATGTTCCTCGCTGTCGTTTTCATCGTCCTCTTCTTCGTCATGGAGGAGACAAACTACGTAAGAGTATACTCTGACACAACCAGTCCTGGAGACTCCGAGTCTATTTCCTTGGCCGAGACCCCAGATGCTCCCACAGGCAAACAAGGCGGTATTCCGAGAGTCGTCCCTGCTACCAGGGTACTTTCTTCGAACGTTGGCCAAATCCACCGTCCCGAGAAGAGCTATTGGCAAAGAATGTCCCTGTGGACTCCCACACCTGGTCCGAGCATTCTAGCATCGGCGATCAGAAGTTTGAGATTCCTTGGATGGCCAGTGATATTCTACTCTGGCTTCTCGTATGGATCATACTTGGTTTGGTCCAACATGCTCAACGGAACAATCTCGCTGATTTTGACCAAACCACCATACAACTTTAGCACCTCGCAAGTTGGTCTCAGCTATCTGTCTGGCTGCCTCGGAGTTCTCCTCGGCGGTCTGGCTTTTGGTAAAATTAGCGACTGGTTGGCTCTGAAGCTTGCACGCCGCAACAATGGTATCATGGAGCCCGAGCATCGTCTCTGGCCTTTCTGCGTCACCATGGTCCTCGTACCTGCATCCCTGATCCTTTGGGGTGTTGGTGCCGCTCATCGTGAGTTCACACAATCCCCGATACACTTGCTAGCAGAAACCAGAAAGCTAATATTCATCAGACATCCACTGGTTCGGCCTGATCGTCGCTTTCGGCCTCGTAGCTTTTGGCGTTGCCCTCAGCGTCTCGATCTCCGTCAACTACATGGTCGACAGCTACCACGACATCAGCGGCGATGCCATCACCACAATCATGCTAGTCCGCAATACCATGTCCTTTGCAATGGGTTATGGGTGAGTCGAATTGGACCCTTCCAATGTCCTGTATGGGACCATAGACTGACACAGATCATAGCGTGACTCCGTGGGTCGAAGGGCTCGGCACACAAAACTGCTTCCTCTCTGCTGCAGGAGTCAGTGTTGCGGCCTCAGGAGTCGCATTTGTGTTCTTGAAGTGGGGCAAAAAGTTCCGTGAGCGCAGCGCGAATTCGTACTACAACTTGGTCGACAAGCGAGCTGGCTAGGTAGGGCAGAGGATATGCTCACCATGTTTGTGAAAGTGATGTGGGAAGCAGAGTGTATGGGTGGGACGACAAGATATGATGGAATGTGATATGGATAGATGCGATCCTAGGCGCCGTGGATAGTTTGACTTGGTCTTTGTAAGTTGTCCACTGTGACAACGTATGTCACATATATTCTAGCCCTCGCTGTCGTCATAAATTCTGGCTAACAATGCTACACCTTCGCGAGACCAGCAGCCAACTCGTCCTCGATTTGTTTTTCCACTGTCTTAATGTCCAAAATAGCGATAACAGACACAACCCAAAGAAGTCCTGCACCGGCACTCGCGAATCCGGAGATGACTTTGACGTCCGGATGATCATCTAAAGAGATGACAATACACACCATTAAGGATACGCTGAACAGCACCAAGAGTATACTGAACAAGATCCCTGCAAGTGAATATTAGTATTGATTGTCCACTCCCAGCGAATCAAATCAAGAAGCTTACATCTTACTTTGGGCTTGCCTTTTTTCCTCTGCGTGAGAATAAACACTTTGGCTTCCTTGTAGACCATCCATGCATCTTCAAGACCGAAGATTTCCGCGTAAAGCGACGGCGTGTAGCTTAGCAGTTCGCGCCCAGTCCCTAGATTCCATTTCGAGGCGATCCGTCTGGCATGGTCTGGATGCAATTTTCGATTCTGTACGAGCAGCTGTACAAGAAAACTGCGAACTTCATCTGGGCTTGCTGTGTCATTTGGAGCAGTGAGCTCAGCTGGTGATGCGATTGTGAGATCGGAGTAAAGCGGAAGACTTTCGAGGTTCGTGCTGTCGTCGCTAGTTGATCTTGAATTGGAAGAAGATGATCTGCCCATTTTTCCAAAAATTACTACGACGACCGTCCTTGACACGACAGCTTTGTGACTTGGTCAGAGAAAGAAAACTGGTCACATTAAAGACAGGCGGGGCTCACATATGGATAACTGGGCGGCAATCTCGGCCGCGTCGCAATTGCCTCGAGCCTTGGGGCAAGTCTGGCCAGCCATTCGACTGGCCAAACGTCCTGGGTGATAAGCTTTGCTTTCAAGCTTTCTGATCTGCTGTGAAACCTTGCTTATTTCCGGCCAATATAATGAGGATTGATTCGCGTCATCAGCTGTCTCCTCCGCGGACGCCCGTACAGCTGTTTCCTGAAGGATTTGGACCACAAAGCTTATCACGATGATGCCTAGAATACGAGAGATCCAACGGCGTCCTTATAGAGACACCGTGATTCGAGGCCGCCCCTCGTTCCTTATTACCCAGTCCTGTTCGCACCAGTTTTCCCTCAGTACCACTTCTCACCGCACCGATGTTGTCAATCACAGCGATATCTACATTTCTTCTTTCGCTAGCCTCTGCCGCAGTTGTCAGGCAACCTCAACAACCGATTGTTCCTAGCACCACAAACTTGACAGATCTGATTCATGTCCGGAAGTTCGCTATCGATGACATGAACGATGCGAAATTCCGGCTACACCATGTAGCTGCCAGGGCATTGCTCGGAGATGTTTCATACATCACGCTTCGGGAAGCAGAGATGGAACAGCGAGAACAGGATATCTGGCAGTATCTTTGGGACCATGACCTAGAATGCCCCGACTGGGACACGGACACCGAGAATCGACCACTGTTTGATTATCGCCCGAAGTTGTGGTTCTCAGGCGATCGTGTGTTTGACGTTGATCCAGCACACGTACCTGGTGAAGTCATTACTGCTTTGCACAAGCTATCAGAGGAAGAATGGGAACACCGTCAAGACATGAGAAACCAACGCATCTGCAATGTCACCAAGAGCGCGGATCCGGACTCCAATGTGCCTTTCGAGATACCAGAAGAGAGCGGGCACGTTGTCATCCCAGACGAGTACATGCAATACCTGATTCCAGAGGACGTCATCAAAGAGGAGGATAAGCTTATAGACGAGATGTGGAAAGCAAGAGACGACTCGAACAAGAAGAAGATCCTGGCAGGCAAGCGCTCTGTGAGAGATGTCAAGATGCCTGATCTTTCGAAATGTACCAAGGAAGAGCGACACATCTCTAGAGGATTCTAGATGATTTTCCAAGATAGCAAGTTGATTGTGTCTCACAGGCAGTCATCTATCATATCATGGGTCCTCTTTTTGATGAATCTATTCGAGATTGAGGGGTGCTATAGTGTGTCCTTAGTTTCGAGCGCAGCAAGTTAGCTATGTACAGCCTTTATGACAAGCACAGTTGTTTTGGGATATGAAGTCAACGCGTGTATGGGTAGTCCTGATGTCGATGATGATCACAAGCTCTCTTGGGATGAACCACCAAGGGGGGCCGAAGAGGGAGTAACACACACCGTCGTCTGTAGATCGTCTTACAATGCGCTTAATGGGTGACGGCAACTATATCTATATAAGTTGTTTCTCCTCTGGACTGTTGTGACGGATAATGCGCGAGAGCAGCCGCGGTGGTTAACGCGTAATGTTGATAGCACGCCTCTAGTACCCAGTGCTAGGGCTAAGTGGACTGGACTTGGACACCTCTCTATCCAAGTCCATTAATCCAGTCTAGTTAAATTGGATCTGCAAGTGTATCTTTTTGGAGACAGGGTCGTACATGCAGCGAGAATGTCTCAAGATCATGAGCGTATATGACGTGACTATCCAGACGACAAGCACAGGCGTGCATGGATGTATGTTCCAGACTTTCTGGTACCTATTCTACGTTAATCGGAGAGCAGGAGTAACTCCATTCACTTCTTCCTTGTTCAGTTCAATTCCGAATATCTCTCTCAGTGACTCCACACGTTCGTCTTCCGTCGTACAGACTTTGACAACATTGCGTTCAGCCCCGACACTCTCCCTGATCGTTTCCTTGAACAAAGTAACACTGCCCACGATCTTCTCCTGCTCCATAATCATCTTCGTAGCCGTGACATTGCGAGTGAAGAACGAATTGCTATGTGTCGATGTAAACCAAGACATGACTTCATAGTCTTGAGGTAAGAACTCAGTCTCGGTAAAGCAGTATGTAGGAATCCACTTGTTGTCTGCTCCGCGAGAAGGGTCGTAACACACATCGTAGCACCACATATTTGGTGCATCTAGTCCGCTTGCATATGACTCAGAAATGGCTCTTTGCTGGATGCGAATCTTCCTAGGTGCGATACTGGTGGTTTCGTAGTTGTCGCGTAGTGGATACGGCAGGTTTGGTCCCATGGCTCCCATGCCCACATCGACCACGTACCAGCCGTCGTCATCAAAGCGGACAAGGTTGAGCATATGATTCAGTCCGTCGTAGGTTGCGGCTTGGTTTTGACGAACATCCGGGTAGGGACTCATGGCTCTCGATACACGACCACCGCAGTTGCGGACTTGGTAACCGAGCGAGCGCAAGATCGTTGCGAAGAAACTGTTGTTCTCCATGCATCGACCGCCACGGCGCTTCTTGACGAACCAAGTGTAGAGTTCAGACAAGTCAAGTGTCACTTTTTTGTTGGCTGAGTAGTGCAATATAAGATTCTCAAATGGCACATTGCAAGTGTGGTGGCGGCATAGTGCTTCTAGCAAGGGGAAGCCTTGCTCCTTGGTCTTGGCAAGGGATGCATCCGAGAGAACGTTTTTGTATCGTTGCTCAGGAAGGTTGATCCGCGAGAAGTAATCAAGTAATTCGGGTTTGCTGTATTGGCGACGATTGGACTCTTCAGGCAGCTGAGTGAGTGAGGTCGGGGTCGTTTCGCTCATGATGTGTATCTGGAAGGTCAAGCAGTTGAGATCTTGAATGAGATGATCGCAAAGGCGCCAGGTGGATTTAGTCGGGCCGGCTTTCGTAGTATGATCTTGGGAAGGAGCAAGCAACCGTCCGTTTATGAGCGTCTGACTGAAGCGATGACTGTGCGGTTGAACGTTGCGCCCGAGAAATAGGGACTGAAGCTCGGACGCGTTCGGGGGCGGCTGTGTCGGGGAGTGATTCCGGATCATCCGGCCACTTTGTCCTTCTATGGTACACGCGGCTAGGCCGCGATTGTGCCAGTAATGCCAGTAGTGCCTGATTATGCAGTCTATCACCTTGAGATTATGCATCATATAGCTCCCGTTACATGAAGTATATTTTGACCTCCCTGCTTATGTTTTCCGACTTCATCATATCATCATGCCGTCCCAACTCGCTGCTGCATATGTGTTGTTTTCGAAAATCGACGGATCAAACATCTCTGATGCGAAAAGCTGGTAGACTTCGAGGTCGCTTGCATCGAGTGGTATAGTTGCGAAGGGATCCGCCACTTCAGCATCCCGAGACGCATCTGGCCACTCTGACTCGGGAACAGATCGTTCGCCGGCATTGCCCTCGAGATGGTCTCTTGTTTCTGTAGAATACCATCAGCTGCCTTGAATCCGCTGACGTCGTGAGCGGCTTTGAGACGTACCGCGGAAACTACACATGACTGAAAGCTGGTGAATGTACTTCCAGCAGCTGAGCACCAGACTGTTATCATGATCCAAGTTCTGAAATATCGTCTCTGTCTTTTTGAGCAGCTTCTTCGAATGATCCAGAGCGGTGAAATCCACTGGCTTGCCCTCGTGTTGGATCCACAGCAAGCGTGCGCTGATGACCAGAGATGCAGTGAACACTAATTTGCAAGTATGTCAGGAGTCTCATCATCCATAAAGGTTTCAGTTCTACTCACCATAATATAGCGAGAAGTACCAGACTCCAAGGTTGTTTTTGACTGTCGGACCAGCAGTGAGTATGGCATATGCAATCTCAATGGTGCTCTCCGCTGATTTGATACATTCCTGAGCTTCAGCCATCGCCAGCTGAACGAAGTAGGATGGATCGTTAGCTGTTTCGCTGTTCGTTCCAAAGAGGTGACCTATTGTAGTACTGAGCAACGGCCTGTGAATGAGTATATTGAGGTTGTGGTATCGCAGCGTGAGTATGACACGCAGTCGATTGACAGGGGTGTATAGGGCAAGTATCTCAGACTGTGGCTCGCAAAGAGCAAGATAAGGCGGCAGACTTGCTGCCCACACACGAAGAGTCTTGCGAAACTCCATGGAAGCTTGAAGAGCGGTCAAGTCGTCTGGATCACGGTCCTTATGCTCAACATTGGCAGAGTACAGTTTGACCAAGCATTTACTCATTATTTGGTACAGCTCGAAGGAGACAGCAAGGAAGTCGCCCGGGATATCTGCCCCGTTCTCCTGAATCAATGGACTCTTGTACAGCCTCGAGGATGGTTGCCGATTGACGGCTTGTTCGTCTGGTATTCCAGCTGGTCGTCCGAAAGCCACGCTCAGTACTTTGTCCATGCAGTAGATGACAATCCAGGTCCGGCGCCGATATTCTTCCTGTACGGGATATAGATGCATACCAGCCACGGTGCTATGTAGACCCAGTGCCATTGCTGAGCGTGTGAGAAGTCCATGGATGTTCCACGCTTGTACCGAGCGCTGAGTGCCCTGACAGTAGAGGACAACCAAGAGCAAGTAATGGACAATTTCTAAGCTAATGACATGTTTCGAGAGCTCGCCACAAAGACCGATCGCCCGGCGGTAAAACACTTCTGAAGCTTCGAAACGCTTCTTCGCTGACGGGAAGTTGTCTCGGTCGAGCATAGTTGCCATGGCGAACATTGTGTTCAGAGTGCCTAGCCAAGTTCTTCGAACTCTGGTGAACCCGGTCGCCAAACACTCGGCGTAGATCTTCCTGGTCGTCTCTTCGTGAATGAAAGGAAAGACTACGCCGACTGTGTTGAAGTATAAGTCCAATAAGCTATCCATCTCCACGACCGTTGGGAGAAAGGTGATCGACGAATCTGATGAAGATGAGGCTGCCATGTTCGCATGCGACTGAGTATGACTGACGTTTGCGGTGTTGCCGCCATCGACAACGCTGAAGTTGTCACTGGCCCCAAGAGCGGTTGTATCAGAGTGACGAATAGTACCAACAGCTCTGAAAAGGAGTTGCGTGAAGTTGATGTTGGAAGACTCGCCGAAGAACGCCGAGGTATTCTCCTCTACAAAGATCATAGCCATACCGTTCGTGGCCGCGTCTTCATCTTGCGGTTCTTCTAGCCCAGTGACACGAGTGTGATTCTGATCATTGACAGGATCCGCAAGTGGGGAGACATGGTGATGCGAGAGCCTGGCAGAGCCACTCAAGTGGTTGTCAACACAAGGCGTGAGATGTCCCTTGAGCACGTCATTGAGTCGCTGTAAAGAGCGCTCCATGACGGCCATGCGGTTTTGCAAATCAGACATATAGTCCTTGCGGACAATCACATTTGTAGCCGACTCGCTCGACTCATATTGACAATCGAAGTCGAGCGAGACGCAGGATGAACATGAAGGTCGTTGTCCATCACACCTATCATTGGCACCGTGTCAACTTGCATTATTCTACGTGCGTCTTTCGAGACCTGTAGACAGCGAATACCTGGATTTGCGAGTGCGACACGCGTTGCAAGCCAGACCAATGCGCCGTCTCTTGTTGGCCGAAGGGGCGGGCTCTTCACTGTGATCCGAACGATGCCCTGATGGCTGAGCCGCCATGTCTCGGGGATTGAATGGATGGGTGAACGACAACAGTCCGTGGGGGAAGTAAGGGAAAGAAGCCGGCAGCGCGACAGCACAGGGCGAGAGCTTCCATTTGCACGACCGGGGTGTGTGCAGATGGCGATTCGCAGCTATCGGGTGTTTGCATCCACACTTGTTTTAGGTTCAAGCCCGACTTCAGCGGCTGCCAAGAGTCACCGATAGGGTATACCTCGCCGAGCGGCCGGCAGCGATTACTGGAATGCATTGTGAATGCTTATTCTGCGCCGATAGGATCAATTAAGGTGCTGACTCATGTGCTGCCGTTACTCCCCGCCGTCCCCGGGCGATATGCAGCGGATTGTATCCGATCCTACCCCGCAGTCTTGTCGCGGCATGGCCACGACGATGGCTGATAGTGCTCAAGCGATGAACAATATAGTCCTGCATTAACCACACGACATGGTGCAAGAACCACAATCACCCACGCAAGACACTATGATTAGCAAGATCACTGAAGATTTCCATGTCGCCATCGTTGGTAAGCATGCTTCTTGTGTGGAATGACGAAGCCTTAGTAACGTGAATGCAGGAGCCGGCATTGGAGGCCTGGCTCTGGCTATGAGCCTTCACAAAAAAGGTGTTGCATTTACCCTCTACGAAGGTGCGAAGGAGTTCTCGGTCGTAGGGTAGGTCCGATGAAACCACTGCTGGTCATGAGGTGCGTTTGTCTGACTGCTACACAGGGCGGGCATTGGCTTCGCTCCAAATGGAATGAGGACCATGGATCTTATCGAGCCAGAGTTTCGTCCTCTTTATGAGAAGATCTGCATCGGAAACAAAGGAGAAGACAAGCAAGACATATTCTTCGAGGGGATGCTTCTTGAAGAAGGTCTTGGTACGTATACCTGGGGCAGTATCATGCTACCTCTTACTTACTGCGAATAAATTCTAGGTCAGGACCAGCCATGGTTCGGAAAGTCTGCTTGGGGCCATCCTGACTTCGATCGCAAATCCGTGCGTACCGCTGGCTGGCTATTTGCTCGTCCGGATCTAGAACTGACTCGACCCAGGCACACAGGAAAGCACTACTGGAGATCATGACCAGTTTTATTCCCATTGAGAACGTCAAGTTCAACAAGTATCTCGAATCAATCGAGCAACATCCAGACAAAGTCGTCCTCAAATTCACTGACGGCGAAGTTGCTGAAGCCAGTGTGCTTGCCGGAGCCGATGGTATCAAGAGTATTGTGCGGGAGCATGTTTTGAAGTCATCATACCCTAAGGAAACCGCGCCGGTGTACGCCGGTGCATATTGCTACAGGGCTGTCATTCCCATGTCAGAAGCATACTCGATTCTGGGCGATCTCACAGATGTCGCCAAATTCTACTTTGGCCACAAGCGCAGCGCCGTCACATATCGCATCACCGGAGGCGAAGAATTCAACTTCCTTTTTTGCGTAGCTGACGACAAGCCTTGGACAGTGGAGAGAGCAGTAACGATGAAGACAACACACGAGGATATGATGGATGACTTCAGAGGCTCAGGCGTGGATGCACGCTTCATCAAACTACTCGCGAAGGCACAACCTGTCAAATGGGGCTTCTTCCATCATTGGCGCACATCAACCTACAACAGAGGTCGGGTCGCTCTTCTCGGCGACGCGGCACATGCTTCTCTGCCGTTCCAAGCTGCAGGTGCTGCTCAAGGTCTGGAAGATGCTTTGGTGTTGTCGAATGTGCTCGCAAAAATCACCGGCGTACACGAGACGCCTTCAAACCTGACACCATATATCCATATAGGTCTCGATGCTTATGACTCTGTACGACGTCCTCGAGCTCAACGGCAGTTGGAACAGGCTGCGGAAGTCGGACAGATGATATTCTTCCAGCACGAGGAGGCGGGGTCTGACATGACAAAGATACTACCCAGACTGCAACAAGGACGGTTTGACTGGCTATGGTTTCATGACATGAACGAAGACGTTGTCAAGGCTCTAGGTCAGATGGAGCAAAATACTCCAAAGCGGATGGAAGCTAGTCTCTAAGGAAACATATCTTAGGTAATGTAACAACTCAATGAAGTCAAGGGATCTTGAATGTCATGCCCAGGATCGCTACATTATTTACTCAACGGGTTGTCTCTCCATATTGCAAAGTTTTCCTGCCCCATTTCCCTCATGGATTTAGCAGCCATTCTCGCAGAGCTCTGCCGCCACTTGCTTATCAAGACGAGATAACAGACATTGCTTTTTGCACCAGTATTGGTCATGGACAATGAAAATTCCAGACTTTATAAGTGTATCGCTACGTGCGAGCGGCAAGATCTATGAGCTCTATCTCCGTCCCTCTGAGCATTACACCCCTTGCTGAGCCTTGAGGCGAGCTTCGTTTTTCTGTCATAAACATTCAAGTGCCTCCAGGGTTGCTTGAGACCTTCTCGACCGTGACATCCTCATTCTCACCGCACGTCACTACGGACGTCAGCAACTTGTGACTCTCCCTCATGCAACAAACTTACTATCTGCAGTCCACGAAAGCGCACAGATCCCCGACACACCATTGGCGAAGAACGTATCATATGTGCTGTCACCAGCATTCGCACTAGTCAAATACGATCCAGTCTGATCATTCTGCTTCATCGCGCAATTCTTGGGCGTACCTGCAAAAGTGGAATCGCAATCGAAGTAGAAGGTGTTACCATTGAAGCAGTCGGCGGTGGCTTTGAACAGCCAGCCCCCTGCTTGACAGGGTGCATAGCCGCCTGGGTTGGGCGTGGTGTAGACGATGTTCCTGTTGCTGTCGTAGATGGTGAAGCTGCCGCTGTGCTGGGCGCCGCCGCCGACGAAGCCGTGGTTTTCGCCAAACTCGGCGTAGAAGGTGTTGTCCCGTTTGACGAGGCTGTCCGTCGCGACAGGCGAGGCCCTGGTAGCCTGCGAAAAGGCAAGGATGAGGGTAGCGAAAGAATATCTGGAAAGCATGATGAATAAATTGACTGATTTGGAGCAAAATTGGGGCCGAACCTGACAGGTTATATGCCATCAGTTTGCTTGCGATCAACAGATCATTGAGCTACGGGCCCAGAGTGATGGCATTACTGTGGGACCAACATTGGGGATACGAGTCGAAGGATGCGATGTGGAGTCGACGTTTGGGGTATGACAAGCTGGGGATGGTGATCGACTGTGTTGTGGGTCTTCGCGATTGATCTGAGATAAGTCTAGTGCTTGGCAAAGGAGCCATGAAGCGATCTACGCACTACAGAAAAGGAAAATTGAGACAAAAAACAACGAAAGATCTGCTCATGACACTCTTCAAGCCCTGGCCTTGGCTCCCTGGTCCAAACGTCCGTCCTCAACCCTCAACGCAGGATTCCTCGAGAAGATACTCAGTATCGACAAGTACGCATCCATCACCACCTCGGGATCGGTACTCGAATACCTGTCGCTCTGCAGCTTGATAGTGATTAGAGGGTCCTTGTTAGGGTCATCACTCATCTCTAGCACGACATCAAATGGTGACTTGGCCCTGGGAGTCCGCGAATCAACAATCTTCGCGTTGCCGATGGATCCGCTTTCGGCTTGACCTTGTTTGTAGTCAAAGACTGCCTGGAACAGAGGTGCTTGTGACTCTGGCTCGATGGCAGTGGGCTGCGATAGGCCAAGGTGTCCCAGTATGGCAGCGTAGGGTGTCGCGCTGTGCAAAAGAGCTGCGCGCATCTGCTCCTTGACAGCGACAAGAGCTTCGCTGAAGATCTTGTCAGACGTGTAGCCCAGTCGCAGAGGCAAGAAGCTGGCAAACTATCCCATTGTGGCTTGATCGGAAAGTGAAGAGCGGTTTGTGTCGGCAACACCGATGCAGACATCCGAAGTGCCGGTCATGCGAGCCAGGAGAACGTAGTATGCAGCAAGATAGAACTGCATCGGGGTCATCTTGTGCTTACGACCGCGATCCTTGATGCGTACGGCCACCATCGGGTTGAGACGTGCTGATGCCTCGTGCTCATTCCAGGATAGCGAAGTCACAAAATGCTTGCCTGGGACATTGAGAAGAGGCTGCTGAGCAGGCAGCGTGGCGAACAGCTTGGACCAGTACAACAGATCGCTACTCAGCTCTTCAGACTCGATTTGACTTCTTTGACGAAGTGCGAAGTCGACATAGCTTGGTGGCAGTTCAAGATGCTTGCCATGATACAGTTGACCAACCTCGACAAAAACATGCTCGGTAGTCCAGCCATCGCCGACAAGACGATGATAGGCAAAGACTAGGAGATGCTCGGTGGGTGACCAATGGAAGTCGACCACCTTCGAGGTATGGCCCATCGCTACATCATACTGGTAGGCCTCAAGTTCAGCGGCTCCTTTCTCGGCAGATGCCCGGTCGACGACTTCCACAGCCTCGAAGGCGACTCTTGGTGATCTCATCACCGACTGCACGGTCTTAGATGAATCACTTGGACCAGAAATGAAGCATGTCCGGAACGCATCATGGCGCTGCAGAGCCTGATTGAAAGCATAGCCCAGTCTGCTGAGATCAAGCTCACCTCGCATATACATGCAGATTGTGCTATTGAAGACTGTGGGATCGAGACCAAGTTGTTGTTGCTTCCAGGCGTACTCTTGAGTCAACGAAAGCGGCGCGGTGCGCTCCACACCATCAATTTCCCTGTCCGAAGGTGATGGCGAAGAAGACAGCGTTGTCGGGGTCGACGTCTCAGTGTACTTGTCGAGACTGCTCGCCTCGTCGGAAGGCTCGGAGTCCGAGTGCTTGACCTGGCGATTTGTTACCGGGACGATGGCTTCAGCAGATTCCTGACTCTCGCTGTAGGCTAATGGTATGACCGAAGCTGAGAGGCGGGTCATGGCCTCGCTCACGAGGTCGGAGATTGAAGCGCCACCAAGGATCTTGAGGAGAGGAATATCGATGCTCAAGTTTTTGGAGAACCATGTACCAATGATGACGGCGCTCAAAGAATCAACACCTTGATCAATCAGGATAGACATCAAGTCTAGCTCATCAGATGCTGCAATCTGTAGCGCTCCGCGAATCTTGACAGATAGGCCTTCCAGAATGATTGCACGAACGTCATCCATGGTGTCTGCGCTAAGCAGACGCTCTTGAACCGAGCCAGCAGAGCCAGCAGATTCGAAGCCCTTACCACGACGCGAAGCAAGCTTGTAGTATGCTAGACGTGGGTCATCAAAGTAAGAAATCTGATCGCGATCGGCTGGGTCAATGAATGGCATGCCCGTAAAGTGCATGAAGCTCCCATTCGTTGACCTCGTCGAACATGAACCGAACGACATCGTACTCCTCTTCATGGCCGGCCCTGGCGATGAAACCGACGCCGTACACGGCACCGATATCAATCGTGGATCCAGCCATGCCACGTGCGCGTCGGTATTGAGCAAGTGCATGCGTATATGCATTGGCGGCGCTGTAGGCTGCCTGTCCAGGGTTGCCAGACACCATGACGAACGACGAGAACATGACAAAGAAGTCGAGAGGGCTCTGCGGATCTGACAAGCGTTCATTGAGCAAGCGGGCCCCGTTGACCTTAGGCGCATGTACCATCTCCATCATTGAGAGATCCATGTTTTTGAACATGACGTCTTGCAGCACCAGTGGCCCGAAGGCCACACCAGCGATTAGAGGCATTGTTGCGCGAATACTGGCCAGGCCAGCGTCGAGCGAAGCAAGATTGGACACATCCCTAATCATCGTTAGCGTTGATCGTGGTGCACATTATGGAAGACTTGCATAGGCAAAACCATAACATTACCACCAATTGACGCGATGTCCTCGATCCACTCCTGCTCTATTTTGGGAGACCGACTTGAGAGCACAACATGACGAGCGCCCCCCTCAATCATATATCGAGCGATTGAACGTCCAAGGTCGCCTGAAAAGCCGACCAGGAGGTAAGTCTTGTCTGATACAAAAAGCTGGCCTGTCTCGATGGAACGAGTACGGGCGTTGATTTTCGCTTCAGCTTGCCAGGAGACGATAGTATCAGCGGGGAGGGCATCCTTAGTGGACATTAACTGGCTTGGTACAAAGATGGATTGTGGCTCGCAAGTTGGGAGGACGTCAAGCCTAGACACAGCATCCTGGAGTCGCGCAGAGGCGATTCGATTGCAACTCTGCGATGGTACCGCTGCAGATTGCTGGAGGAGATGATCCAAACAGAATACAGAACAGCTGCGTGGAACTTTTGCTGAGAGTCTTCGACCCATATCAGTACCCTCTCTGGTCAGGTTCATCATCCACAAGGACGAGACGTGTTGTGGCAACTTCCTCGAGAGCTCGCGTTGTGTTTTACGCTGGTGCAACTGTACCCATTCGCCGATACTGCTCACAATTTGACTATCGGTGGTCATAAAGACGACTCTGATCCCAGCAGCAGTACTTCGTTCTATCGTTGGTTCCACGAGCATTGAGGGAGGCTCGAGCACAAGGATGGTGGTTCCAGGTGTGGCATCCAGCGCCAGATTTTGAGCCATCAGATTAGCAAGCAATGCCGGTAGCACACATCTAGCGTGACTTTCAGAGCTGAGTCGTACCAACTGATCGCTGGCGACCAGAGCAGTGGAAGTGTTCTCGGCGGCCAGAACGACAACAGCTTCACCAGATGCTGAGACATGACCTTGGATTAAGTTGTAGAAGCCCAATCTACCGACACGTACAGCCTTGGCCAGTGAGTATGTCACTTCAACCTTTGTTTTACCTGCGTCAGCCACGCTGGGAACGCGGCGATCTTCAAGATGTCTGAAGAACACCGTGCCATCTTCTTCGGTCAGTTCCAGCATTTCCCGGGTAGGATCCACCGCAGTGCTGATAGGACGGCGGTTACTGTTTAGTCGGTTGTTCTTGGTCATATCCGACTTGAGACGCGCCACAACGATTTGGCCATCACGTAGATAGAGCTCTGGTTCTTGTGTCCACAAGATATCGCTTTCCTCGTGATTTGCGCCATCCTCAAGGCGGTGAACGGTGTCAACCAGGATCTTTGCGGTCAGATTGTCCGCGTTGTCAACGTCGAGAACTTGAATCTGGATCTTGACATACTCTAGGCGCAGAGTACGGAGGAGACCGATGGTTGTGCCCTGATTGGGATGGTCGACCCAAGCGCTTTCTGTCACCCACAACACATGGCTTGCATTATTAAAGGTCGACTGGAGAGCGTCAAATCTATCGTCATCGAGTCCAGCGAACGTCTCTTCGTCGAGCTCAGAGAGTACGATGAATGTTGACGTAGGATCGATCTCAGCATCAATCACGTCCTTGATGCTGTCCACGGCCTGTACCTCGCGATGTGGCATAGCAGAAGGTAATGTCTCCAACAATGAGTACGTTTTCGAAGTCTTGCCTCCAATAACAACGACTCGAGGATAGCCGTCCTTGATCGGCGACCCTGAAGGTACATCGAGCCGCTTGATCAGATCATTCACAGCGTGACTGCTGAACACACTGTTGGGGAAGATGGTGCTGTCCGGGTCGAGGGTTCGGCTGTCGATTCCAGAGAAGCCGGTATCCTTGAGGATTTTGTCCCACTTGTCGTAGGTGACGAAAGGCTCATGGATGCGGCCGTCATCATGTCCAGCCCACCAATCAGCGAACAGACCGAAAATGAACCCAATACGTGCATGTTCGCGATGTGTCACTTCAATAATGACGAGCTGACCGCCAGGTTTGAGAAGCTTGCGGACGTTAGCCAGAGTTTCTTCGAGCTTTGGCGTGGCATGAAGCACGTTCGAAGCGATAATGAGGTCATAGGAGTGCAGCTTATAGTCTTGCTCTGCGGGCTCTCGACGGACATCAAGCGGGCGGAACTCCATCTCGTCCGCATGTTTGGCGAACTCCTCTGCAGCTTGTTCGAAGAAAGCGTTCGAGATGTCGGTGAACGTGTAGGTGTTGAAGGACACCTGTTCAGAGTTGAGGAAGTATCTGGATGCACCTCCGGTACCCGAGGCAGCAGACGCAATGGCATTCGACTACGGTACTGAAGAAAGCAGATCATGCACAATCCGATCCAGCTCACCGGTTGAATGTCATACCACCGTGAATTGTCTGCAAAGTAGGTCAATCAGTTTATCGACTGTCGATCTGATGTGGCCATGATAAGGGTATCTTCCTCGAGCTACAGAAAGAAGGATCATATTGGACATAGATTATTATCATGGCCCACCCTCTTTTCGGGTAAAGTCGCGGATCATGGGACTTGTCGGATGTGTGAACCTGTATAGAATCTACACAACTTTCGACATCAAGACTGTTTGCAACCTGCTGAATCCAATACTGTTGCTTCCAAAGATCTTGTCATCGTCTGCAGACTGTATGTTTGTAGTAGCTGAAAGCCATGGAGTTGAGTTCACATTACTATATTGTCCCTAGAAACTACAGGCTGATATCTTTGTTAGCAACGCTGGGAACGAGGATGGTATTTGTAGTAGCTACACGGCTAGCGTACGTGGTAGAGACGCACAAAAAACAGTCTTCGCTCATTCCACACGACAGGGTAATTCACATGGAGACAACGACAGGCCTTTATGCTTCATAGGTAGTCAGATACAAGCAAGCTAGTCAGTCAAAGTGCAGGAAGTCGTCCTGGACTAAGGACTGCAACACAAGGAACATTCAAAAGCTTGACTGCTCACACATCCGTGCTAAGCTAGCTAAGAAGAAGCTTAGAAAGTGATTCGCATATCTCTTGCGCAAAGCAGCGGCACCTTTCCGAGAAACCAAGGTCAACAAAGCAGAAAAGATCTGGAAAAGGTCGACGGAGAGAAGGACAAATGGAAGTCGTATTCGAGTCGCTCAGCCAGTAAGTACGGATCAGATCATACATTTCCACAAAGCGCTGCACGCGACGAGGTTACAGGCGAACCAGGTATTCACGAGATATGTCGAACTTCTTCACGAAAACCTAGGCCATGGTTTCGGAGCACATGGAGTTTGATACCGCGCTACGTGAGCTTGATGCCGAGGCGCAGACACGGTGTTGCGATGCCCGAGGGCCGGCGACGAGAACCTCGAGGCCGTCAAATCTCGGGACGTAAGCGAGTGTGTGGGCTTTTGGCGCTGAGGATACGAAACGGCTGCCCTAACGCTAACGACGGATCTCGATGTCAGCATCGGGGTTGCAAGCGAAAGCGTAAATTGTCAACATGGCTTCTTCACGCAGGAACGGCAACCAATTCACAAGCTCTGGTAGTCCGAGGACCTGGTTATGCGATTTTATTCGTCCACGCTGATAAACCCTGCGGAGAGAAAATGTCCCGCGTCCGACCCAGCTTGGCAATCTTCTTATATAAAAGGTCACACAATACATTTCGGACGGTAAGCATCGTTTCAAGTCTTCTCCGTCAACATGAAATACATATCTGAAGCAGAATCTCGGCGCCTCATCAGTCACAAGATTGCGTTCAAGGCGGTCAGAGAGGCATTGATAGCTGCTGTTACAGACAGCACATCGACTGTGTTTCCCGCCGTCGTCGCGCACGCTTCTCAACGCCACAATGTCTTCACGATGAAGTCGGGGACCACCTCCACCATCTCTGGCCTGAAAGTTGGCTCTTACTGGCCAGAGAACAACTCGAGAGGTGAGCCGAACCACAATACGACAATCCTACTACTCGATCAACGAAACGGAAAGGTCACTACTGTCATCGAGGCTGGAGAAGTCAATGCCTACCGCACGGCAGCTGCGGACGCCGTGGCTGCTTCTGTTCTCGCTCGTCCCGATTCCACCAACCTTGCCATATTTGGCGCGGGGCATCAGGCGTTCTTCGAGTGTTTGGCTCTATCACGTGTTTTGCCGATCAGGAAAGTTCTAGTGGTTGCAAGAGACGAGAACAAAGCTCAAAGGATGATACTTAAACTAGCTGAGCACAATATCACGGCTGTCGTTGCTCCTGGCGCTCAACAAGCTTGCGAGGATGCTGATATAGTGGTAACTGCCACACCATCGAAAGCTCCTCTTTTCGACTTCGCCTGGATCAAACCGGGCACACATATCGCTTGTATGGGAGCAGACTCCAAGGGCAAACAGGAACTGCCTCCGGAGCTGTTCCCAGCCTCACGCCTTTTCTGTGATCTGCCTGCTCAATCTCGTAATATTGGAGAGTTTCAACACTGTGAGACGTCTGCCGATATCTGCGCTATCGGGGATGTACTCGGTGGCAACCAACCGGGCAGAGAGAACCGATCAGAGATCACCATTTTTGACAGCTCCGGAATTGCACTCCAGGACCTACTCGTAGCGCAATATCTCTCAGAAATCGTGGCCTGACCACAAATGGCTCAACAAGCCGATTCAGAAGCCACACGTACGCTTAGTCATTAATATTGTGTACAAACTAAGGTTACTTTGACGAGAATCTCTATTATCGTTTTTCTCACCTAACAATTCCACCCGAACTACGTAATCAAACATTGATCTCATCTCGCACAGCAAGCTCAAGGCCTCTGGAGTCCAACAGCAGAGCATCACAGGTGTCAGACCAGTCTTCATGATGATACAATACAGCTTCGGTTGCCAGACCTAGCTTGATAAAGTTTGATGATCGAACGATATCAAACTAGATCAATCACAAATTGAATTCAAGAATCCCAAGAATCGCTCTACGGGGCGGAACTGATCAGAACAAACATGCAACTATGCGAGCAGAAGCTCACATTTACCTAACTAAGTTCCAAGGTCTGCCCAGATGTTTCACCACCCTGATGGTCTAACCCAAACTTCCACAATCTTGGCCGATTCGGAATCCACTTCTGAATCGACCACGAGATACCAGCCGTACATGGCTCCAGTGACACAGGCATGATTGGGATAGATCCTGACGGTCTGTCCAACCCGGACAGGAATGTCTGCATCCCGGGACTCATCGTAAGCAGCCCATGAGATAATGGAATGCTCTTGACTAATGCGATTGACAATCAGTTGTGCAGGCGCGGTCTCCCGCCGCCACGATCCTACTAAACCCCAGCCAAGGTCTCCCTGGCATGGTTCGCGACCCAAGCCAAGTGTACCTACCGCAACGAGCGCTTCTGGCTGGCCGCGTTCAGCCGCAGTATAAGTGCTGGCTACCTCTGCAACGACGGAGATGGCTATCTCAGTCTCCGCCCCGTTCATTCCCGAACGTGCCCTAGTGGCAACCTGCTGCATGTCTAAGATAGGATAGACCCCAGCGTGCAATTCAAGGTGGATGTCATATTTGCTGTTTGCGCCACAAGGATTGGCGAGGAGTGCTTTGAGGCTGCGTGCCTGCTGACTTGAAGAGGTCGGATTGAGGAGATCTTGAGATGAAACGACCTGCGGCGTGGCTCCAACGCTGATCGTGATCTTTCGTCCAGGGTGTAGGAATTCCATGTTGTTGAGCAAGGCATCCCGACACGCAGTAATTTCTCTCGAGAGATGGGCCATGGCTTCGTTAGGACTGTTTCCAGAATAACTAAGACTGCTGTGCGAGTAGAGACCCAGCAATCGTGCAACCCCAGATTCTTCGGCTTCAGCGAGCTTCTGCAAGAGGCCGCCCTTATTCAGCATGGCTGGGGGTAACCCAGCACGATGGTAGCCAGCATCAACCTTGACGAAGATACATGCTGGGAAGCCGGTAGTGTTGTAGAACTCTTGTAGGCAAGGAAGTTGGTCTGGGTGATCGATCATGACCGAGATACTGTCTTCACCCAGTTCTGAAGCAATGGCCGCAAGACGAAGTACCTGTGATGGTACGAGAGGAACGCCGTAGAGAACATTTACTCTGCGGCCGTCTGACTTATATTCCTTGAGAAGAGGTAGCAGTATCTCTATCTCGAGGACGGTCGATGTGACAAATTTGACCTCGTCGTCACCTTCACCGACTTGCAGGCGGGCTATTTGGGGGACCTGACAACAGAATAGTCAGACGACGTGATCTCATCTTGGAAGCGCAAAGGTTTTGTCTACCTTGTGAGATTTGACATGTGCTCGAAATCCGACTTTCAGCGCCTTCATTGTCCGTAGCATGGCTGCGCAATTGCGTTGTACAACATTGACGTCGAGCACCACAGCTGGCTTAGGAACATCTGAGATGTCTTTCCCTACGAAGAATTGCCTCAGTTCTGCGATAGATGCTAGAGGTCGCATCGGAGAGTCTGGAATGGAGGTCATGTGAGTGATGTCGGATCGTCGGGTTTACTCAAGCTGGTGTGTCTTTGTCTTTGGGCTCGTCAGAAAGCGAATCTTATAACGATTTGTTCTTATATGGTTCTTAAGTGGTGCCGCGCTAGGGGTTGCACTTCCCCACAATCTCTCTCTGATTGGTACGCTTCCTCACACTGCATGTGGTTACAGTCCCTTCTCGTTATAGCAATCATCCGTACAACGATAGTCTCGATTGAGCGATTATTTTCAACACCTGAGCCAACTTACCATACAATTATCGCTATTTCTCACCTTCTCGATATATCGCCTACTTCTGAGCCAGTTATCGCTATATCGAACACGCCATGGCACCTCCGGAGCCTCGCCGCCGGCGCGCTATAACGACTGAGCAGAGAATATCGCTTCGTCGCTACGCACAACAACACCGCGCGCTCAATCAGCAACAGCTAGCTAGCTGGTTCGAGCAGCAATTCGGCCATCGACCCTC